TAAAAATTTTTGCGAATATACGTTAAGATGTTTTCTTGTTCGGGCCATGACGTGTATACACGTCATCCACTGTTTGGGCCAGTTTTTTTCATGACGTGTATACACGTCATCCACAGTCAAGGGGTTAAAATATGAAAAATTCAGATTTTCAAAGATTTTAATTTGAAACCTTTTCAAAATTCAATTATTTCAAAAAATTTATATTATTTGTAACCTTTTTCAAAAATTCAATATTTTCGTAGAGCTTTCAACTAAAATTCTTCTCAAGATCAATTAGTTTTAATAATTAAATTACTAATAATTCAAAATATACTAAAAAAATTCAACTAATTTCAACAGAATCAAAAATAAAATTTTTCGAAAAAATAAAATTACATTATTTACAAAAATTTTAATAAAATCCTACGCAAGAATTTCAATTATTTTTACAAGTAAAAAAATTTTCTCCATGAATTCAATTATTAAAAAAAATGTAATAAAATTCGTTGTAAGAATTCAATTATTCTCATAAATAATAAAATTTTTCACAGGATTTCAATTATTTTTAATACAATTTTAAATAAATTCCTCGAAAAATGTAATTATTTTCAAAAATTTCTTGCATGAATTCAATTACATTTCACAAATAATGAAATTTTTCGCTGAAATTCAAATATTTTTAAAATCTACCATTTTAATAGAATTTCTTAAAAGAATTCAGTTATTAAAAAAAAAAAATGTAATAAAATTCGTTGCAAGAATTCAATTATTATCATAAATTATACAATTCTTTGCAGGATTTCAATTATTTAAAAAAAAATTTAATAAAAATTTGTTGCAAGAATTCAACTATTTTCATAAATAATAAAATTCTTTAGAGGAATTTAATTATTTACAAAACTTTTTATAAAACTTTTATAAGAATTTAATTATTCTTAATACAATTTAAATTGAATTTCTCGAAAGAATTTAATTATTTCAAAAAATTTTGATAAAATTCTTCTCATGAATTCAATTTTTTTTTTTACAAATAATACAATTTTTTACAAGATTTCAATTATTTAAAAAAAATTTAATAAAATTCGTTGCAAGAATTTTATTATTTTTATAATAAAACTCATCACAGAATTTCAATTATTTTTAAAACAATTTTAAGTAAATTCTTCGAAAAATGTAATTATTTTCAAAAATATTCAAAATTCAATTATTTTTGAGAATTTTTGCAATAATGCTTTTAATATTCGATTATTATGTAAAATTTTAATTAAAATTCATTTTTAAATTAATTTTTATTCGAAAATTCAACGAGACCTCAATTATTTAAATACAAAAATAAATAATTTATTGAATAAAAAAATGTTTTTCAAAATTGAATTCTCATAAAGAATTTTATCAACAAATGTTTAAATAATTGAATTTTTTCGACGAATTTTATTAAAATTTTTAAGAATAATTAGATTTTTCAAGGAATACGATTAAAATTGTATTAAAAATAATTGAAATTCTATGATGAGTTTTATTATTTATGAAAATATTTTAATCTCGGTAAAAAATTTTATTATTTAAATACAAATAATTGAAATATTTACAAGAAATTTAAAAAACATTTGTAAATATTTGAATTCGTGTGAAATTTTTATTATTTATGAAAAAAAATTTAATTTTTGTTTAGAATTTGATTTAGAATTAGAAAAATTTGTTTTGAAAATAATTGAAATTTTGACAAGAATTTTATTAAAATTTTGGAAAATAATTGAATTTTATTATTTATAAAGATAATTGGAATTTTTATAAGAATTTTTTTAAATCTTTGAACATAATTGAATTTCTGCTAAGAATTTTATTACTTTTGAAAATAATTGAAGTTCTGTAAATATTTGTAACCTCTTTTAAATTCAATTTTTTCCAGTAGGTACTTTAATAAAAATCCCTAACTTTTCTCTGATTTCCCTGACCGATTCTGCTTTCCTCGACTTTTCCATGAATTCTCTGATTTCCCTGATTTGTGGCAACCCTGTAAATGTTAAAATATTTTTAAAATAAAAAACTTGCAGAATTTCCATAGAATTTCCCGGAAGTACTTCCATGGAACTTTTCGACGTGCGATAAAATCAGTCTTTATTAATTATTTTGGTTGCAATGCGGAGACACCATATATTGGAGAAATGGATAATAATATTTTGGAGAATTCATAATTTATGGAAAGCAAAGGATAAATTTATTGGACAGGAGAAAATTCTCTAAGGCTAAATAATTTCTGAATTAAGTTTTTCAACTTTGAAAAAGTTTGAGAGAAAGGGAGAGAGAGGGGGAAAGTCGAGGGACCGGTGAGGTTTGAAAAATGGATCTCATGTTCTTGTATAAAGTTACAATTTCCTCGAGAGGAATTACTGAAACGTAAAATAATAAAGAGACAGTGTCTTAGGAAGTGTCAAAAAGTATCGTAAACCACAAAACCGCAAAAGATGAGAAAGAACTTGTTGAAAAAAAAGTTACATTTTAAAGTATAAATATATCAACTTTTCAACTGCTATTGAAATTGAAATATCTGCAGCTTAATAATTATCATATCAAAATAATGATATTTGACAATTATCGTATAATAATATATATAATATTATAATTCTAATTCTAATTACAATAATAATAATAACAGGCTTCGCAATGGATAATTAATTTTAAAAAAGCAGCTTAACCTTTAAAGTGCTAAGTGTTGAAAAATCACGCTCAGTGCTAACCCCGGTCTGTCAGACCGCTATTCCCTTTTGACAGTTTTTTAGTCATTTATAATTTTTAAAAGACAACTATTATAAATATTTTTTACTTTTTAACAAAAAAAGTCATTTCTGTATTATGCATTTATTTATTTTATTTATTTTATAAATGCAGTCTATGAGAACTATCAGTAGAACTAGCTGCGCGTCAAGTTGCGCAGACGTCACTCATGGGAATATACTGGAATATACTTTCACTTAAAGCTAACCCCGGTCTCACAGACCGCTATACTTCAAATATTTATTTATATTACAAAATTTAACGAATAAAAATTTTTGAAAAAGTTGTCATCTAACAGATTTTCATAAAATATGAAGCTACTAAAAAGTTCAAGTTCTTATTATACTTTGAAAAAAAGTTACAAGCAAAGAAAATTTTAATAGCGGTCTGTCAGACCGGCATAGCACTTTAAAGGTTAAAGACTGAAAAAAAGAGTAAATAAGCAACTTTCGAAAAATTAAATTGGACAAATCAATTTTTTCTTAATTTCTAAAATAAATTAAATTGAAAAATAGAACAATTTTTTAACAAAAAATATTTTAAATACCTATTTATTTTTCCACAGGAATTAAGATATATTAAATGATTTCAAAGTACCTAAAGCTCTTTTGAAATTGAATTACATATTTCTAAAAATTAAAAAGGTCATTTTTCCAAAATTCATTACTTTTTTAATTGAATTTTTAAACGAAATTATTTAAAACTTTAATAATTTTTCAGGAAAATAGTAAATTAATAATTTTTTAGTGTAAATATTTTAAATATTATTAGTTTTATAGCAGTTGAAATTTTTAAGAAACTTTTGAAATTAAATTATTTCTAAAAATAATGTTTTTTATATTCAATTATTCAGAAATTAGAACTAAAATTAATTTTTAAATCAATTCTTGTTCGAAATTTTCTAGGAGAATTCAATTTATTTAAATAGGTACTAAAAATAAATAATTCATTATTTCTTAAAACTGAATTCTCATAAAGAATTTTAACAAAATTTTTTGAAAATACATAAATGAATAAATTCATTCAAAGAATTTTAGTAGAATTATTAAGAATAATTGCATTTTTCGAAGAATTTATTAAAAATTGTATTAAAAATAATTGAAATTAATGCGAAAATTTTATTATCTATTTATGAAAAAAATTGAATTTTTGTAACTAATTTATTAGATTGCTTTTAAATAATTGAATTCCTGTAAAAAATTTTATTATTTGTAAAAATAATTGAATTCTTGCGAAGAATTTTATTAAAATTTTTGGAAATAATTAAATTCTTTCGAGAAATTCAATTTAAATTTTATTAAGAATAATTGAATTCTTATAAAAGTTTTATAAAAAGTTTTGTAAATAATTGAATTCCTTTAAAGAATTTTATTATTTATGAAAATATAACTGAATTCTTAAATTTTTTAGACGAATTTAATTAAAATTGTATTAAAAATAATGCAATTCTTATTTGAAATTTTATTAAAATTGTTTTGCAAGTAATTGAATTTGAGGAATTTTTTATTTGTGAAAACACTCGATTTGTGCGAAGAATTTTATTAATATTTTTAAAAATAATTTAAATGTTTTAAGAATTTTATGAAAATTTATGAAAATAATTGAATTCTAGCGAAGAATATTTTTAAAATTATATTAAAAATAATTTAATTCATCTGAAGAATTTTATTGTTTTTGAAAATAATTGAATTTCTGTGAAAAAATTTATTATTTGCAAAAATATAATTGAATTGTTGTAAAGAATTTTATTAAAGTTTCTGGAAATAATTAAATTTTGTGAACCTTTTTCTCAAAATTTTTAAAATTAATTGAATCATTTCGAATAATTTAATTAAAATTGTATGAAAAATAATTGTATTTTTAGTATGAATTTCATTATTTATTACTATTAATATTTAATAATAATAATAATAATAATAATAATAATAATAATAATAATAATAATAATAATAATAATAATAATAATAATAATAATAATAATAATAATAATAATAATAATAATAATCGTATTAAAAGTAATAAAAGCAAACAAAATAAATTCTCAAATTTTTAATCTAAAAGATACGTTTTTTAAATTAAAAAAATCTCATTCAATTAAAATTAAATAAAAATCAAAATCCTTATTTTGTAATTACTACAGTAATAAAAAATCGATATTAAGAAATAAAACCTGTGTTGCCATCTGTCGAGTAACTGAAGTTTTCTCAAGCCAAACCTTATGCACAGGGAGTACTTGCTTTTTTTCAAAGAAAAACAAAGCCTGCATCACAATAAGACAAATACGCAGCAGACGAGAAATCTTTAATTTTGTCTTCGCAGTATTATGATGAAAATAAATGTCATAAAAACCGTATAAAAGTGAATTTAAGAGAGAATATTTTAATTTTTTAAACACGAATATTCGTGATCAATATTCTTTTGAAGTGAAAGAAAGGAGTGCCGCTTGTGAAATTGTATAAAAGGAAGCTTTAAAAGTGAGTTTACGATTTATTGTTTCAGAAATACAACAGGTTTTTCTTTCGAACTATTCTTCTCTTCTCTTTCTCTTTATTCCATTTCAATTATTTACTGATCTTAATTGAAAATTGTTTATAATTTTAATTAATTTTATTTATTGTAATAAAATATAAATTATAATATAAATTACTTTATTTCATTATTAATTAAAGTAATAAATATTTATTAAAATAATTAATTTCTTGCAACTATTAACATTGTTGTAAATAATTGAATTCCTGGGGAAAAAATTATTATTTTGTGAAAATAATTGAATTCTTGCAAAAAATTTTATTCAAACTTTTTTAAATAAATTATTTAGAGACTAATTAATTAATTAAGAAATTTTTGAGAGAAAAATTAGATTTTTGAAAAATATTAATTAAAATATTTTGAAGATATCGAATTCCCGAAAATTTTGTTTAAAGAATTAAAACGAAATTTTTTAGTTGACAAATTTAATTTTTCGATAGATTCTTTTTTATTAATTAAAAAGTGCGAAGTCTGCTTTCAGAATTTATTCTGTCAAACGAAAATTAAGAATAAATTGCGTAAACAAATATTATGTGCGAAATTACTATAAAATGTAACGAAACACCCAATTTAGAAAGGAAAGAGGAAGAGTTTATAATTCAGTTTAATGCAGACAGAAAATCATGTCGCACACGGTTCAACGGCACTTGTTCTCATATTAAGTCTGCTTTAAAATTATCTAATAGGCTTTCATTTTACAAATTCACAATTACTAAATTACTGGAGAAATGTTTCACGAATACTTCGAGTCACGAGAATGATGAAAATTAAAATATTTCTTTTTTTACTTTTAAAATCGGTTGGAAAAAAAAGAATTATGAAAAATAGTAGAGTAATGTAAAATTCTTCTCACCTATTGACCTCGAAACATTGAGATATCCATTAACTCGCCAAACACCAAAGTGCATAACGCATCCTCCTTGCTTTTCGATTCTCTTCCTCTCATCCTGGAAAAAGAGAAAAAAATTTAAATTTACTCTATAATAGATAAAAATATCAAAAAAAGACTCTAGTATTTCAATTAAAAATTAATTTCTCTGACCCGAAAGAATATTCTGATTCAGTCTAAAAATGATTCTTCTTTAAATCAATTATTTTTAATAATTTTTGAAAAAGTTCTCTGAGAATTTTTAAAACCATTTGTTTACAATTAAATTTTACGAATTTTCGATTACTCGGAAATTCTTCAATTAAATATCCATTAGAAAATAAAATCTTCAAATAATTTCAAAAAAAAATTCAATTAAACTTTTTCAGAAAAATTAATTCTGCAGAATTGTAAGTTAAAAGCATGAAAAATTTAGATTTTCAAGATTATAATTTGAAACCTTTTCAAAATTCAATTATTATCTAAGATTTGAACTAATATTAATTTTAAAATCAATTTTTATTACAAAATTCTACTAGAATTCAATTATTTAAATACAAAAATAAATAATTTATTGAATAATCGAATGTTTTTCAAAATTGAATTCTCATAAAGAATTTTATCAACAACTTTTTAAATAATTGAATTCTTTCGACGAATTTTAATTCAATTTGTAAGAATAATTACATTTTTCGAGGAATTCAATTAAAATTGTATTAAAAATAATTAAAATTCTGTAATGAGTTTTATTATTTATGAAAATATTTGAATTCCTACAATGAATTTTATTATTTATAAAAATAATTGAATCTCTGTAAAATTTTTTGGATATTTATAAAAATAATTAAATGTTTGCTTAGAATTTTATTAAAAATTTTTTTAAATAATTCAATTCATTTGGAAAGTTTTATTAAAATCGTAGATATCGAAAATCATTGAATTAATGAAAATTTTTCAAAATAAACAATTTAATTTTTTTTAAATTTTAGCAAAAAATTCAAAAAAAAAAAATAATTGAATATTGCAAGAATTACTCATTGTAATTGTAGAAAATAATTGAATTTCAAAAGATTTGAAATTGTAATTTTTTAAAATTACAATTTTTATTATCTAAAAACTGTCTCAGAATAACTAAAAACAACTGCCTTAAAGAAAAATTTTAGTGAAAAATTCCATTATAAAATAATTAAATTCTCCATGAATTACCTACTGTTGTAATTTTTAAAAATAGTCAAATTTTCGAATATTTTAAATTGTTTTAAATGTTAGTTCTTGTGGAAAAATAAATAACAATAAGTGTTTAAAATAATTTAACAAAATTACTGAATCATTGAATAATTGAACTTAGAAATTCTAAAAAAATTATATTTCTGAAAAATTTAATTCAAAATTTCTTTAAGATAAGTGAATTCCCAAAAACAATTAATTGAAAAATTTTCAAACAATGAAAATTTTGTTAAATTTTAATTTCAAAATAATAAATTTATAATAATTAATAATCTATATTAATAATCGTTGTATTCCGGTAATCTGTTCGCAATTTGAAGTTATAGTTGCTGTTTGCTTTTTTTAATTCCTAACTTTTTAAATAATTCTTCTTATTAAATGTTAAAAATTTTTAAATTAATGTACTGAAAATCATTGAATTCTTGCAAAGTATTTATAAAAAAATTTGAAAATAATTGAATTCATTTCAAGAATTTTATGAACATTTTTTTCAATAATTGAATTCTTTTGAACAAAATGTAATAATTACAATTGTATTGAAAATAATTTAATTCTTGGCAAGATTTTTATTAAAATTTTTTTAAATAATTGAATTGTTTTGAAGAATTGATTTCAATTTTCTTGAAAATAATGGAGTTTTTTTAAAATAATTTTTACAGAAAATTTTGAAAGTAATTGAATTTTATGAACATTTTCTTTTAAGTTTTTAAAATAATCGGGTTTATTATTAATTATAATAAAAATAATTTTCCTATTAAATTATATTAAAATTATTCATAGAAAATTAAATTCTTTTAAACAATTTTATTAGAGTTTTTATAGAAAATTACATTTATTTTAAAAATTTCATTAACTTTCATAAAAAAATGTAATTTTTGAAAATAATTTTAATTGAAAATTTTGAAAATAATTTAAATTTACAAGGAGTTTTATTTAAAACTTTTGAGAACAGTTGAATTATTAAAAGAAATGTCTTAGAAATTTTTAAAAATAATTCAACCTGATAGAGAAATTTTATCAAAATTATCTTAAATATAATTGAATTTTTTCCTAGAAATTTTATTAAAATTTTTGAAAATAATTGAATTTCTCAGAAGAATTTTCTTATTTATGAAAATAATTGAATTCTTGCGGAGGATTTCACAATTTAAAAAAACAATTCAATTGTTTCGAAGAATTTTATCAGAATTGTTGAAAATAATTGAATTTTTATTAAAACTCTTGAAAATAATTGAATTTAAATACATAATATTTTTAATAATAATTGTATTCTTTCGAGAAATTTTATTAAAATTGTATTGGAAATAATTGAATTTACATTAATTTGATTATTATTAATAATATAATAATTAATTTGAAGAAAAAATATTTAAAATTGGAAAAAAATTATTTAAAAATCATTAAATTTCAATTCAACTGTCTTTTGACAATTTTCTCTTTTTGTTTTTTTAGGTTTTTCTAAAAAAAAACAAAAAGCGAAAATGACTAATTTCAGGTGTGGACAGAATGAATGAATGACGGAAGGACGATTGTTATAAGTAATAAGTAATGATAATAATTTGCTGCGAAGTAAAATGGCCCTATTAGGAACGCAAATTTACAATGACCGTGATTTACTAAAATTCAAAAATTACAAAGAATATTTAGACTCCCTGGTGACAAATGATGATCTCTTTTATCTGAATGACAAGAAAGTCGCACGTCAAATAGTCGAACTTGGTTATCGCAGTATTCAAGAAACACTATCAAAATCAAATTTCCAGAAACGTCGCGAAATTGTTCGCAATTTAGAATATCCAATTTACAAGCCATACATATTATGCTCGGAATTAATCACACCCACTAATTTCCTTCAATCCGAATTGGCACTTCGCGAGCGTGAAAATCGCCTCGGGCACATATCGACAATAATATTTCTCCGCTACTGCATCAAATCGAAAATTGAAATTTCCGGCTACATTGATTACGCTCATCGTTTAGAGACTGAGAATTGGACAGTATTTTTTCGCAATGAAAAAAAATTACAAGTTCGTAGCAACGATTTGGGATATTACAATACTAAACGAAGAAAATCAATTTTGAATAAAACTAAAAATTACGAACCAATGATTATTAATGATTCAAAACGAAAACTTGCCTTCAAAAATACTCACGATCGTCATTTTATTTATGTCAATGAAAATAATTTATTTCCCGGAATTGGAACTTTTAGGAAAGTAATTCGTAGTCAAGGATATGAGGATATCGTTTTGTATGATCATCATCTTCGCAGTAAATTATAATTTCTTTTCAACAAAATTTTTCCTATGTGTGTAAACTTTATACGTTTATATAATGTATTTGAAAAATTTCTATCAGGGAGGAAAAAATTGTAAAATCGAAAAAAATCTAAAAATGTAACAAGAAAACAAAAATAAATTTCCTTCAGTCGATTAAAGATACAAAAGCAGGGTTGCCACGCTTTTGCTCATTTCAAATTCCCTGACTTTTCCAGGTTTTCCAGGTTAAAAAGCGGAATTTTTTCAGGTTTTTAAAACTACATTTGTTGCCAACAAAAATTTAATTTTGTTCTTCCCTGACAAAATTAAATTCCAGACAAAATTCTTACTTCTTGACTCTAAAGAATATTCTCAATCAGTTTAAAAATTATTACTCAGAAAAATGTTCCATTGCTTCTTTTTTTAATAAATATTTAATTATTATTTTTCCATAGGAATTAAAATTCTTCAAAAGATTCAAATTCAAACCTTTTTGAAATTAATCAATTTTCAAAAAATTGTTATAAAACATGAAGAAATCGATCACTCCGAGTCTTCGACTCGGAGCAATCGATATTTTCATGTTTTATAATAAAAATAATTAAAGATAACTGACTGATAAAATCATTATTTTATATTTTATAAGAATTTGGTTACTGTAACTTCAAATAAATTATTCTCATTTCAATTCAATCATTTTCTAGAATTTTTAACTAAAATTCTTCTTTAAATTAATTATTTTCAATAATTTTTGTAACATTTCTTTGAAAAATTTCAAATCCTTTTGTTTACAATTCAATTTTACGAAATTTCATCGATTATTCTAGTATTCGGAAATTATTTAATCAAATATATATTAGAAAATAAAAACTTGAAGTAGTTTTAAAAAAGTTCCAGTCAACTTTTTTAAAAAAATTAAATCTACACAATTTTTAGTTAAAATTATGAAAAATTCAAACTTTCAAAGATTATAATTTGAAACCATTTCAAAATTCAATTATTTCTAACAATTCACGCTATAATACTTTCTCTCTAAATTTGAATTAGTAAAAATATTTATCATTTTGGAATTAGTGACTGAATTCCTTGTATACGAGAATTCAATTATTTAAATACAAATAAAATGCAAATAAATAATTTATTGAATAATTGAATGTTTCTTAAAATTGAACTCTCATAAAGAATTTTATCAACAAATTTTTAAATAATTAACATTCTTTTGACGAATTTTATTAAAATTTTTAAGAATAATTTCATTTTTCGAGAAATTAGATTAAAATTGTATTAAAAATAATTGGATCTCTGTAAAAAAAATTTGATTGAATTGAAAAAAGTTTTTGAAAATAATTGAAATTTTGCCAAGAATTTTATTAAAATTTTTGAAAATAATTTAATTTTGAAGAAGAATTTTATTATTTATAAAAATAATGGGTATATCCAAGATAATTGAACTTTTGACAAGAATTTTTTTAAACTTTTGACCATAATTGAATTTCTGTGAAGAATTTTATTACTTTTGAAAATAATTGAATTCCTGGTAAAAAATATTATTCTTCATGAAAATAATTGAATTATTGCGAAGAAATTTATAAAAAAAAATTTGTAAATAATAGAATATTCATTCATTTAAAATTGAAATTCTCTAAAATTTCAAATTAAAACCTTTTGAAGTTCATCTATTTATGAAAATTGTAAACGAAACTCTTTTAAAATTAAATTAATTTTGAAATATTTAAGTAAAATTAGTTGCCTTTTTTAAACAGTCGGAAAAAGACCAAAGAATCATTATTAAATACAGTAAATAAATAAAAAGACTCACCTCTCTGTTTGGTTTGTGTGAATTGACGAGTTGCTTGCCATTGCCGTGCTTTATTAGGGCTGCTTGTGAATCTCCAGCCCAGGCTATGTACAGGGTTTTGTTTACTAACAAAGCACAAACGGCGGTACTTCCACTATTTATTCCCTAAAAAATACGAATTTATATTTATTAAATGCAATTAATCGTTAGCAGGATGCCATTAGTTAAAATTTCTTTTTCAAAAGAAAAAAAAATAATTTTACTGAATTTTTAGTTAAAAGTAAGAAAAACTCAGATTTTCATTGATTTTAATTTAAAACCTTTTCAATACCTATTCAATTATTTCTAAAAATTCAAGCTATATTGCTTTTAATATTCAAATATTATCTAAAATTAAAACTAAAATTTATGTTTAAATCCATTTTTAATAGAAAATTCCACAAGAATTCAATTATTTAAATAGAGAAATAAATACTTTATTGAATAATTTAATATTTCCTAAAATTTAGTTTCTCATAAGGAATTTTATCAACAAATTTTTAAATAATTGAATTCTTTCGACGAATTTTAATAAAATTTTTAAGAATAATCTCATTTTTCGAGGAATTTGATTAAAATTGTATTAAAAATAATTGAAATTCTGCAATGAGTTTTATTATTCATAAAAATAATTGAATTATTGAGAAGAAAATTATAAAAAATTTGTAAATAATTGAATTCCTGTGAAATTTTTAATACTTATGAAAATAATTGAATTTTATTAAAAAATTTTTTTAAATAATTGAATTCATTTGGAAATTTTTTTAAAATAATTGAAATTTTGAAAAGAATTTTATTAAAATTTTTGAAAATAATTGAATTTTGGAGAAAAATTTTATTTCTTTTGAAAATATGTAATTGAAATTTTTACTATAACTTTTAAAAACTTTTTAACATAATTGAATTTCAGCGAAGAATTATAATAAAAAGAATTTTTTAATAATTGATTTTTTTAAAAATGTATTTCAATTCCTTTGTAAATAATTAAATTCCTGTGAAATTTTTATTATTCATGAAAATAATTAAATGCTTGCGTATAATTTTATTAAATTTTTTTTAAATATAATTGAATTCTTTTGGAAAATTTTGTTAAAATAGTAGATATTAAAAATCATTGAATTAAGGAAAATTTTTGAAAATAATTGAATTTCGGAGAAGAATTTTATTATTTATAAAGATAATTGAAATTTTGACGAGTATTTTTAAAAAATTTCGAACATAATTGAATTTCTGCGAAGAATTTTATTATTTATGAAAATAATTGAAATTTTTCAATCATTTGTATCTTCTTCAAAATTCAATTTTTTTTAGTGTTTTTAACTAAAATTCTACTATAAATCCAATAAAATTCCAATTGAAATTTGGTAAAATCTTTTTGAAATAATTGAATGTTAAAATTTATTTATTTATTAAAAATTTTAATAAATTGCTTGAAAAAAATCAATTATTTTCAATTAAATTTTACAAAATTTAAATTATTCAAAACCTATTTAGTTGTATTTTTCGAAAATTTAGTTAAAGAAATGATTTAAAAATAATATTTGAAAGATTTGTCTAGTTATTCTTCATACTATAAAAATTGAAACAAGTTGTATTTATTTTATACTAAAAATATGGTATTTTGTTGCAATATGTGGAAGAAAAGTCGAAAAAGTCTCAATTTTGTAAAATAAAGACGAAAGAAGTCTCATTTTTTGAAAATAGTCCATAATATCTAAAAGACTTGTAAATATTAAAAATTAAAATTTTACATTTAAAAAATTTAAAAATAAATTTCTTCGATAGTGACGCAAAATGATGAAAAATGTTGTTTTCTACCTTTTCAATAAAGCGAGCGTCAGTTACTGCGAAAGCATCTCTTAAGGCATTTTCTGGATCCTTAGGATAATGTGGGCTTTCCACTAAATACTGATGAAGATGTGCGGCACAATAAACAGCCGCATCTTGTCCACCATGACCATCAAATACTGCGTAGTAATTTACAATGGAATCATCCTTTAAAAGAAAAGCATTATTAATAATAAATAAATTTTCCGTTGCTTTTTTAAAATTGCGAAGAGAGAGGAGTCATTTGCATAATCAACTTACTTTAATACTGAACATTGTATTTAAGTCATACAAAACAACGGAACGATCTTCCATTTTTCTTCTCGTATTCTTGATAGCGTAACATGTCGTCAAAGGCAATGGGGTTGAAGGCGGTGGCGGTAATAAGGCCAAACGACTATTGTCCAAATATCGAAAGCAAATTTCATTTATTCTGCTTATCACTGCTTGCATCAATTTTAGAGGACCGTATGCTGAAAAAGGATTCTAATTAATCCATTGCAATTATTCATAAATGACAGGAATCACAGTACTTTTTTTCTCAAATAGGTGAAAAGATGAATTATTTTACAAAAATAGTTGACAAAAAAAATTATATAATTATAATTATTATGACTATAAATAGGTACAATTAACTAACTAATAATTATTCTTTTTTATTTTTAAAAGTTTTAATAAAATTCTTCGCGAGAATTCAATTATTTACATAAATATTAAAATTCTTCGCAGAATTTCCATTATTTTCAATAAAATTCTTGACGAGAATTCAATTATCTTTATAAATAACAAAATTCTTCGCAAAAATTCAATTATTTTCTCTGAAACTTTAATTATATTCTTGACAAGAATACAATTATTTTCATAAATATTAAAATTCAATCATTTTCGAAAAGTTTAATAAAATTCAAGGCAAGAATTAAATTTATCTCCATGAATAATAAAATTGTTCAAAAAAAAATTCAAAAATTTTAATTATTTTCATAAATAATAGAATTCTTCGCCGCAGAAATTTAATTATTGAAAAAACTTTTAAAAAATTCCAAGCTTCCAAGTTCCTAAAATATAAATAAATAAAAAAAATACACAAATAATTGAATTATCAAACAATTGAATTGGTAATTGATTAAAAATGAAAATTTATATTGGTTTAAAGTTTGAAAAAATTAAAATTCACATCAATTGAATTTGAGTTTAATTAAAAAGAAGATGAATTACAGAATTAAAAAAAATAAAAATTTTCACGATTTAAATTCAGAGTCAATTAAGATTTTAATCGATGAAATTTTTAACAATTTAGAAATTTAATTTATTCAAATATAAATTAAATAAAAATTTTAATTAAAACTCGATTTCTTCAATCATGTTTTATAATTATAATAATATTTTTATCAACAAATTTTTAAATAATTGAATTCTTTCGACGAATTTTAATAAAATTTTTAAGAATAATAACATTTTTCGAGGAGTTCGATTAAAATTGTATTAAAAATAATATTGAATTTCTAAAAAAAATGTTATCGTTAATAAAAATATTTGAATCCTTGTTAAAAATTTTATTATTTATCAAAATAATTGAATTATTGCGAAGAAATTTATAAAAAAATTTGTAAATAATTAAATTCCTCTCAAATTTTTTTTTAAATAATTGAAATTTTAAAAATTTTTGAACATAATTAAATTTTTGAGAAAAATTTTATTACTTTTGAAAATAATTAAATTTCTACAATCATTTGTAATTCTTGACAAGAATATTATTAAAAGTTTTGAAAATAATTGAATTCTTGCGAGGGATTTGGACATTTATGAAGTTTAAAAAAAAAATAGTTTAAAAAAAGTCCAAAAAAGATTCTAAAATTTTTGAAAATAATTGAATACAGTCGGGCCGCAGAACTGTACGGTACCCCAGAAATAACCCCTCCACTTGATTTCAAACTGTACGCTGACGAACTCATCCCCACTATTTAATTTTCAGGACTGTACACTTATATATTTAAGGAGCAAGTTTTCAAAAGTTGATAAATATATTTTTTTTTAAATCGAGATAAACATAAATTTAATAATTTAAATATCTCACAAATCGTCATGTCCCTGCTAAATTAAAAAAAAAAATTATTAACAGCGAATTTTCAATTTAAAAACTTTTGTGACATAACCAAATTGACTTTTAATTTTTATGTTTGTTATTAGAACAAATTACCAAAACCTTAAAGTTACTTTATTATGTGAAAGTTTTATTAAAAACAGAACGTATTAAATATAAAAACTTTGTTACAAATATTAAATATTACAAATTTTTTAGTTTGAAATTAACTGAGTGGTTATGTCAGGAAAGTCATTTATTTCGATTTCTCGAAATAATAAGAAAATAGGAATTTATCAAATTTTGAAAATTTGCTCCTCATTTATCGTCTGGGACTATAATATACATAATTTTAGATTTAAAATTAATTGAAATCATAAAAATATATACTATTCTTAAAATTATAAATGTTAGAAAAATTAACAATTTTTAACCAAAACGTATTGCCTCATAAAATTAAAAGAAGTCCACTGATTTATCCAAATTATGAAAAAGAAAATAATTTGATTAAATCAGTAAAATTTTTAATTTTAAGGAAGAATTTGATAAACAATCGGAACAAAAGTTAGTCCAATGTCATAATTTAGTATTTTAAAAAAAAGTCAAATTAAATTTTCAATTCCTTTTGGTAAAAGCGTAAGGAATTTAATTTTCTAAATTTTGAAAATTTTAAATATATATTTGAATAAAAATGATAATTTTGTCGTCAATAATGAATGATTTAAGTAACATAACCTAAAATTTAACAAATGTTTATTCTTATTGACAGAAAATTGTAATTTTTATTCAAATGAAACTTTTAATCGTTTTAAATATACAAAATTAAATTCTTCGTCTTTCCAACAAGACGAATTTAAAATTTAATTAGTTTTTTTAAATTACGAAATTATGACATTGGAATAACTTTTTATTTGACTGTCCCTCAGATTCTTCCTTAAAAGGCAACATTTTCAAATATACGGCACTGAATTTAGTAGCGCCACCGTACACTGTGGAGCACTTAAAAACTAAAGCCAGCGTACAGTTTGGCGACAGCGTACAGTTTGAAAGCGTTCAGTTCGGAGGCCCGACTGTATCTGCAAAATAAATTTTATTATTAATGTAAATAATTGAATTTTTGTGAAGAATTTTATTAAAAATTTTTTGAGAAATTTTATGAAAAATTGTATTGAAAATAAATTATTGAATTATTTCAAAGGATTTTATTAACATTTTTTGAAACAAATGATTTACTACTAAAAAATTTGATATTTATGAAGATAATTAAATTCTTGGCAAGAATGTTATTAAAAGTTTTGAAAATAATTGAATTTTTGTAAAGGAATTTAATATTTATTATTTATAAAAATAATTGAATTCTCACGAAGGAATTTATTATTTATGAAAATAATTGAATTATTGTGAAGAAATTTTTTTAAAATATGTAATTTATTGAATTTCTATGAAATTTTTAATATTTATATGAAAATAATTAAATGTTTGTGTCGCATTTTATAAAATTTGTTTTCAAATAATTGAATTCTTTTGGAAAATTTTATTAAAATAGTAAATATTAAAAATCATTGAACTGAGGACATTTTTTTAAAGTAATTGAATTTCGGAGAAGAATTTTATTATTTATAAAAATAATTGAAATTTTGATAAGTATTTTTTAAAATTTTTTGAACATAATTGATATTTGCGAAGAATTTTATTACTTTTGAAAATAATTGAATTTCTTCAATCATTTGTTACTTCTCCAAAATTCAATTAATTTTTTTTTACAGTTTTGAACTAAATTTCTTCTATAAATCCATTATTTTTAATAATTAATTAAATATATATTACAAAAATTAACTAATTTCAGAAGAATTTGAATGATCAAAGTTTTTCAAAAATCTAAGTTTGACATTTATATTATGATTAAAACAATTTTTAAAAGATGAATTAGGATGAATAAAAAGAAAAAAAAATAATAAAACTTAACCGTTCGATAATTTGAAGTTTAAATAGATTTTAATATCCGACTGATTAAAATTAAAATAAGTTGAAATTTAGATAAGTAAACATTTTGATGAATTAGATTTAAAAAGAAATAAAAATTGTTATCGATTGAAATTTGTGAATTGAATAAAATTTTATTATTAAAATTCGGATAAATAGTATTTTGCATAGATTGAACTCTGGATGAATTGAATTTTAGTTTAATTTTTAAGTAAAAATTGAAAAAAGGGTCTTCGTCTAAAAGACAAAGGCTTTTATTTTATAATTTTTTGTAATTGATATACTCACTATTTCCATAAGGTTTCAGGCCACAATCTTCGGGTTGCTTTCGACAAATTGACTTCACTTCGTCTATCACTAATCGAACCATATGAGACTGCAAACTTGGTGGACAGAATCTGAAAGAAAAAATTAGTCAATAATCATTTTTCTTTTTTAAATTTTTATTATAGAATATCGAAAAACTATTTTTATTTTCCGCTTACATCTTATCTAACGCAACGGTGTCGAATTTGACATTTTACATAGAATAATTTCTAAACTCGCAAGTTTTATATTTAAAAATCCTAAAATATAGCTTGATAATTAATAATTAAATTAATTTGTAAAAAGGAAAATATTACGAACCAGTCACATTCAGTACAATAAATAATATTGCTTAATATTTTGAGATATTCGTAAGCAAAGTGTGAAAGCAATAATCTCACTCTATTTTATGTCATTAAATATTTTATTAAAAACATTTTTAATTAATTGTATTTTCAATTAATCAAGGTTTGAAATTAAAAGTAGTTTAAAATTATTATTTTTTTATTGCAGTGTGTCTCCCACAACATATTTATTAAATATTTTCAGATTTGTAAACAAGAGACACAACATAACCTATAAACTATTCACCCATTAACTCCTTACTTTTGTGAAGAGAAAATGTATTTCGACTTCAAATTTTAATTAAATATTTAGAGTAGATATTTTTTTTTATTAATTTAATGAAGTAAAAAATGTTTTTCCATATGAAAACAATTCTTATATTGACAGGAGCATTTCGAATGTAAACATAACCTGAAACACTAATGTGATTTGTTTTACTCGCAATTTGCGTGTAAACAAACTTTTTGTAAGTGACGTCACGATTTCAGATCCCTATAATTATGTAATTTTATATGTAATATCTTTTCAGATAGCAGAGATAACAATTTGCTAAAGTGGATTGAGAAATAATTTGCAAGAGAAAACAAATTTTTCATTTCTATAAAAACTCCTCTTCAATATTTATTAAATTGAATTCAATATTCAATAAAGGATAATAATAAATATTCAATAAAGGAACATTTTTCAACAACAGGGGAGAATATGGCGCCAAAAGAAGGAAAATATCAAAATGAACGGAATGAAAATTTGGATGAATATTTCAAAGCTGTTGGTGAGTACGTGGAAAAATATAAAAATACCTACAAATAAAAAAATACAAATTATATATTACAAATTACAAAAATGCAAAATACAAAAAAAAATTAAATAATTGAAATTATAGTCAAAATAAAGATTTGTTTATATATTAACATTGCAGGAGTTCCTTATCTTCTGAGAAAAATGATACTGACTTCAAGACCAACACTAGAAGTAATAAAGCAAGACGAAGACAATAAATGGACGATTAAAACTATTTCTTTATTACGCACCGCGGAACTTAGTTTTACTTTAGGAGAGGAATTCATCGAAAATATGCCGACAGGCCTTACTATAAAAGTACTTTTAACTATTTTTTAATTTTTATTTCCTATTTTCGGCCTTCTTAACATTTATTTCCTATCTTTCAACTATTTTTACTTTTATTTCCTCCTTTTTAAGGATTTAAAATTTTATTTACTATTTTTCAACTATTTTTACTATTTTCCCACTATTTTCAATTTTTATTTCCCATCTTTCAACTATTTATTTTTATTTCCTCTTTTTTTAAACTAATTTTAAATTTGATTTTAAATTTGATTTCCTATTTTTCAACTATTTTTATTTTTTTATTTATTTTCTATCATCTTTGGTAATATTTTTGTTTCTTTAAAAACAGAATGTGGCAAAAATTGAAGACGACAGTATTGTCATTTCTTCATTAGGACCAAATGGTGAAAAGACTGAACGCAAATACGAGTTTAAGGAAGACGAAGTTATTTTCGTACGCATCAAAAATTAATTATTTATTTTAAAATCGTTTCATTAATAAATAAAAAGAAAAATTTGATATATCGTAAATAATAAAAAGTGCTTAAAGAAGCGTTTACTTTCATTTCAGAGCATGACACATGAGCAGAGTGGTCAGGTTGCAAAACGTTACTTCAAGAAGATTCCATAATACCGCATAAAACAAGAATATACCACTTTTCATAGCTATATTATTCTAACCATATTTTGTAAATAAAATTGTTACGCTCACCGCTCATGTACAATGGTCGATTGTAATTATTTTATATATTTCCAGAAATTAGTTCTAAACATTTTTTACAAAAAAAAATTCCATTCCTTCAACTAATTTTAAATTCTGTAAAAGATTTCACAAAAATAATAAACAAGTGTTAAATAAACATAGACTTTTTCTCTTTAAATTCCAACTTTCTTCATTCTCATTAAGAAAGTATTATTTACATAATTATTTTAATTTTCTTAAAGGGAGAAAACATTCTAAACTATCAGGCTTCGCACTCAAAAATTAATTTTAAAAAAGTAGCAAAAAGTAGCTATAAGACTGAAAAAGGTAGCTTTTCAAAAATTAAATAATTGAATATTATTGAAGTCTTGCATAGAATTTTACTCAAATTTTTGAAAATAAATTAATTGCTAAAAAACGTTATAAAAAATTGTTATTATAAATTGTTATTAAAAACGTTTGAAAATAATTTAATTTTTCGAGGAATTTTATTCAAATAAATAAAGAATATTATTAAAGTGTTTAAAAATAATTGACTTTCTGCGAAGATTTTTATTCATTTTTTTTAAATAATTGAATTTTTCCGAAAAATTTAGTAAAAATTGTATTGAAAATAATTGAATTCTTAAAATTTTATCAAAAATTCCAAAATAATTAAATTATTTTGAAAAATATATTTGAAATTGGATTGAAAATAATTGAATTACAAAAAAGAATTTTATCAAAATTGAATAATTGAATAATTGAATTTTGCGAAACATTTTATTAAATTTCTTTAAAATAAATTAATTCTTTCAAATAATTCTATTAAAATTTTATATCAATATAGAAAATTGTATTTAATTCCATGAAAAAAATTTGATTATTTCTGAAAATAATTGAATATTTACCAAGAATTTTATCAACATTTTTAAAAATAATTTAATTCTTCCCAAGAATTTTAATAAAATTAAAAAAAAATACCTATATTTATCGAGAAATTTATTTAAAAATTGTACTAAAAATAATTGAAATTCTGCGAAGAGTTTTATTATAAAAAAAAATCCAATTCTTGCAACGAATTTTATTAATTTTTTTTAAAAATTGAATTCCTGTAAAAAGTTTTATTATTTGTAAAAAAAAATTGAATTCGTGCGAAGAATTTTATTAAAATTTTTGGAAATAATTAAATTCTTTCGAGAAATTCAATTTAAATTGTATTAAAAATAATTGAAATTCTGGTAAGAGTTTTATTATTTATAAAAATAATTGAATTATGGCAAAAAATTATGACACCAGAATTTTCCCTTTTTGACTATTTGACAGTAGACATAAACATAATTAAAAAAAATACTTAAACATTGCACGGGATAAAAATTTAATTTGTTATCAGTAATGTAAATATTCTCATTGTATTAATTAGCAAGAGATCTGAAACAAAGATGAGTTTCGCTCTTTGATACGTAAAAAGCAAACGATGAGTCAAGTTATAACAAAAAAAAAATGTTTTATCGCAATGAATATAATTTACTGGGTCAATAGTGTTACTTACTTCTGATTGAGATACTGAAGAGTCATATCAATGATCTCACCCACAATTTCTCCTTCAGTAACATCGTATCCACACGTTTTTACAGGGAGTTGATCATCAGGATTTAAATTCGAGATGAAATTGTTAAAAAAGCATTGATATGAGCCAAGATAGTCGCCCTCTTCAATAACCGCAGACATTTTTTCAAAAAAAAAATGTAAATTTCACACTCACAAACTTCAGTAGTCAGTAGAAAGTAGGAAAAAAGCGCGAAAAATAGCAGCTTATTAATTTACACCAAAATAAAGAAAACAGGTCACTTGTACCACTTGTACTTGTCACGCTTGTCACAGTTTACATGTGCTTACACGTATTCGCTTGTTTATTTAACAATATCACTTCCTTATCGTCACTATTTTCACCTACAGTCGATTTTTAAGAGATTAATGAAATGAAATGAAAAAGACGCTTCCAGTATATTTCTTTTTCTTTCCTTTTACTTTGCAAACGAACTGGAAATAAAACACCAAGATTATAAACTATACGAGATACGAGATGTTTTTTTTAGGTTACGTCACTCATTCATCGACGCTAAAAGAACATACACGATTCTTCTCAACGTGAATTTCATCCAGAAGTATTAAAAGTCCGCGTGTCTTCAACACTAGTACAAAATACTCAGTCAAAACAACTCACATTTACTTTTTTCCTACTTTTTTTTCTCCTTATATTTTTACGAAAGAGAGAGAGAGAGAGAACTGGTGGTGATGCCAAAGTGTTGGGCGCGCGCTAAAAACTGTTTTCAACTGTTACGTTCACTTACGATCGTTACGTTATGTCGCGGTAAATTTCAAATACTTGATTTACGTTAATTCCACTAAATTACGAATTATTCAAAATTTTTTTAAACGATTTAAATATATCTGTCTCTCAATATTATTTTTCTCTTGAGCTTGAAACTGTTTGTAACATTTTATCAAGAAAATTTGTGCCGCGAAAAAATATTAATTAAATAATTGAATTCTTTCGACGAGTTTTAATAGAATTTTAAACATTTTTCGAGGAATTCAATTAAAATTGTATTAAAAATAATTGAAATTCTGGTATGAGTTTTATTATTCATATAAAAATAATTGAATTATTGCGAAGAAAATTATGAAAAATTTGTAAATAATTGAATTTCTGTGAAATGTTTAATATTTACGAAAATAATTGAATTATTACCAAGAATTTTATTAAATTTTTTTAAATAATTGAATTTCAGAGAAAAATTTTATTACTTTTGAAAATAATTGAAATTTTTACTGTAATTTTTGAACATAATTAAATTTTTGGGAAGAATTTTATAAAAGAAACTTTTAAATTATTAATTTCTTTTTTTAAAAATGCATTTCAATTGTTTTTTAAATAATTGAATTCCTGTTAAATTATTATTATTTATGAAAATAATTGAAATTTTGACAAGAATTTTATTAAAATTTTTTAAATAATTGAATTGCGGAGAAAAAAGTTATTACTTTTGAAAATAATTGAAATTTTTACTAGAATTTTTTCAAATCTTTGAACATAATTGAATTTCAGAGAAGAATTTTCTAAAAATAATTTTTAAATAATTGATTTTTTTTAAATATTGCAATTCTTTTATAAATAATTAAAATCCTGTCAAATTTTTATTATTTATGAAATTAATGAAAATCTTGCGTAGAGTTTTATTAAAATTTTTTGAAATTTTGAATTTTTTTTTTAAATAATTAAATTTTTCCGATAAATTTTGTAAAAATTGTATTGGAAATAATTGAATTCTTATAAAAATTTTACCAAAAATTTCAAAATACTTAAATCATTTCGAAGAATATAATTCAAATTGTATTGAAAATAATTGTTTTAAAAAAAAGAATTTTATTAAAATATTTGAAAATAATTGAATTATGGAGAAAAATTTTAATATTTATAAAATAATTGAAATCACATGAATTTAAAAAATTTTTTTGAAAGTACCTAATGATTTTCTGCGAAGAGAAATTTTTTTTTTTCATAAAATTTACTATTTTATGAAAATAGTAAATATTAAAAATCATTGAATTAAGAAAAAGTAATTGAAATTTTGCCTAAACTGTTATTAATACTTTTTAAAATAATTTATTTTCGGAGAAAATTTTTTTTTTATAAAAATAATTGAAATTTTTACGTAAATTAAAAAAAAATTTGAAAATAATTAAATTCCGGAGAATAATTTTATCACTTTTGAAAATAATTGAATTCTTGTGATGAATATTGTTATTTGTGAAAATAATTGAATTTCCCAAAGAATGTTATTAAAATTTCGAAGAATTGCGAAAAAATTTTTGAAATAATATTAAATATATATTTAAAAATTCAACTATAATTTTACCAAAATAGAAATTAAAATTTTTCAAAAAAAAATTATTCTATTTAATTATTAATTAAATCTATGAAAAATTAAGATTTTCCAAAGATTTGAATTTGAAACCTTTTTCAAAATTCAATTATTTCTAAAAAAATTGATGTTTTTTGTTACTTCTCCAAAATTCAATTATTTTTTTTACAGTTTTGAACTAAAATTCTTCTGTAAAGCCATTATTTTTAATAATTAATTAAATATATATTAAAAAAAGGAACTAATTTCAGAAGAATTTGAATTTATTAAAATTTTTTAAAAAACTAAATTCTTAAAAATATTTTATTTTATTCAAAATTGCAATTTGATGAAATTTCAAACTAAAACCTTTTGAGATTAATTTATTTATGAAAACTGGAAACGCAACTCATAAAATTCAATTATTTTTGAAATATTTAATTAAAATTATTCATTAAGTAATTTATAAGTACATAATATTATGATAGAATTTTTTTATGAATTCTAAAAATTTAATTTTTTCCCAGTACTTTTAATAAAATTTCCTGACTCTTTCCTGACCAATTCTACTTTTCCTGACTTTTCCCTGAATTTCAGAAATAGTTTAGTTCGATAAAATACTGTTTTAGTTTATATAATTAAAATTTATTCAAGATTTGTTGTACTTCGAGCAAAATGCATACAATTAATGCACTCATACAAATCCAGTCATTCGTCCCTAAAATTACAATTAGAACTTATTCCAAATTAATATTTACAATTATAGATTATCTAAATTAGAAAATAGTAATCCTAAACAACACAAATTAACTGAAAACACATTTACTAAACGCAAACAAGAAAAAAAAATTGAAAATCCTTGTCACACTTTAATTTGTTAATAAACAAATTAAAGTTTACAATCACAAAATAATCTTGACGATTATATTCAATTAATTAACTAAGTCACTGATGCGTGAATAATTTTCCGGTATTTTGACAAATTTCATAAATTTCCAAATGTGTGGCATTTTTTTTCTTTCATAATTTTCCCGACCAGAAATTTTCTTTTAAATACATTATTTATGGGGTCGTACAAAAGAAATAAAATACAATATTCTATTTCTCCTTAATACCCGTGAAAAATTTGCACAAAATTTACACACTTCAACGTGTGCAAATTAATAATTAATTTGTAAAAATTAATTAATTAATTAATAATTAATAATTATATTAAAAATATATAAGTGGAATTAATTTAATCAGTCTTTAAACGTTTCGGTGTTGGTTCACTGTTTTGTGAATTAGAATCTTCTGAAAATCCTAAATGCGATGAGAATTCTGTTATTCCTTGAGAATCACTGACTGTTGAGAAACCTGGAATAGAAAAAATGATTAGAGAGATTATTTTTTCTTTTACGGAAATTTTTTTGGAGTTTTTGCAATTAGCAATTACTTACAAGTATTTGAGTCTTCCGTAAGACCGAAATTCGAATTCGAAGAATCTAAACCTCCTTTCCTTGGCAAACCGTTTTCCTTGTCAGCCACTGTTTTTCCCTTCTTTTTCTGTATTCGAAAACAAAAAAATAGGTAAAAAATATTCAAATCGTAATTTTCGGCGCAAAAAAATAAAATTCAAAAATCTCAGCATCACAATTACTCACTCACCTTTCGTCATTTAAGTTAAATTTTGATAAATTTAGTCACTTTCTTCTTTTCTTAATAAAAGCACTTTTATTTTTATTGAAAAGTTTAATAAACAAATCGATTGTTTTTAAGTTAAGCTTTACAATTTTGAATTTTGTCAGTGAATGTCTCGAAAGAATTCGATTTATTCTACTTTGGAATAATTTTAACTTCTTCTTGATTAAATTTAGAAAACTGTAAATTTTTTCCACATCAGGCTTCGCACTTATCTACTAAAACCTACTATTTACTACTTTTTTAACGATTACCTAATATTTTGAAACTTTTTAAACAAATTTTAAACTAAAAACTACCTATTTCTTCTTTATCTGAAAATTTGCACTACTTTAAATTCGCAAATAGTTGAAATAAACAAATTATTATCAAAAATTTTAATAAAATACTTTTTAGGAACAATTCAAAAAATTTTAATAAAATGTTTTGAAATAATTCACTTATCAAAATTTTTTTTAAATTTCTTCACAAGATTTCAATTATTTTAACAAAAAAAAAAAAAATTTTGTAGCTGAAATGCAATTATTTTCAATATCTACTATTTTAATAAAATATCTTGAATGAATGCAATTTTATAAAAAAAATTTTAATACAATTTTTCGCAAATATTCAATTAATGTCACAAATACTAAATTTTCGCATGAATTCAATTATTTAAAATGCAATTTTCTAAGAAAATTTATCGAAAGAAATCAATTCATTGAAATAATTTAATAAAATTGTTTTTAAAGAAGTTTATAATTTGTCTAAAATTTTGATAAAATTTTCGTAAATTTCCATAAAATTCTTTTAAAAAAAATTTTTTTTAAATATTTAAAAAATTCTACGCTCAAATCGAGTGTTTTCACAAAGAATAAAATTCCTTGCAAAACAATTTTAATAAAATTTTTAGAAAGAATTAAATTATTTTTAATACCTATCTTAATAAAATTTTATATTTAGAATTGCATTATTTTCAATAGAATTTTAATTTAATTCGCCTAAAAAATTTCAAGAATTCAAATATTTTTATAAATAAAAAAATTCTTTAAAGGAATTCAATTATTATTTACAAAACTTTTTTGCAAAACTTTTATAAGAATTCAATTATTCAAAAATTGTAATAAAATTCATTGCAAGAAAGGAATTTTTTTATAATAAAACTCATTGCATAATTTCAATTATTTTTAATACAATTTTAAATGAATTCCTCGAAAAATGTAATTATTTGAAAAAAATTTTATTAAAATTCTAGGGAAGAATTCAATTATTTTAAAAAATTTTGATAAAATTCTTGGTAAATAGTCACTTATTTTCATAAATAATAAAATTTTTCCATGGAATTTAATACAATTTTCTATATAGATTACAATTTTAATAAAATTACTTAAAATAATTAAATTATTTTAAAGAAATTTAATAAAATGTTTCGCAGAAATTCAATTATTTTTAGAAATTGTGATAAAATTTTTTTTTGTAATTCAATTATTTTCAATACAATTTCAATTATATTCTTCGAAATAATTTCATTATTTTAAAATTTTTGATACAATTTTTATAAGAATTCAATTATTTTTCATACAATTTTTACTAAATTTATCGGAAAAATTCAATTACTTAAAAAAAAATTAATAAAAATCTTTACAGAAATTCAATTATTTTCAAACATTTTAATAATATTTTTAATGAGATGCAATTATTTTTAATACAATTTCAATACAATTCCCTCGTAAAATTAAATTATTTTCAAACGTTTTTAATAAAATTCTTCAAAACAATTCAATTATTTTCAAAAATTTGAGCAACTTGACTAAAATGAGTATTTTAATAATGAAATTTAATTTTTCGATTGCTACTTTTTGATATTTTTTTAAAATTAATTTTTGAGTGCGAAGCCTGTCATAGTTTTAATATAGAAAATTCGTCTTATCTAGTAAATACTGTGATCACTGTACTTTTTTATTCTCCTCCTTCTTCTTGTTTTTCGAATTTCAAAGGAAAATTTCTCTTTCAAGTTTAAAAAATTATAATAAAATTATAAAATTTATTAAAAAATTATTCTAAAATAATTTCTAAAAAATCAAAAGGTGGAACAGAATTGATTAAACTGTTCGAACTATATATATGTTAAAAAATTATAGGTTATAAAATATAAAAACATTCTAATTTTTCAGAAAAGAAACACTTTTAAAAAAAGGCTCTAGAAAAATTTGAAAACGTAACAATAATAATTTTTATAAAAATAAAAAGCAAAGAAAACAGAAATAAAAATAACTCACTTGCTCGAGCGTTGAAATTGGAACCCATTTATAAATTTTCATAGTCGTCTCTCCTATAGTCACCCATTTTTTTTCCCTAGAAAAATTTAATCCATTATAAATAATAATACCGAAATTGTGGAAAATTTAAAAATAAATAATCAGGAAGGAAACTTTTTTTTCTTGATAAACAAATTGTTTTCATTTACCAGTGTCTGACTTTGTCCACAACTTGCATAACACGTTTAACATCATCTTTAGCTCGACTTCGAGTTTCCGCGCGTACAGACCGAGACATCATGATATTAATTGTCGAAAATTTTATAAAACACAATAATTTTTTTCACTTTTATTATATCCACTTGTTAATAAATTCGAAAAATTCCAAGTATAAAGAGGTTAGAAAAGTGACAGTGCTTGGAATTCGTGGTTCTCGTCTTTCGCCATCGGCCATATTCACAGTTTTCACAAATTCACTTTTATTACAAACGTTTACAACCAATCACAGGGGGGAATTTCTTTTAGAACTTTGTTCCAATTGGATTATTACATAAGAAAGGGGGAACGGCGTCTGTTTTATTGTCGAATCGAGATACGAGCAACGAAATTCTTCATGTCAGAGTTGGGTATTTCGATTGAGAAACATTTTCGCTTTGCGTTTGCGTAAATATATCAGCAGTGGTGCCAACCGTTTATCAACAATGCGCGGGCTTATTTGAAATTAGGTCCCTGAAGTTGGCGTCGAAAATATTCACGAAACCAAAAAGAATAAAACAATTTTTCCGAAAAAAGTAAATATTAATTAACTGATAACTGAGAACATCTCTGAATATTATGGAGAGAGATTTTCAAGTTATTTTGTTTCAAAAAAATTATGAATTCAATTTTTTATCATCATCCTACGCAATAAGAGAAACAATTAACATTTATTATTTTTAATAACAACAAAAATTAACTTATTCGCGTAACAATAGTAAATAAAATAATATTTACTTATATTCTATATAAATAGTATTGTAATATAATTTCTATTTATAAATAAATAAATAAAAACAGATTGAAAGTAGAATAAAACTAAAAATTATACGTAACCTTCGAAACAAACAAAAATAAGTAAACAAGTAAATAAAAAAATAGAAAAAGTAATTATTTTCCCCCACTCTTTGCAAAAGAGAAACAATGAATTGATTTTTTTCTGTTGTAGGTAATTAACTATACATACCTGTCTACTTAAGCATGAGTGGAAATTTACATATATTATAACTTTCTGCGCCGACTCACTTGAATTTATTCACTGTTCTACTTAAAAAAAATCGCGCCGTTTCCTTGGAAACACTTTGTCATTATAGGACAAAACTCTTCAAAATAAAGTCAAACGAAAAAAGAAACCCCGAAAAATTAATATACAATTTTTCTTTTTCTTTTTGGTTTTGGGGGGAAAGGAAAAATTATTTCAGCAAAAAAAAAAAACAAACAAACAAAATGTCTATTAACACGACACCGATTCTTTATCTCAATTTGGGAGGAGAGATGTTATATATTTTACGACAAAGATTAAAAGCTCAGAGGATCGATGTCGAGAAATCCATTCAAGGCTAGAAAAATTAATTATTTATAAATAAAAAAAAAGAAAAACGCACCACTTGCACGCTGATAAAATGGTTATTGCACCATCACTAATCATTTTTTTTCTAATTTGTTCCCTTTTTTTAAAGAAATATATTTACACGATTGTCATTTGTAAATAATTTGGAAATTATTTTCCACCTATTAACAATTTTGGTAATAGGTGTTTATTTTTTTCTATTTTATTGTTATTTTGTTTATTCGCAGACATCGCACTCATCTACTAAAATTTACTATTTACTATTTTTTTTTACGATTTACTATTTGGATAATTTTTTATTTTTTACACTAAAAGTTACTTTTTTCCATGTTTGAGAATTTACACTACTTTAAATTTATTAACTGTTGGGAAAAAAAATTATTTTAAAAAATTTTAATAAAGTTACTTGGAAAAAATTCCAAAAAATTTAATAAAATTCTTTAAAACGATTTAATTTTTTCACAAATTTTCCGTAATTCAATGATTTTTAATATCTACTATTTTAATAAAAAATTTCCCCAAAGAATTGAGTATAATTTTAAAAAAATGTTTATAAAATTCTTCGCAAACATTCAATTATTTTCATAAATATAAACAAATTTTCACAGGAAATTCAATTATTTTAAACAGAATTTTCCTAATATTTTTCAAAAAAAATCAATTATTTAAATAGATTTTTATAAAACTCTTCGCAAGAATAAAATTATTTTAAAAAAATTTAATAATAATCATTGCAAGAATTAAATTATTTTTATAATTTTATTAAAATTCATCACAGGAAAAATGAAACTAGGTATTCTTAAAAATTTTAATAAAATTCTTGGAAAGAATTTAATTAATTAAAAAAAATTTCAATGAAATTCTTTATAATAATTGAGGCCTTGGATCCAATAACTCGCCCGACGCTCGGAGGAACGCGCGACTGCCAGTCAGTGAGCAGTGAGCGCCTCTGGGCCACTCACTGCTACCCGACTGATATTAGCGCGTGCCTTCGAGCGTCGGGCGAGTTATTGGATCCAAGGCCTCAATTGCATTGTTTTTAATATAATTTTAATAAAATTTTTTGAAAGAATTCATTTTCAAAGAATTTCAATTATTTAAAACACAATTTTCATAAAATGTTTTAAAAAAAATCATTTCTTTACAAAATTTTTTTTTATATTCTTCTCAAGAATGCAATTATATTTTAAAAACTTTATTGAAGTTCTGTGACAAAAATTCAATTATTTTTATAAATAATAAAACTCATCGCAGGATAACAATTATTTTTAACATAATTTTAAAAATTATTCCACTAAAAACACAATTATTCTTAAAAATTTGAATAAAATTCTTTGAAAACCTTAAATTATTTAAAAAAATTTGATATAATTTGTTTCTTAAAGTACAATAATTATTTTCAATTAATTTTTAATTACATTTCTTGAATTAATTTAAATATTATCAAAAATTTTAATGCAATTCTTCGCAAACATTCAATTATTTTTATAAATAAAAATATTTTCACAGGAATTAAATTTTTTAAAACAAAATTTTCCTATAATTTTTCGAAAAAAACCTATTATTTTTATAAATGTAATAAAATTCTTTCCAAAAGTTTAATTATTTTTATAAATATAATAAAATTCTACTGAGGATTTCAATCATTTAAAAATAATTTAATAATAATCGTTGCAAGAATTCAATTATTTTTGTAAATATTAAAACTCATCGCAGGATTTCAATTATTTTTAATACAATAAATTTTAAATTAATTCTGTGAAAAATGCAACTATTTTAATAAATTTTTTTTGAAAGAATTCAATTATTTTCATAAATAATATATAATTTTCAAAGAAATTCAATTATTTAAAATAAAATTTTCCTAAAATTTTTTGAAAAAAATCTTAGAGTGTAATAATTATTTTCAATTAATTTTTAATTATATTTCTTTAATGAATTTAATTATTATCAAAAATTTAAATGCAATTCTTCGTAAAAATTCAATTATTTTAAAAAGTGTAGATAAATTTTTTATAAGAATTCAAATTTAAGAAATATTCAATTAGGAATAAATTATTTATTTTTGTATTTAAATAATTGAATTTTTGTAGAAGTGTCTAATAAGAATTGATTTAGAATTAAATAAAATAAAATGTTTAAAGTTTTGAATAATTTTGTTTATGAATATATCAACAAAGAAATGATTGAATTTTGAAAAAATTACTTTTGTAATTTTTAGAAATAGTTCAATTTCAAAAATGCGTAACATTGAATTCAAGGGAAATATTTTAATTCCTGCAGACAAAATAAATATTTAAATATTTATTTTAAAAAATTATTCTATTTTTGAATGTAATTAAGAAATTATTAAAAAATTGGGTCGTCAAGTTTAATTTTTTGATAGCTACTTTTTTAAAATTAATTATCGAGTACGAAGCCTGTCATTCATAAATTTTCTTTTTTTCACAAATTAATATAATCAACAGACGAAATAATTTTATTCAAGTCGAGAATAATTTTTGAAAATACGTTTAGTTTGAATTTTTTGAAATGAAATAAAAATAATCCTCGAGTTGAATAAAATTCGATTGTAATTCATCGAAGCAAAAAAAAAAAAAAAGTAAAAGAAAAAAAGAAAAAGATAACAAGAAAAAAATAAAGAAATAGTAAAAGAAAAAAAAAAGAAAGGAAAAAAAGAGAAAAAGAAAAAGAAAGTGAAATTATTTTCTTTATGGTTAAAGAAAAATATTTTTATTTGCAGTTCTTGATGACGTGACTCTTGCTTTATTGGATCCAAAAACACTTTCGTTAATTTTCGAAAAAACCCCACTAATGGGCATTTCATCGATTCGATCAATTTTGGAGAGAGTGGTTCTCTGTTCAATAATGAAATTAGATGGGAATAGTATGAATAAATTATTCGAATTAATGTACACAATGGTGAAATATCAATTGACAGTTGCCACTGGGCCAAGGGAAGTTGTTCTCATTACGTTAAATCACACAGATGCAATGAGAGATATGGTGTCTGATGAAAATGCTCACCAGTGCGTTAGTTTAGTCCATCAAATGATTGTTGACGTGAGTTGAACAATTGAATTTCAATAAAGATTTACTTAAATAAATAAATAATAAATAAATTTCAATTTCAAATAAGTAAAGATAAATTTAGATTTTAAACAAAAATAAACTTTCCTTTCAAGAAAAAATAAATTTCAACTTGAAATAAAATTGAATTCAATTCATCAAAAAAATAAAATATAATTCCAAAAAAAAAATTAATTTCAATTTCAATTAAAAATAAATTTTGATCTCAACGAAAAGTAAATTTCAATTTGAAACAAAAATAAAGTTCAATTTCAATTAAAAATAAATTTTAATTTCAACGAAAAGTAAATTTCAATTTGAAACAAAAATAAATTTCAATTTCAATTAAAAATAAATTTTAATTTCAACGAAAAGTAAATTTCAATTTGAAACAAAAATAAATTTCAATTCGAAAATAAAATAAAATTCAATTTAAAAAAAATAAATAAATTTTGATTTTAAACAAAAAAATTTCAATTTGAAGTAAAATAAATTTTCAACTTGAAACAAAAGAAAATTTCAATTTGAAAGAAAATGAATTTCGACTTGAAACAAAAATAAATTTCGGTTACAACGAAAAATAAATATTCATTCGAAAGAAAAATAAGAATTTCAAAGAAATAAATTACTTTTGATTTAAAAACAATAAATTTCAATTTGAAACAAAAACAAATTTTTATTTCAAGGAACAATTAATTTCAAACAAAATAAATTTCAATTTGAAGTAAAATTAAATTTCAAAACAAAATTAAAATTTGATTTAAAACAACTACTATTTTTCAGACAAAATTAAAATTAGATTTAAGGAAAATGAATTTCACTTTGAAACAAAATAAACTTCAATTTGAAACAAAAATTAATTTTTATTTCAAAAACAAATAAATTTCAATTTTTAAAAAATCAATTTTGATTTCAAGGAAAAAAATTTAAACTTGAAACAAAAATACGTTTCAATTTGAAACAAAATAAATTTCTGTTTCAAACAAAAATATATTTTGATTTCAACGAAAAATAATTTTCTATTTGAACCAAAAATAAAAAATGATTTTAAACAAATATCGATTTAAAAAAAATATAAAATTAGATTTCAAGGAGAAATAAATTTTCAACTTTCAAACAAAACAAATTTCAATTTGAATCAGAAATAAATTTCAATTTGAAACAAAATAAATTTTCGATTTGAAATTGAAGTTAGAGAAATAAAAATATTGAATTATTTCAGTTATATTCGAATTTAACGTACGAGGAAATTTGGAAAGTGAGAAACGAATGTTTGGATGTTCTCAAGTCAATAAATGTAAGAATGACAATTCTCTTGAGACTTGGTCTTCAAAATGAAAATGCAACATTCAACGTTGGAAAACAAACTTACAACGAACGGTACGACAAACAAGAAGCAAAAATTGCCCACTTAAAATTGACAGATGTCAATTGTGATAAATACACATTTGGCTCTTTCAATCTCTTTGGAGATCGAATTACTTTATTGGGAAGAAATATGTAAGTACACTTAGTAGTGAAGAAAAAAAATCCTTTTTTATTTGATTAAAAAGAATGTGACACAATCTGAAAAAATGAATTTTAGAGGAAAACGAATTAAACATCGTCAGAGTTATCACAAAAATTCTATTTCGTTTCCTATAAAAAAAATTCCAAAAAAGATAAATTATTAAAAAAAAATCGAAATTACTTTTTTACTCTTTTGTTTCCTAATAGGCGTTTTTTTTTTTTATCATTTTTCATGTTAAATATTTTGAATAAAAAAATAATGAAATTCCAATTTAAAGTTTTCAAGATTAAAATACAAGAAAAATTAATTCAACACATTTGTTTTCAATTGAAAACAAATGTGTTGAATTAATTTTTCTTGTATTTTACAACTTAATAATATTAATTTTAGAAGATATCATTTTTGAAACATTTATAATTTTAAATTTGAAATAAATTATTTCTTGCATAGAATTTAAATAAAATTTTTTAAAATAATAGAATTCTTTTGAGTAATTTTATTAAAATTGCAATGAAAATGATCAAATTTCTGTCAGGAATTTTATTATTTATGAAAATAACTGAATATTTCGAAGAATTTTATTAAAATTTTTGAAAATAATTGAATTATTTCGAAGAATTTTATTATTTGTTAAAAAAATAAATAATTATAATTAATTTGGTAAGTTAATTTTTTTAATTTTAGAACTAAAATTATTTAAGAATTGAAGTTGACATTAAAAATAAAAAATTTGGAAATTTCCAAAATAATTTAATTGTTTCGAAGAATTTTATTTTCCAAACTTTTGACAATAATTCAAATCTTTCGAGTAATTTTATAAAAACTGCAATAAAAAAAAGTGAAATTCTGATGAAAAACTTTTCTCCAAATTTCAAATTGAATTATTTCAGGAAATTTATTTTAAAATTGTTTTGAAAATAATTTAATTCATGTAATTAAAAAATTTTTTAATTTTGGAAAATAATTGAATTTTTTTTAATGAATATTATACAAAATTTTCGAAATTAAACTTTCTTAATAATAATTTAATTAAAATTTTATCGAAAATAATTGAATTCCTGCGAAGTATAATTTAAGAACTTTTTAAAAATCGGTATTTAAATTTTAAATTCTTTCGAGAAATTTTATTAAAATTATATTGAAAATAGTTGAATTCCTCAGAAGATTTTTATTATTTATGAAAACATTTGAATTATTGCGAAGAATTTTATCATAATTTTTGAAAATATTTGAATTGTTCCGAAGAATTTTATTAAAATGTTTGAAAATAATCAAAAATAAATTAATAATATTTAAGTACTTAAAAAGTGAATTTTTTTAATTGAATCTGAATTTATTGAAAAATTAAAGTTGATATTTAAGAATAAAAATTTTTGTAATTTTACATAATAATAAATTGAATACGTAACATTTATTAGTTCCTTAATAATTTGTTTTTAAAATGAAGTATCTTTAAAAAATTGAAATAAAAATTTTTAAAAACCAAAAGTATTTTAAAAATAAATACTTAATTATTAGTAATTTTCTTGAAAACAAATGAAATTTTTAAAAATTTTAGTTTAAAATCTTTTGAATTTTGGAAACTTTCAACAAATTTTCACTGTAATTATTTCTATGTTAATTATGATTCATAAACGTCTTTAAAAAATTTATTCTAGAATTTAATTATTTAAACGAAATATAATTATTTACAGAAATAAGAATTAAAAATATTAAAGTTCATTATGATTGAAAAGTTTTTAAATTGGAAAAAAATTCAAAGACAATAAAATCTTAAGTTTTTAGAGAATGTTTTTCAACACAAAAAACCAGAATTTTTACAGTAATTCTAAAAAATTTGATGTTTTTACAGTAATAAAAATAAAATTTTAATAAAATTTTGCAATTTTTCTAATCAATTTCATTATTTCTGATTTTTTTTCCATATTCCTGTACTTTTTTCTTCTAAAGGCTCTTTTTTTCAAATTGCGTCACTTACTTATGAAAACAAATTTACAGATATTCGCCAACTTATGGAAATATTCCGAAACCATGTCTAAAGCGAAACAGTCGACAAGTATTGGTTGACAGTCGACAATTATTAAAAACCGACTCTGGATGTAAAGCAGAACTTGGAATGCTTGCCTTACAATTGGGAACTGAAGAAACCACCTACGAACGTCCCTTTAGCTTAAATCTCTACATAAGTGACGAGAATATGAATTCCCACACTGATCAAAATCACAAGGAGCTAAAAGCAAACGAAGAGGAAATTCAAATCGAAAACAACGCCAGTATTGATAAAGAATACAAAAATGAATTGGAAAATTTATGTGACTTACAAGATGAATCGACGAATATCAAACAAAGTATGGACCTACTCAAACTTCTCGATGAAGTTTAAAAAAAACTTTATTTTTCTCCCCCTCTCAAAAATCATTCAATTCTTTTTTAATTAGACTTCTAGATTTTTTTCCAAAACTCATAATTTCGTAAAAAAAATAATTACCTGATAATTTCCTTTCTCCCCCTCTCATTCTTTCTTAATTAGATTTCTAGATTTTTTTCCAAAACTCATAATTTCGTAAAAAAAAAATAATTACCTGATAATTTCCTTTCTTTCCTGTTCGATAATGTGCATTAAAAGATTTCCTTAATAACAAATGTATTTCGAGAAATGAGAAGATCTGTTTTGTAAAATTTGCGATTTTTTTAATTGCAAATATTATTGGTACTCTATGTACACTTGTACGTTTGAATAAATGCACGTGTAACCTTATATTTTTCTTTTCTTTCTTCCTCCTTTCAAATTGACTATTCTTTGGAAAATATTTTTAATTTTTCTCCAAATCTAGAATATACTTTAGTCCCTGTTTACCATCGAGATTTAGAGCATTCTCAATTGCTTCCTTATAATTTGAAAATGGAATTATTTTGTACGGTGGTGCAATTAATTTTTTATCTTTGAAATATTTTGCCAACTCTTCATACATATCGGTTCTATCCTTTGAGTTTAAATTCTTCTTATTCCACGCGGTCATCCAGAAACCTTTCACTGATACGTCCTGTAAATATAAATCTTTTATTTTAAACTTTCTTTTCTTTAAAAAAATTAAACATTAAAATTTTCCCAAAATATAGGTTTTTTGGGAAATTTGAATATTTTTTTAATATTTTGAGTTTTAAGAAGTGAGAAAAGTAAGAAAATTATGAGAATAAAAATTATAAATGGAAAATACTTTGAATATTAAAGCTGAAGTGGGAACGGTGACGGGTTCTCTGGACATTCCACCATAAGTGACCATAACACCTCCATGACCAAGTTGTCTCAATACTTCGAGAGCATTCTGTCCACCAACGCAATTTAAAGCTAATTTTGGTTGGGGTAATTTTTTGCTTTTAAATAAATCCGTTTTTCGCAATTCGGCTTCGGTTAAAACTTCAGTCGCTCCCATTTCTTTGAGTTGACACTAAAATAAAAAAATTATATTATTCGCTGCCAAATTAACAAATTTTTCACAGTAATGAATTTTTTATTATTATTATTATTAGATATACAAATTGCAAAAATTTTAATTTTAAATATCAAATTCAATTTTCTAATAAATTCAGATTTTAAATATAAATAAAAAATCAATTAATTATTATTTAATGTTTTCCACGATTTTAACAAAATTTTTTGAAAAAATCCATTTGTTTTCAACAATTTTAATCAAATTTTTGGCAAGAATTCAATTATTTTCTTAAATATTACAATTTTATACGAGAATACAATATTAGTAAAACTTCTTGAAAAAATACAATTATTTTCGTAAACTTTGATAAAATTCTTTGAGAAATTCAATATTATTTCTTAAAAATTATAATAAAATTCTTCCAAAGAATTCAATTACTTTTCAAACAATTTTTTAAAAATTCCTTTAAAGAATTAAATTTATTACTTAGATAAATTTTGAAGAATTTTGAAAATTCGTTGCAATAATTCAAATGTTTTCAAATATAATAAAAATCTTTTCAGGAATTCAATTATTTTCAAAAATTTTAATCATATTCTTTGCTAAAATTCAATTATTTTCATAAACTTTGAAAAAATTCTTCATGAGATTTCAATTATTTTTAATAAACTTTCAATTAAATCAATTATTTAATAATTTCAGACTTAAAATTTTAAAAAATTCACCAATCAATAAATTATTTATTATTGTTTATAATTTTCAAAAATTTTATGAAAATCCTTCGAAATTATTAAATGTTTTGTAAAAATTTAAATAATATTCTTCGCAAGAATTCAATTATTTTTATAATTAATAAAATTATTCTTTCCAAGAGATTAATAATTTTTATAAATATAATACATTTTTTTCACAGGAATTTAATTATGTTCATAAATTTTGATAAAATTCTTTGAAAAAATGTAATTATTTTGCATACAGTTTTAATTAAATTTCTTGACAAAGATTTCAATTATTTTCAACTATTTCAATTGTTTTAAGAAATAACAAAATTCGTGGCTAAACTCTAATTATTTTCAAAAATTGTAGTAAATTCCAGACAAGAATTGAATTCTGTAAAAACTTTTATAAAACCCTTCGACACAATTTAATTATTTTTAATAAAATTTTAATAACATTTCTCAACATAAATAAATTAGTTTCAAAAATTCAATTATTTTCAAAAATTTAGTTAATTTTCTGCAAGAATTCAATTATCTTCATAAATAACAAAGGTTTTTTTGCAGGAATTTAATTATTCTCAAAAAATTTAATAATCCTTGACAAAATTCAATTATTTTAAAAAAAAATTAACGAACTTCTTCGCAATATTTCAATTGTTTTCAGAAATAGCAATATTCGTCTCAAAAATTCAATTATTTTTAATAATTCTAATAAAATTCTTGACGAGAATTCAATTATCTTCATAAATAACAAAATTCTTCGCAGAAATTCAATTATTTTTTAAAAATTGTAATAAAATTCTTGGCAAGAATATTAATTAATTTTAAAAATATTAAAATTCGTCAAAGGAATTCAATTATTTTTGAATATTTTAATAAAATTATTCAAAAAAATTCAATTATTTTTTTAACTTTCAATAACATTTTTCTTAATAAAATTAATAATTCAAATATTTTCATAAATAATAAAATTTTTTGCTGGAATTCAATTATGTTCAATACAATTTTTATTAAATTCATCGAAATAATTTAATTATTTTAAATCAAGAAGCAAAAAGAACAAAAAGAAAAATTGAAACAATCATTTTCAATTATTTCACATAAAAATTAAATTTTTTAAATTTAAATAAAAATTTACACTCAAAATTGTGTAAAGTAAAATAATTTCTAAATTTTTCTCATGCAAAAATTGTGTCAACAAACTTATTCTCTGAATCTGAATTAGTAAAGAGAAAAACAATTTTTTTGAATTAATTTTTGTTATTAGTATTTAATCTTCGAAACATTAAATTAGAATTGCATTGATTTTAAAATTTAAAAAGAAAAATTATCGAAGAAATTGGAAAATAAAAAAGTAAACAAATACAAATAACTTTAAACTGTGAACTAACATTCAGAATACGATTATTAATATTGATTATTAAATATGAAATTAAATAAAAGAAAAAACGTTTCTAGTGAAAATATATAATGTACCTTAAGATCTGAAATGTCAGGTCTATCTCTTACAACACTGACATTTTGAAAATTCCATATTTTACAAAGTTGTGTCACTAATTGTCCGACTGCGGAATTGCCCCCGTTTTGAATGACTGTATCTCCAGAATTAAGTGGAACAAAGTCTTTTAACATTCTATACGCCGTGCAAGGATTTACATTTAACATACTCGCTTCCACGGTTCCAATATCCTTCGGAATCTGCGAAGAAAAGAAAAGTTATGTACTTATCTCTATTAATTTTATCAAAAAATCAAATGTTTCGAATTTATTATTTTAAATATACAAAAAATGTGTTACTTTAAAATGAAATATTCAAAACTTTAAAATACAAAGTTCGAATCATTAAAATACAATATTCGATGCGACTTTTTAAGCTCTTAAATAAAAAAAAATATTCAGACCTTGGTTCGAATTGAAAGCGTAAAAAAGTCGCTTTAATCGATTAAAAATCCCAAAAAAGTGGAGAAATTCGTTTCCTGACTTTTCCCTGAATTCCAAACAAAATTTTGACTTTTTCCCTAATCTTAAAGAATATTTGTCAAAATTATTTTCATCATTTCAATTAAGTTATTATTTTCTAGAATTTTTAACTAAAATTCTTTTCTAAATCAATGATTTTCAATAATTTTCGAAAAAGTTCTTTGAGAATTTTTGAATCCGTTTATTTACAATTCAATTTTACGAAATTTCGATTATTCGAAAATTCTTCAATTAAATATATATCAGAAAACAAAAATTTCAAATTACTTCAAAAAATATTCAATTAAACTTTTTCAAAAACATTAATTATACAGAATTATTAGTTAAAAATATGAAAAATTTGAATTTTCGAAGATTTTAATTTGAAACATTTTCAAAATTAAATTATTTCTGAAAATTAACGCCTTTTATATTCAATTTTATCTAAAATTTTAACTGAAATTCATTTTTAAATCAATTTTTATTAGAAAGTCCTACGAGAATTCAATTATTTAAATTAAATAAAAAATTTATTGAATAATTGAATATTTCTTAAAATTAAAATCTCATAAAGAATTTTATCAACAAATTTTTAAATAAATGAATTGTTTCGACGAATCTTAATAAAATTTTTAAGAATAATTAAAATTTTCGAGAAATTCGTTCAAAATTATATTAAAAATAATTGAAATTCTGTAATCAGTTTTAATATTTTTGAAAATAATAATTGAATTTCTGCAAAGAATTTTATTATTTATGAAAATAATGGAATTATTCTAAAGAAATTTAATAAAAAATTGGTAAATAATTGAATTCCTGTGAAATTTTTATTATTTATGAAAATAATTAAATGTTTATGTAGAATGTTATTAAATTTTTTTAATATAATTGAATTCTTTTGGAAAATATCATTAAAATAGTAGAAATTGAAAATCATTGAATTGAGGAAAATTTCTGAAAATAATTGAAATTTTGCTAAGAATTTTATTAAATTGAATTTTGAAAAAGAATTTTATTTTTTATAAACATAATTGAAATTCTCGTCAAAATTTCAATTATGTTTATAAAAAATAAATAATTGAATATTATGCTCAAAAATTTATAAAAATTCGCGTCAAAATTTCAATTATGTTTATAAAAAATACAATTCTTTTTCGCAATTCAATTTAATAAAATTCTTGGCAAAATTTCAATTATTTTCAGAAATTTTTCTCAATTCAATGATTTTCAATATCTACTAATTTAATGAAATTTTCCAAAAGAATTCAATTATTTAAAAAAAAAAATGTAATAAAATTCTACATGAACATTTAATTATTTTCATAAATAATAAAAATTTCACAGGAATTCAATTATTTACAAATTTTTAAAAAAATTTCTTCACAATAATTCCATTATTTTCATAAAAATAAAATTCTTTTCAGGAATTCAATTATTTTAAAAAATATTAAGACTCATCGCAGTATTTCAATTATTTTAAATACAATTTTAATCGAATTCCTCGAAATTTATGTTTATAAAAAATAAAATTCTTTTTCGAAATTCAATTTAATAAAATTCTTGGCAAAATTTCAATTATTTTCAGAAATTCAGAAAGTCTGCGAAGAATTCTATTACTTTTGAAAATAATTGAATTTCTGCAATCATTTGTAACTTCTCCAAAATTCAATTTTTTTAAGAAGTTTTTAACGAAAATTCTAAATCCATTTATAAAAATTCTAAATGCAACTCCTTTAAAATGCAATTAATTTTGAAATATTTAAGTAAAGTTATTCATTAAATAATAATTTATTTAAGTAATAACTGAAAAAATTTAACTTTAAAAAGTTAGAATGAAAAAGAATTACATTTTTCAAAACTATTTTAACAATTTTTAGAAGTTAATTTTCATTAATTTTCATTTTTAATTTACACTTGAAGATTTTACATTAAAAGTTTTAAGAATTCAATTATTTTAAAAATTTGTAATTAAAATTCTTCAAAAATTTTAATAAAATACTTAAAAAGAAACAATTATTTTCAATTAAATTTTACAAAATTTCAATTATTCAAAATCTTTTTAATTGTATATTTCGAAAATTTTATTAGAAAAATTATTGAGAAATAATTTTTTAAGATTTGTCAATAGTTATTTTTTTCTCTATAAAAATTAAAGTAAGTTGCATTTTATAGTGAAAATGTGGTATTTTGTTGCAATATTTGGAAGAAAAGTCGAAAAAGTCGCAATTTTTCGAAAATAAGCCGAAAAAAGTCATAATATCATTGGCCTGAATATTCGAATCTTTAAAAATTACCTTCATAACATCCTCAGATTTGTATATTCCTTTCGTTCTCCACGTTCCAATATTGGAAGCATTTGGAACAACTCTATCGCCAACTTGTAAATTCTGAACATTCAATCCCAGAGCAACTATTTCACCAACTCCTTCATTTCCTGGTACTGCTGGCAAAGTCGGTTTACTGGGATATTTACCTTGAATTGTGTTAATATCAGCCGGGTTGACCGGCGACAATAACCATTTTACAATCACCTGAATAATTCAATTTAATCGAAATATATATTAAATTGTTAACAATTTCAAAAATATAGAATAAACATTTTTACCAGTATTACCTGATTTGCCTCTGGCTTATTTACTTGATCCGTTTGACATTCAAGAACATTGAAAGGTTCCCCATATTCTTTGTAAAGTAATGTTTTCGACGAAACGACACTCATATTTCGAAAAGCAAACAATTTTCCCGTGAATGTTGATTCCGTTAATTTTGTCAATAATTTAGAAGTAGACATTTTAACGTCACTGGTATTTTGTTAATAGTGATAATAAATAAAAAAATATATAAAATATACTTTACAAAACATTAACTTTGAGTTTGATTATAACGAGACGTGTGTGATGTTTGATTTTGAGGTTAGGTTAGGTGTCGACAGACGAGGTTCTTATGTCTTTCGAAGCGGCAGAAAAAGGCTTTAGTTTAATAATTCCAATATAGAATTCAAATATTAAATTAATCTTTTATATTTAAAGCTAATTAAATTATAACTACTTTTACTTGTCGAATCAGCAATAAATATATCTTTCACATTCGATTATTATATAGAGCACTTCGATTTTTGATTTCGCGCGCAAAAAAGTCCAAATTGCCCATTGTGGACACAGCTTTACATAATGTTTTGGATATTCGATAAAAAGATTCTCAACCCTGACGAAATAGAATGAGTACAACATCAGAAAATTTACTCATAACTAACGGCCACATCAAGTTAGCGTATACCGGTTCTCGTCCGATCACCGAAGTCAAGCAACTTTGAGCGCGGTTAGTACTTGGATGGGTGACCGCTTGGGAATACCGCGTGCTGTTGGTTTTCTTTTTTTTCAATTTTTTATTAAATTATTATTATTATTATTATGTATTATAAGAAATTCTAAATTACTTTTTAAAATTAATATTTTTAAAGAATTTAATATTGTTTTCTTGGAGTAAAATTATTACATAATTATTTAAAAATAAAACAAAATTATTTAATTTCACGAATGTAGGTTATACTAAATTTTCGCAGGAATTCAATTATTTAAAATGCAATTTTCTAAGAAAATTTAACGAAAGAAATCAATTAATTGAAATTATTTCCAGAAACTTAAATAAAATTCTTCACAAAAATTCAATTATATTTGCAAATAGTAAAAATTTTCATATTAAAACTCATCGCAGAATTTCAATTATTTTTAATACAAGTTTTTAAATGAATTACTCGAAAAATATTGGTAATAATTAAAAAAAAATTTTTTTTAAATTCTTGGGAAGAATTCAATTATTTTCATAAATAATAAAACTTGAAAGAGTTAATTTATTTTAAAAGAATTTTAATAACATGTTTCGCAGAAATTCAATTATTTTCAGAAATTTTGAAAAAAGTCTTTTTTGTAATTCAATTATTTTCAATCCATTTTCAATTATATTCTTTGAAATAATTTAATTATTTTTACATTTTTGATAAAATTTTTATAAGAATTCAATTATTTCCAATAAAATTTTTACTATATTTATCGGAGAAATTTAATTATTTAAAAGAAAATAAATCTGTAAAAAATTTGATTGAATTGAAAAACGTTTTTGAAAATAATTGAATTTTGAAGAAGAATTTGATTATTTATAAAGATAGTTAAAATGTTTTGACGAGAATTTTTTTTAAACTTTTGAAGAATTTTACTACTTTTGAAAATAATTGAATTCTTGAGATGAATTTTAATAATATTTCTTTTTAAATAATTGAATTCTTTTGTGAAATTTTATTGAAATAGTAGACATTTAAAATAATTGAATTTTGATATATTTTTGAAATTAATTAAATTTCTACGAAGAATTTTAAATTAAAATTATTTTGAAAAAAAAATGAATTATCAAAAAAAATTTCATTAAAATTTTTGAAAAATAATTAAATTCTTTTAAGAAATTTAATTAAAAATGTATTGTCAATAATACTTAAATTCTAATAAATAAATTATAAGAAGGCTTTTTAAAATAATTGAATTTGATAAATTTTAATAAAATTTGTAAGAATAATTAAATTACATTTTTCGAGAAATTCCATTAAAATTGTATTAAAAATAATTGAAATTCTGCGATGAGTTTTATTATTTATGAAAATAATTGAATTTCTGTGAAAAATTTTACTATTTGCAAATATAATTGAATTCTTGTAAAAATTTTATCATTTATGAAAATAATTGAATTATTGAGAAGAAATTTATAAAAAAAATTTGTAAATAGGTAATAATAAAAATAAAGCGAAAACGCGAACAATAGCAATAATAATCAATAATAATAGCAATGAAGAAATAAAAACTGCATAAATTGAAATTTTTTCTTTTATTTAAAACATTTTTCATATTTAATTACATACTACTTGAATTTATATTACTTATTGAATAAGGTTTATTAATATTTAAAAACGTAAAGAAAGAAAAGATATGTAAAGATAATTCTAGAATGTGAAGTTATATTATAAAAATATGCTAACAGTGTTCTCATCAGCAGTCTTATTTTAATAATATACAATTTAAGTGACTCGAATTATTTTTGTTTCCATTAATTTCTCAACGTTAGAAACGTTAGAATTCAATTTTTTTTCTTTTTTTTTTTTTGAACAAAAATTTGAAAGAGAAAAAAAGAGTTTGAAATCTCTTATCAAACTGTACAATAATAACTTAATATAAATCTTATTCTAGAAAATTAACCTCCAAATTTTACTATAAGTCATACAAATGTTCGCCAATGTCCGCAGAATTATTACCAATTATTACTAACCAGGAGTCATGTCCTAAAATTTTTTTTTTCAACTATTCTACATAGTATTTTTCAAAATACAACTAAAAATATGTTGCTAAAACTCTGAATGTTCAAATGAAGAAAATTTATTTCCTTTTTTAAATTCAAATTCTAACGTAGGTGAAATAATAATAATAAAAATTATAATCAATTCAATTGTTTATCAAATTTAAAAAAAGTTTTTTAATACCGACTCAATATTTATTGTAATAAAATTGAAATTTGAACGTTCAGAATTTTTTCATTTTCCAAAAATTTGAAACGCTAATTTCTTTTCAATAAAAATTAATAATACTAAACCTTTTTTTCAATTGGAATATTTTCAACAAATTTACCACTGAAATAAAAATTTTGAAAACTTGATGAATTTTTCAAATTAAATTTTGAAAAAGAAATGAATTAATTTCGTTGATTACGAACGTGTTCAGAATTATTTCATCATCCAAAAATTTAGAACAAAATAATTGTTAAATAATTTTCAAAAATTTCTCATCAGTGAAATAAAAATAAAAAAATTACATATTTGAAAAGTTGAGACATTTTTTAATGCTTGTTTCAATTTTTATTATAAATTAATTGAATTTGAATGTTTACCAAACAAAATTTGAATCTTTTTGAAAACAATATTTTGAATTAAAATTCGAAATAAAAATGGTTTTCCTAAAGTTTTGAACGTTCAAGTGAAGAAAATATTTTTTTGTGCTCCAATATTTTAAAAAAATAATAAATTAAAATAAAAAATAATGTGAAATTAATTTTTTAATTACATAAATTTTGTAAAATTGTAAATTAAATAATAAATTGTGTAAATAAAAATCAAATTAAAAAAAAAAATCGTAAAAATATCGTCGATCATACATAAACCTTCGAAACTTTAGGAACATATTTGAATTTCAAAAAGAAAATAAATTTCGTTTATTTGAACTTTCAGAATATTAGGGACTTGTTTTCGAGTTTTAATGTTTAATATTTCGAATTTTAATCTTTAATATTTAACATTTTAATTTTTTACTCAATCGATTGGGTTAAATTACAAACGAATTTTTTAATAATTAATAATTCAACGATTTGTATTTTCATCTTTATAAAACATAAATTGAAAATTAAAACTGAAAAATTGGAGAGTAGAAAAAATTCAGAAATGACAAAAGAATTTAAAAAAAATATTTTCCTCTAATTTGAATTAATTTTCATTTTGAAATTTTTCTTTTTTAAAATTATTTGAAATTCACTTTTTTCAAAATTTGCAAATTAAAACTCTACAAAATACGATTTTCAAATTTTTTTTAAAATACGTAATTTCTAAATTAATGATTATAAACTTTTTTTACAATTTTTTTTTGTTCTAAAGTATATTTAAATATTTTTTGGAAAATAATAGTTTTTAATTTATATTACATAGTAATTCAAATATTTCCAAAATAAATACAATTTAATAAAAATTTTCAAAAATATTGATAAATTTTTTTCTAACATCTGTTTCAATTTTTTTTCTTTTTTTAACAATTAAGAATTTAATTTAATTGAATTTGAATGTTTACCGAAAAATTTCAATGTGAAATTAATTAAAAATCAAATTTATTCAAAAACCGAGAAATTTGAACGTTCACATAAACGAATCTGTTTTTTATTTTAACATTTTCAAAAATTACCATTCTGAAATCAAAAAGTAACGTAACACTTATTTACTTATTACAATTTTTTTTCTTTTTTTCAATATTTAGTATTTAATTTAATTGAATTTGAATGTTTACCGAAAAATTTCAATTTGAAATCAATTAAAAATCAGATTTATTAAAAAACCGAGAAATTTGAACGTTTACATGAACGAATTTGTTTTTTATTTTAATATTTTCAAAAATTACTAAATTCTGAAATCAAAAAGTAACACTTATTTACAGCTATGGAAAATAACTTTTTTCGATAACAATATTTTTTGAAATAAAATTCGAATTAAAAGTGAATGTAAAACTAATAGAAATAAACGTCGTAGTCTTTCATTTAAATGAATTTTTAGTATTTAAATTTGAAAGAGGAAATAAATTTCATTCTTGTTTTCGAATTTCAATGTTTAATGTTTAGTATTTAATATTTAAACTGATTGTGTTGAATGGCAAACAAATTTTCAAATGAAAAATAATTCAATGTATTTTCATCTTATGAGAATAGATTGAAATTGAAATTGAAAAATAGGAGAGTATAAAAAATGCGAAGAGACTCCCTCGAGTGTTGATTTAAGAGTCGTCGGTTTCGTAGGCTGGCGATGCTGGCGAATAGGTGGGACTTGTGGGCGAGTACCCTGGAACTGGAGGGGAGTAAGTGGGACTCGTCGGTGAATAACTGGGACTTGTGGGAGTGTAAGTGGGACTTGTGGGAGAATATTTGGTGCTTGAGGGCGAGTACTGTGGACTCGAGGGTGAATACGTGGGACTGGTTGGCGAATAATTGGGACTACTCGGCGAGTATCTTGTGCTGCCGCCAGGAGTGTGTTGGGGAGAGCTCGGCGAGTAGGAAGGACTCGTTGGCGAGTAACTCGGACTCGTCGGCGAGTAATTGGGACTGGCCGGCGTGTAGCGTGGTGAAGTTCCAGCGAACGATGGAGATGTTGGCGAATAACTGGGACTTGTCGGCGAGTACTTTGGAGAACTCGGCGAGTAGCTTGGACTCGCCGGCGAGTATTGAGGGGAACTCGGGGAGTAACTTGGACTCGTCGGCGAGTAAGATGGAGAAGCGGGTGTGTAGTTTGGAGAACTCGGCGAGTAACTCGGACTCGTTGGTGAGTAACTCGGACTCGTTGGCGAGTAACTCGGACTTGTCGGAGAATAACTCGGACTTGTCGGTGAGTAACTCGGACTCGTTGGCGAGTAACTCGGACTTGTTGGTGAATAACTCGGACTCGTGGGCGAATAACTCGGACTTGTCGGAGAATAACTCGGACTCGTTGGCGAGTAACTCGGACTTGTTGGCGAATAACTCGGACTTGTCGGAGAATAACTGGGACTCGTCGGTGAGTAACTTGGACTCGTCGGTGAATAACTAGGACTCGTTGGCGAATAACTAGGACTCGTGGGCGAGTAACTTGGACTAGTTGGCGAATAGTTTGGACTTGTCGGCGAATAACTTGGACTCGTTGGGGAGTAATTTGGACTTGACGGTGTCATACTTGGCGAAGTCGGCAAATAAGCTGGCGATGTTGGCGAATAACTTGGAGACGCACCGCCCGCTGGTGACATTGGATAAGGACTCATACTTGGTCCTGGACTGCCGGGACTGCCAGGTTGTGGAGAGTAAGCCGAATATGCTGGCGACATTCCTGATGCGTCCGATGCACCCGAAGGTGAGAAGCATCCAGCTCCTGGTGTCATTCCACTTTCCAGTGCTGTGAAAAATAAGGAAAACGTTGTATATCATTGTTGGATTGAAACTCAACTTCTTCAATTGTTTGCAAAATCGAATTAGTGTTTATTTATATACTCGAAATAAATATTTATATACTCGAAATAAATATTTATACACTCGAAATTAATATTTATATACTCGAAATAAATTTTTATAGTCGAAATAAATATTTACACACTCGAAATAAATCTTTATACACTCGAAAATATGCTTTTTGAAATTGGAACCTACCTGGTGACATACTGGAAGCACCGTAAGCAGGAGTCGCTCCAATCTGGTTCCAAGGAGTCATGCGAGGACTCATGCTCGATGTGGCTGCAGTTCCGTAGAACATTCCAGTTCCACCCATTAAATTTGCTCCGGTAGCCATTGGAATCTCCATTCCAGATTTACACTTCTCGGCGTCGAGTAATAAATCAAAGCAACCTGTAAACATTTTTATTATTAGCTACTTCCAAATATTTTACTTCATGCTTATGATTATCACTTTATTAACGATATATTTTTTAATAGACATGAAAAATTGTACCGTGAACTGGTCACTTGTTTACTATCCCTTCAAAATTTTAGTTCTTTCAATAAAAAAATCTAATAATAATAGATAATAATAATCAAAATAGAATTACCTGTGCCAATTCGAGGTAATTGTCCCATAATAATGTTTTCAGAAACACCTCTCATAGGATCGGTCTCTGCATGAGAAGCAGCGTCCAACAAAACGTCTACTGTTTCTTCGAAAGAACATCTGTAACAGGGGTTTAAATTAGCTATTTAATTAAATATAATTCTTTTAAAAAATTATTTAGAAAATTTAATGCATTTTAAATAAAATAAAAAATATAAAACTTTAATCATTTAAATAAATAACCTAGTGAATTTTTTAATCTTAAATTACTGATACTTAATCTCTAAATTTTTCATATAAAAAATAAGTTAAAAGCCACATTTTTTTAAAATAAATAAAAAAAACTTGTCTTTTTTTAAATAGTTGAAAAAAGTCCAAAAAGTTATAATAGAGTATTTTTGCAAATGGATTTTATCAAAAATTTAAAAATAATTGAATTCCTTCGAAGAATTTTCATAAAATTTTTGAAAATCCTAATTAAATTCTTTTGAAGAATTAGGTACTTTCAATTTTTTTTTAAATAATGGAGTTTCTTTAATAATTTTAATTGAAAATAATCGTGTTTCTTAATAATTGCAATTAAACGTTTAATTATTGAATTTTATTAAAATTTTTAGAAAATAATTAAATAATTCTTCTCAGAATTTTATTACATTTTTCTAATATAATTTAATTAATTCAAGGAATGTTATTAAAATATAGAAAATAATTAAATTCTTTCGAAGAATAGATACTATCAACGATTTTGACAATAATTGCGAATTCTTTCAAAAAATTTCTGTAATTTATTGATAATATAAACGATTTTGTTAATAATTTTATACTGTTAAAATTTTATTAAAATTATTCATAAAAAATTAAACAATTTTTTTAAAGCTTTTGTAAATTATTAAATTATTTTGAAGAATTTCTTTAGATTTTTTTTGAAAATAATGTAGTTTTTTGAATTATTTTAATTGAAAATTTTTATAATAATTGAATGAAATAAAGAATGTTTTTCAACTTTTTAAAGTAATCATTCCTTTTAATAATTATAATTAAAAATTATAACCCTTCCTGAATTCAATTATTTTATATAATTTTCAATTAAACTTTATCTTTAAATCAATTATTTAAAAACATTTTTAAATAATTTTTTTAAAAATTAATAGTTTTCTGATAGTTTTTAAATTATATACAATGGAAAAATTTCCAAACAATTGAAATTTGGTAAAATATTTTGAAAATAATTGAATTTTTGAAAAATATAAATAAAACTAATCAAATTGTTGAAGAATTTTAATTATGAATGTGACCATGATTTCTCCGAAATTTTAATAAGTCTGAAAAAGTAAATTTTTATAAATTTTTATTTACTTTGTTCGAAGATAATTGAATTTTTCATTAAAATTTTTTATAATTCAATTATTTTAAAAATTTGTAATTAAAATTCTTCAAAATTTGATTTTAAAAAATTGTAATAAAATACTTGAAAAAAATTTAATTATTTTCAATTAAATTTTACAAAATTTCATATTATTCAAAAAGAATTTTATTAAAAATAAATTTAAAAGATTTGTTTATAGTTTTTTCCGCACTACAAAAATCGAAATCAGTTGCACTTTATACTAAAAAATTTGGTAAGTATTTTGTTGCAATATTCGGAAGAAAATTCAAAAAAGTCGCAATTTTTGAAAATAAATCGAAAAAAGTTTCAATTTTCTTAATTTCCCTGACAAAAAATTTGTTTCCCATCATTTTCCTGATATTGCTGACAGAAATTTAATTTCCCTGACTTTACTGACATGTGGCCACCCTGATAATTGAATTTTTTGTAAAATAATATTAACCCGTTCCCTGTTTCCGACCCACGGGTGGGTCGTGAAAAAGTATGGCCATAACTGTTTCCGACCCACCCGTGGGTCGTGTTCACTATCACTCAAAATAAATATAATTTGTTTATAAATTGATAGATATTTTTCTTTATATCAATATTATAAGAAATTATAAGGGTCATTATTGATATTTTAGAAAATAATTGAATAATTAATTATAATTTAAATATATTATACTATTTGAAAAAGTATCAGATTCCGCTGGGCGTTTTGGGACAATCATGTTGTATTTTCTTCAAACAGTTAAGGGGTTAAGAATTAAAAAAAATTGAATTCTTTCAAAAAATTTGTATAAATTATTCAATATAATCGATTTTGTCAATAGGTACATAATTCAAATTAATAATTTTACTATTAAAATTTTATTAAAATTTTTGTAAATAATTAAATTCTTTTGAAGAATGTCTTTTTTGAAGTTTTTTTTTTAAATAATGAAGTTTTTTGAATAATTTTAATTGGGAATTTTTAAAATAATTGAATTGTTTCGGAGGGTTTATTAAAATTTTTTTAAAAATTGAATTCTTTCATAAAATATTATTGAAATTGAATTAAAAATAATTAAATTGTTTTGGAGGACTTATTAAAATTTTAGAAAATGATTGAATTCATTTTAAAAATTTTGTAATGAATTAAGAAAAATTTCAATTCTTTCGTGAAATTTTATTGAAAATAATTGAATTTTTGTAAAGATTTTACTACCTATTTAAAAAAACAATTGAATTGTTTCTCGAAGGATTTATTACAATTTCAGAAAATAATTGAATTTTTTCGAAAAATATTATTAAAATTTTTTTAAAAATTTAATTCTTTCATAAAATATTATTAATATAAAATAATTGAATTCTTTTGAAAAATTTTGTAATGAATTAAAAACTTTTGCAAAGATTTTACTACTTAAAAAAACAATTGAATTGTTGCGAAGAAGTTATTTGTATTTAAAAAAATAATTGAATTTTTTTGGAAAAATATTAGATTAAAACTGAATTAAAAATAATTGAATTGTTTCGAAGGATTTATTCAAAGGCCGTAGCAGTATAAGCATGTAAAAAGTGCCCCCTCTTGGATTAGGTCCATATTTAGGGAATAACTTTGACCTATTATGAGACTTATTTTCACCAAGTTTCAACTCGAAAAAAAATTTTGCTTTTGAGTTATACAATTTTTTTGAAAAATTCAAAAAAATTCTAAAATTTTTTTTCCCTCCAAAACGGCTGAACCGATTTTCATGAAACAATTTTTTTTGTACAATACAATATAAACAGTTGATAAAAAAAAATTGTCGACCAAATTCAAACAAAAAAAGTCAGTATAAAGTCAGTAAAAAAAAAAAATTTTTTTTAATTTTTTTAAAAAAACATTTTTTTTTATTGAAATTTTTTTTGCACCACCGCCATTTTTTTTACATAAGATAATAGTCATTTCAAAAGTAACATATATTTTTTGCAAGATGTTTGAAAGGGTACTTCATACTTTAAAAAATAAAAAACCAATTTTTGGCCCCTAAATAGTACATATAAACGAGGGGCCAACATTTTTTAAAATTAAATTAAAAATTAATTAATACTTAAATTAAATTTCTAAACAGTTGATAATATATGCCTGTTTATTGTAAATATTGATATTTTAGTCAACTTTTCAAAAAAATTTACAAAAAAAAAAATTTTTTTTTGAAGTTTTTTCAACATTGGCATATTTTTTAAAAATTGCAGAAAAAATTTAAAATTTACTTAGATTTAAGTTTTATCTTTAACTTAAGACCAAAAGAATTTAAAAATCTTATTCGGTTCGTGAGATCCCAATATACATATATAGAAAATATCTACTGCTTTGATTCAAAAATAATATTTGTTTGAATAATTGTGTTTAATTCAAATATATTTTCTGTTTTGGTTTAAACAAAGAATATGCTTAAAAATGTTATGATTGATCCAAACTTAAATGTTGATTAGAAATAATTTAAAATCAACCTTAAATTTTGTTTGAATTGAATATATTATTTCTATAAATGAACCAAAAAATATGTTTGAATTAAACTTAAATTTGTTTTACTGTATAGGAAAGATATTTTAAGTTTGATTTAAACAAAAATTTTTTGAATCCAAAAAATCATTTTCTCAGTGTATTTACAAAAAAATTGTGTTTTCAAGATTGACATGTTTTTGGGCCGTGCGCGTGCAGCCGTACAGGTAATTCCCAACGGTACATAGTGTACGTCCATTTACTTTTTTAATAAATCTTGTACATACTAAAAAATCAATATATACAATAAACAGGCATATATTATTAACTTTTTTAGAAATTTAATTTAAGTATAAATTAATTTTAAAAAATGTTGGCCCCTCGTTTATATGTACTATTTAGGGGCCAAAAATTGGTTTTTTATTTTTTAAAGTATGAAGTACCCTTTCAAACATCTTGCAAAAAATATATGTTACTTTTGAAATGACTATTATCTTATGTAAAAAAAATGGCGGTGGTGCAAAAAAAATTTCAATAAAAAAAAATGTTTTTTTAAAAAAATTTAAAAAATTTTTTTTTTTTTACTGACTTTATACTGACTTTTTTTGTTTGAATTTGGTCGACAATTTTTTTTTATCAACTGTTTATATTGTATTGTACAAAAAAAATTTATATTTGAAAATAAAAACTGTAATTTGCATAATAATAATAAACTGAATTAAGGTTCCGTAACATTTGCTAATTTAGAAATATTTATTACATAAAATTGACAAAAATTACCTCATAAGTGCTCCAGTGTCTTGTCTGTTAATACCGTGACGAGTGATGGCCATAAGATGACCCTTAGCCGTCATGACGTCACAAAGTAACGCAAGATGCCGATAGTTGACGTAAAGTCCATAAAACTGCAATACAGTATTCATTTCCTTCTCAATTGATTTTCTCACAGCTTCAATACCCAGAACTTCAAAAGTCTCACAAATATCGTTACTGAATGTCCTCACTGGATCGACGTCCCTCTCACTCAGTACCTTCATCAAACTCGTACCATCAGTTTCCAGCAACCATTCAGCGATTGCCTTGAATTCTCCCGTATCAGTGACAATGATTCTCTTCTTCGCGTCAGTTTGCGGCAAGTGCATGTACACCTTACCAATTGCCTCAACCCCCTGCAGTGTCATTTCACTCAGCATGTTCGATTCAATACACCTCAGGAACGTATCGTCCTCCATCTTGTCAATCGACTCCTTCTCCGCATCCTGGAATTTATTGTCATCACTGTTCATAATTCTTATTCGCAGAACCAATTTCTCAGCATTGTCGTCATTGAATATACAATTCAGATCGTCGCCAAAGCCGGCGTTGATCTTCTCGGCAATCTGCTCCATACTGAGTTTCTTGTCCGTCATTCTCTTTCGGTCGAGTTCGATACGAAGCAGCCAGGGCGAAATTCTCGTTGGATCGAAATCGGGCATCTCGTAGTAGACATTCACGAATTCTTGATCCTCGGCGATGACTGTATTTTGTGGATCGGGATCGTAGTAAATCGCCGTGTTGGCTGTGACTTTTTTCAAGGTTGTGTGCTCCAGGCGGCAGAGGACGTTTTTAGCTTTTTCGGCGTCGCGGGCCGCAGCTCCGGTGAGAAAAACGGTTAGCGAGGGAGCTTTCGGTTTCTTACTGATGTTGATGATTTCCTTGAGTCTCGGCACACCGAGAGTTACGTTCTTCGAGGACACACCGGCGAAATGGAAAGTGTTGAGTGTCATCTGAGTGGCGGGCTCTCCTAGAGACTGGGCAGCGAGCGCTCCCACCATTTCACCAGGTGAGACTTGCGCCTGATGGAAACGAGCCTCGATTTCTCCGATCAACCACTCGAAGGCCTCGCTCGACAGTCGGAAGTCCTCCGACACGCACTTGGTGCACAGGGTCGATCTCACCAGACACTGGAAGAGGAGGGTCGCATTCTCGTTCGCCTGCTTGCTGAGTCTGTCCTCACCGGCCACAATCACACACTTCTCCAGCAGGTCCTTCACACCCTGGATCACTCTCATCGGACTCAGATCAGTCGGCGCTCGTTTGTTAATATGAAAGATCTTCTGCACGTTCCAAATCATTCTCTGCAGATTGCAGGGCAATACGACCTGTAAGAAATAAAAACAAATTAATATAAATTATCTTTATTATTCCTCGAGTAATCACAATACAAGGTTACTACAAAAAATTAATTTTCTTTTTCCCTAATTTCCAGACAAAATTTTGAATTTTTCCCTGACCCTAGAGAATATTCCGATTCACCCTAAAAATTATTAGATACTCAAAAAAAATGTTCTATTACATTCATTTACGAATTTTTTTATTTGTCAAATTATTCGAAAACATCAATAAATTCTTTTTAAATAAATATTTAATCATTATTATTTTTTCATAGGAATTAAAATTTCGAATTCAGGGTGGCCGCAAGATTGACTTGATCAATTTCCCTGACATTTTACTGACATAACAACGAATTTCCCTGACAAAAATTTTTTTGTTTAGAGCAAAAAATGTATTGCATGACCGTCTTAATTTCTTTAATTGCTCTGACAAAAAATTTTTCCTGACATTTCCCTGACTTTACTGACAAAAAATTTTTTTTCCTGACATTTCCCTTCTTCTTTAATTGCCCTGACAAAAAAATTTTTCCTGACATTTCCCTGACTTTACTGACAAAAAATTTTTTTCCTGACATTTCCCTGACTTTACTGACTTTACTGACATGTGGCCACCCTGGAATTCAAACCTTTTTCAAGTTCAACAACTTATAAAAATATTAAGAATATTATTACAAAACATGAAGATATCGATCACTCCGAGTCTTCGACTCAAAATGCCTAAAATCGTTTCTCGATTCTTATATGCTGATATGACTTTTCTGTTTAAATTGTTGAATGGTTACATAAATTGTCCAGCATTACTATCTTCGTTTAAACTTAATGTACCTTCAAGACCGTCAAGATATCGTTCACTATTTATTATAGAATTCCACAAAACAAATTATAACTTGACGTTTTTAAAAATTTTTGTTCATAATTGAATTTCTGCGATGAGTTTTATTATTTAGAAAAATAATTGAATTCCTAAAAACAATTTTTTAATTTCTTTATGAAAATAATTCAATCGAGAAAAATTTTTGAAAATGTTATTGAAATTTGAAAAAAGAATTTTAAAAATATTTGAAAATAATTGAATTTTGGAGAAGAATTTTATTATTTTTAAAGATAATTGAAATTTTGACATGGCATTTAAAAAAATTTTTGAACATTTTTTAATTTCTGCAATCATTTGTAACTCCTTCTAAATTCAATTTTTTCCAGTAGGGGAAAGGCTTGCAGGTTTTTTCACTTGTGTTATTTTTTATTCTAGAAGTGCCATAATTAAAATATAACCCAAGTGTTACAACCTGCAAGCCTTTCCCCTATTTTAATAAAAATTCCTGACTTTTTCCCATATTTCCCTGACCGATTCTATTTTCCCTGACTTTTCCCTGACCTGTGGCAACCCTGAATATTTCGGTGGTTCGTCTCAGACTAACTAGTTGAGTGAGAAAAAACGATTCGACAATTAGGGAAACGATGAGTAATACATATAGAATATATTTTTCACAGACCTTTGATTCTCCACTTGGGAAAATCTCCCTCAACACCGATCGATCCCGACTCAGCTGCTCCCATTCCTTCTCCAATTCGGAAATCACTTCCCCTGAGCCCATCATTTCCCGCACGATTTCCTCGCTGAAAATCCTGCGCAAGTAACGCTCGTTCGTCGGATCGAACTTGAATCTCTTTTCAAAAGCCTTGTTGCTGAGTTTGATAGTCGGGAGATTCTGGAACTCGACCGCCTCACCACAGAGACCGTCCTCGCCGTATCTCAACTGGATGAGTTGTCCCACTGAATTCCTCACCGTTCCGTCGTAGTGCACCATAACAGACTCCATAGCCTTGATCAGACGTCGCTGAATGTACCCGGTCTCGGCCGTCTTTACGGCGGTATCAATAAGACCCTCTCTTCCTCCCATGGCGTGGAAATAGAACTCCGAGGGCGTCAACCCGGCCAGGTAGGAGTTCTCTACGAAGCCCCTCGACTCAGGACCGTAATCGTCCTTGATGAAGTGAGGCAATGTCCTCTTCCTGAACCCAAACGGTATCCGCTTTCCCTCTACGTTCTGCTGTCCCACACAGGCGATAACTTGCGAAATATTAATATTCGATCCCTTCGAACCCGACACGACCATAGCCTTCAGATTATTATACTCAGTGAGCGACTTCTTAGCCGACCCGCCCGTCTTATCACGAGCGTCGTTCAAAATCCTGTTCACCTGATTCTCGAAAGTCTGCCTCAGCGTATTACCAGGCGTAGGCTCCAGCTCCATGTTATGCGCCTTCTGAATCACCTCTATGACATCCTCCTTCGCCTTTTTAATCGCCTTCTGAATTTCCAAATAGGTCTGCGGATCCGCAATAGTATCGCCAATTCCAATCGAATGCCCCTCGAGCAACAACCAATTATTAATCACCGTCTGAATATTTCCGTAAAATCTCCCACAAACCTCGTGTCCCAACTCCAACATACAAATATGCAGCAATGATCCCGCCGATGAACCCAGCGTCTTCTTACACAAAATCCCCATCACAAGTTCTCCATGTTCCACCATTACTTTCGTGTCTCCTGGCGAAATCCATTTGTAAGGACCATCGTCCTCCTCATCTGGATGTGTACTGTGCGTCCTGATCATATTCACATTCCCCGGGATAATCAACGAGAATATCTGCTTCCCAGTCCAAAGGGGCTTTGGTTTCAAAATACAGGGTTGCGGCATTTTTCCATCCCAACTCGGCAGGAACATCAAGATATTCATCATTTGCTCCTTCTCGATAAACACATCCCTCTTTGTCATCTTCCTCACAGCCATGAGTGTGTCCTGCACGATACCCATGACTGGTTTATTCGCCTGCGGTGTGATAATCTGCCTGGGCGTCACGTGAATATTCTCCACCTCGGCCCTCGTCTCCATCGACTGCGGAACGTGCAGATTCATTTCGTCGCCGTCGAAATCGGCATTGTACGGCGACGTGCAACTGAGATTCATCCTAAACGTACTCCATGGCAGGACCTTCACTCTGTGACCCATCATACTCATCTTGTGCAAAGTTGGCTGACGATTGAAAATCACCAGATCCCCGTCGCGGATATGTCTCTCCACCTGAAGCGATTATTATAAGAGATTATTATTATTGGACTTATTTTTTGGTTTTGTGAATTTTTCATGACAATTTTAATTTCTGTGTCTAATAATTAATTTTAAAAAAGTAGCTTTCAATGTAAAAAAATTAGTAAACAAGTAGCTATCGAAAAATTAAACTTGACGACCAAAAAAACTCGTTCACAAAACTGACAACAATTCCATTCTATATTTTATTTTCCTGACATTTTCCTAGTTTTCATTAAAAATATTTACTTCTTTTTTATTATGCTAATAAATTGAATTCCTGCAACGAATTTTATTATTCATCAAAGAATTTAAATATTTATAAAAATACATAATTTAATTCTTGCGAAGAATTTTATAAAAAATTTTAAATAATTCATTTCTTTCGTCTAATTTTATGCAAAATAAATAATTAAATTCTGTTTGGAAATTTTATGAAAATAGTAGATATTGAAAATTATTGAATTTTGCGAAAAGTTTTTAAAAATAATTAAATTTTACAAAGGATTTTTATTAAAACTTTTGACAATAATTGAATGTCTGCCTGTCATTTTATTAAATCTTTTTTAAAATAATTGAATTTCTAAAAAAGATTTTATTATTTACGAAAATAATTGAATTCTTGCGAACGATTTTATTAAAATTTTTTCAAATAATTGAATTTTCAAGAAAATTTATTACTTTTTAAAATAATTGAATTCTTGTGATGAATATTGTTATTTATGAAACTAATTGAATATTGCAAAAAATTTTATTAAAATGCCCCAAAATAATTGAATTTTTAGGAATAATTTTGTTATCTATCAACATAATTGAATTCTTTTGAAGAATTATTTAAATAAATAGGTACCTAATTGAATTTTTGGGAAGAATTTGAAAAAAAACATTTTTTTAAATAAATGATTTTTTCGAGGAATTGAAATTAAATTTTTAAGAATAATTACATTTTTTGATCAATTCTGTAAAATTGTATTAAAAATAATTGAAATCCTGCGGTAAATTCGCAAGAATTCAATTATTTTCATAAATAAGAAAATTCTTCGCTAGAATTAAAATACATATTTTCATAAATAATAAAATTCTTCAAAGGAATTCAATTATTTTCACAAATAATAAAATGTTTCGGAGGAAATTAATTATTTTCAATAATACAAGTTTAATAAAAATTCCCAAAAGATATTTTTAAAAATATTATTTAAATTCAATTATTTTCTAGAGTTTTAATAAAAATTCAATTTTTTTTTAACAATTCTGATAAAATTCTTTGAAACAGTTTAATTATTTTTATAAATTGTAAAATTCTTTGCAAGAATTCAATTATTTTTGTGAATAATAAAATTTTTCTCAGAAATTCAATTATTTTCAATAAAATTTTAATAAAATTTCTAGGAAAAAATTCAATTATATTCAAGATAATTTTAATAAAATTTCTATAACAGGTTTAATTATTTTTAAAAATTGTAATGAAATTTTTCTTTAAAATTCAAATGAAGCGTTTTGTGCAGAAACAGCATAAGTCCATAATTCGAAATTGTTCAGGAATCAATAAAAACGGTTTTTCTCGTAAATGTTAAGATTTTTTTAATTCGGTTTTTTGCATTATATTCTACTAACCTATAAGTTGAAAAATCCAATATGATTAATTAATTATCTACTTAATATAAAAAATTAAAAAATATATTAACATTTGGACTTATGCTGTTTCTGCACAAAATGAAATGAAAAACACAGAAAATTTATTAAATCCAGTGAAATATCAACGTTTTATGAAATATTTAATAACATTTATTTAAAATATTAAATTTGGATAATTTTTAGTAACATTTTATAAATAATAAAATTGTTTTAAGAATAAATTTAACCAATTTTCAATATTTTCTAATTTTAAAATAATTCAGTCAGCACTGTCACTTTTTGCTTCCCATGAGTGTTTTTATTTATAATATAAACTGTTTAATATAAATTATTAAAATACGTCAAGAATATCACAAATAAATATAAAACTTATCATGGACTTGTGCTGTTTCTGCACAAAATGATATTTTAATTATTTTTTTTAAGGGTTTAGAGTTTAGTCACTTATGTAATATTTTACCAGATTGAAAAGCTTTATTTAAAGATAAATTTTTAATAAAAAAGTGATTTTCGAAAAAAATGGACTTATGCGGTTTCTGCACAAAACGCTTCAAATGTTCTCAAAAGTTTTTAATAAAATTCTTTGTAAATTTCAATTATTTTCAAAATTTTCAATTAAAATTATTTTTAAGAAATTTAATGAAATTTTTCAAAAAAAAATGTAATTATTTACAAAAACTCAAATAAAATTGTTTAAAAGAATTTAATTTTCTATAAATAATTTTAATATGATTTAATAGAAAAATTCTTAAGTACAATTATTTATAAACACGATTATTTTTAGAACTTAAAAGAAAAACTTTATAAAATTAAATTCAATTACTTTCCAAATTTTCAGCAAAAATTATTGAAAAAAAACTATTATTTTCAAGAAAATTGAAATATATTCTTTAAAACAATTCGATTATTTTTAAGAATTTTAATAAAAATCTTGACACGAATGAAATTATTTTCAACAATTTTGATGAAATTCTTTTTTTTTAAAATCATTATTTTCAAAATTTAGAATAAAATTCTTTCCAAAAATTTTTTTCTTTTCAAAAATTCAGATAAAATTCTTCGAAATAATTCAAATATTTTTATATAATGTAAAATCCTGCGGAAGATTTCAATTATTTTCATAAATATAAGAAAGTTTTTCACAAGAATTTAAATATTTTCATAAATAAAAAAAATTCTACAAAGGAATTCAATTATTTTCAATACACTTTTAATAACAAATTCAATTCTTTTCAACAATTCTGATAAAATTCTTCAAAACAATTCAATTATTTTTATTAATTGAAAAATTTTTGACAAGAATTCAATTATTTGTGTAAATAATAAAATTCTTTTGAGAAATTCAATTATTTTCAATACAATTTTAATAAAATTTCTATAGAAAAAAATTAAATTATATTCAAGACAATTTTAATTAAATTTCTCTAAAAATTCAATTATTTTTAAAAAATGTAATAAAATTTTTCTAAACAATTCAATTGTTCTCAAAAGTTTTTAATAAAATTCTTCCTTTGTAATATAATTTAATTATTGCGAAGAAATTTATAAAAAATTTGTAAATAATTGAATTCCTGTGGAAAATTTATTATTTATGAAAATAATTTAATGTTTGCTAAGAATGTTATCACCACTTTTTTTTAAATAATTGAATTCTTTTGAAAAATTTTATTAAAATAGTAGGTATTGAAAATCATTGAATTGAGGAAAATTTTTGAAAATAATTGAAATTTTGCCAAGAATTTTATTCAAATTTTTGAAAATAGTTGAACTTTGGGGAAGAATTTTGTTATTTATAAAGATAATGGAATTTTGACAAGAATTTTTAAAAATTTTTGAACATAATTGAGTTTTATGAGAAGAATTTTATTACTTTTGAAAATAATTGAATTTCTGTAATTATTTGTAATGTCTCCAAAATTACAGTTTTTTTTTTTAGTGTTTTGACTGTTTTTAACAAAAATTTGAATTAAACATTTTTCAATTCTATTATTTTTAAAATTGATAATTTTATTTTAACCTTTAGTGCTATGCCGGTCTGACAGACCGCTATAAAAATTTTCTTTGCTTGTAACTTTTTTTCAAAGTAAGATACGAACTTGAGCTTTTCAGTAGCTTCATATTTTATAAAAATCTGTTAAATGACAACTTTTTCAAAAAATTTTTTTCTTTAAATTTTGTATTGTAAAATATGTAAAAATAAAAAAAATTGAATCAAATTAATGTAGAAATGACTCTTTTAATGTTAAAAAGTGAAAAATATTTACAATAGTTGTCTTTAGAAAATTACAAATTACTAAAAAACCGTAAAAAAAGGAATAACGGTCTGACAGACCGGGGGTAGCACTGAGCGTGATTTTTCGGCACATAGCACTTTAAAGGTTAAAAAAGTAAGGAAAAAGCTCGCCGCGTGCTTTAACACGCGAATTGTTGCTAAGTTATTAATATAGATTGCTTTTTTTATGCCTAACGTTAGGTTCAATTTTTTTATTGAAATTATAAATATAAATTGTGAGTTTTTGACTGATATTTGTGTACTTCTGTCTATAATTTATTTAAAATTTGTCTTCCTTATTGTCGCTATTGCATTTATTTTATTTTTATATTTCATTTTTAATTCATGAAGTTGAAGAGTCCACAACGTTGATCAACGAAAAAAATGAATTTAATATATATAAATATTTATTTAATAAATAACGCAGCAATATTGCCACAAAAATATTTAGAAAAACAAATTGATATTTATGTTTTGATGATAATTGTTTTACAATTATATATTAAATTGTAAATAATATTTGAATGTATTTGTTTTTCTAAATATTTTTGTGGCAATATTGCTGCGATATTTTCTATAATTAATTTACTTAAAGAACAATTTTTTTTCGTTGATCAACGTTTGTGTATTTCAACTTGATTGTAATTCTTATGAATTTTTCTGTCGCGGTATTTCTTTATTTAAAATACAAGAAAATCGTTACACACCTTATAACCACACTGGAGATGCAGATCAGAAGCCTTCGGATGAAATCGAAGATCTATCCGTTCGCCACTGTCCCTGACGATATACTTCGCTCCCGGGTATTGCGAATTCCCCCTTCGCACTAGTTCCTGCATTTTATCGATATTGAACGGAGTGACGATCTCCGGGAATGTGAGATTCTGAGCGATACTCCTGGGCACGCCGACTTGATCGATTCGGAGATTTGGATCCGGTGTGATGACCGTACGCGCTGAGAAGTCAACACGCTTACCCATGAGATTACCACGAATTCTTCCCTCCTTGCCCTTGAGTCGCGCCTTCACGGCTTTGAGCGGTTTGCCCGACTTTTGCATTGCTCGCGGCAAACCCGGCAGATCGTTGTCCACCAAAGTGGCCACGTGAAACTGGAGCATTTTTATTATTTCCGACACGATATGCGTGGCGGCGCCCTTCTCCTCACTCCTCATGAGTTCGTTATTCGTCTTGATAATATCGGCCAGTTTGTGTGTCAAATCGTCTTGATTTCTGGCCGAGCCGTACATTATGACGGCTGGACGCACCGACAGCGGTGGCACGGGTAGAACAGTGACGATCATCCAATCGGGACGAGCGAAACTTGGATCCATGCCTAGAATAAAAGACTCCTCGTCTGTTATTTGCTTGAGAATTTCGTGCGCTCTTTCGGCGGTTAGGGGCATTTTTTTCTCCTGTGAATCTTCGTTGACGTGCTTCCATTCGGCGGATATGTCGAGACCGGATCTCTTCAGACTCGGTTGATAGCGACCGCAACCACCGTGACCGGGCTTTCTGTCGGCAAGCGGAATTTCTGTACCGTCCTTGTTTATGTCCATTTCGTCGCCACCCTCGCAGATGTTTTTACTTTTACATAAATCGTAGACAAATGTGAGACGCTTGCGGGGCTGTCCTTTTGTCTTCATGACGATTTCTTTGATTTTTGGATTATTCTAAAATGAGAAAATAATGAGTTGGGGGAAATGAAAATTTAACTAAATTAAATTGGTGAAGTTCACGATGGTCAGGATTAATAATAACAGGGCTCGAACCAGTGAAAGTATTTAAAAATATATTTTTAAAAACCTAGTGAAGTAAAGTCCGTATATGGACTTTACGGACAAAAAATTAAAAATTACGGACCGATTACTGACAAAAATATAACTAGTCCGAGTCAAATAAGAGAAAATTTTACTTAAAACTCTAAATTAAATTTTTTCTGCTAAAGAAAAGAACAATTGTTCGAAAACATGGAATCAAAATCTCTTGTTTCTTTAAAGTACTCCTCTCACTTTTATACTTGGAAAAAATCGATTTTTATAAAAAATATTCTTCAAATTATGAGTAAATGTTCCTTTCTGCAAACCTTCTGTTTGATAAAAGTTTTAGAATCTCTTACCTTACTGAAATTTATTTTTTTGGAATTCAAATTTTTAACTTTTGACAAAATCACAAGTATCGTTCAAAATTTAAATTCAAATATTTCAATTTCGGTACTTTAAAGGATTATAAAATTTTTACCAAGCAAAAAGGAATATTTATTCAAATGTTGAAGAATATTTTATCAAAATCGATTTTGTCAAGTATATAAAGAGAGAAATAACCATAAAAATTCGGAAATTAATTCTTCTTCCCTGACTCTAAAGAATATTTTAATTCACTCTAAAAATAATGAGACAATACATTTGTATTACTAACACTTTTCTATGTATCTGTATTTTTTGGTTTTTAAATATCTTCAGTTTGAAAAATTATTCGAAACATCAACAGTTTTTGTTAAATAAAAATTTAATTATTATTATTTTCCTACAGGAATTAAGATTTTTATAAAAATTCCAAATCCTTTGAAATTCAATAATTTATAAGAATTGCTATTGTAACTTCTCAAAAATTATTTTCAACATTTCATTTAAATTATTTTCTAAAATTTTACAATAAAATTCTCCGCAAAAATTTCATTATTTTCAATCAAATTTTAATTGAATTACTTGAAAAAATAAAAAAAATAAAACTACCTATTATTTTCAATACAATTTCAAGTAAAATTTCTCGACAAGAATTAATTATTTTTAAAAACTTTAATGAAATTCTTTGAAAAAATTCAGATATTTTCAAAAATTGTAGTAAAATTGAATCCCGAAAATTCAAATATTTTCATAAATTACAAAATTTTTTGCACAATTAGCACAAATTCAATTATGTACTTATAAAAAATCTAATAAAATTCCTTGAAACCATTGTTTACAATATTATTTCAGTAAAATTTCTCTACAAGGATCAATTATTTTTAAAAATGTTAATGAAATTCTTTAACAAAAAATTCATATATTTTCAAAAATTGTAATAAAATTCAATTATTTTCATAAATAATAAATTAATAATATTCATAAATAAATAATAATAAATAATAAATTTTTAGTAAAATTTATCAGATTAATTAGGTACATTAATTGAGGAATTCGATTAAAATTGTATTAAAAATAATTGAAATTCTGTAATGAGTTTTATTGTTTTTTAAAATAATAAAATTTCGGAGAATTTTATTATTTATGAAGATAATTGTAATTTTAACAAAAATTTAAAAAATTTTTTTGAACATAATTGAATTTCTGCGAATAATTTTATCACTTTCGAAAATAATTGAAATTCTGCAATCATTTGTAACTACTACAAAATTAATTTTTTTAGTGTTTTTAACTAAAATTCTTCTCTAAATCTATTATTTTTAATAATTAATTAAATAAATATTAAAAAATTTAACTAATATCAGAAGAATTTGAATTCTTAAAATTTTTCAAAAATCCAAGTTCTTTAAAATTCATTCAAAATTGAAATTTTCTAAAATTGCAAATTAAAACCATTTAAAGTTTATCTATTTATGAAAATTGTAAACGCAACTCTTTTAAAATTCAATTAATTTAAAAATATTTAAATAAAATTATTCATGAAATAATTTCTAAAATAATGTTATGGTAGTTTTTCAACAGTTAAGTTATTTAAAAAAAATTTATTGTCAGAAATAAAATAAATTGAAAATTTTTGATTGGAAATCGTGGTAATTTCACAGTTTATGAGGCAAACAAAAAATAAACCAAAATTCAGAATTTTCTTATGAATTCCAAAAATTAAATTTTTTCAGTACTTTTAATAAAAATCTCTGATGATTTTTCCCTGATTTTAATAATTTCTGAAAATTACAATTATAACCCTTCCTGAATTCATTTTTTTTCCTACAATTTTCAACTAAACTTCATCTTTAAATAATTTTCCGAAATTTCTTCTAGAATTGAATTATTTAAATACAGAAACTCAATTTTTTATGATAATTGTAACTGTCCATGTTTTTTTCTTAAGATTTTAAGATATAATATTTTCAAAAAATTATAATAAAAAAGTTCTTACAATAAATTTTTTTAAAATATTTTAAAATAATTTTGGAAAAATTACTAGGTACTTCTTCAATTATGTCAAAATTTAAAAATTTTCAAACAATTGAAATTTAGTACAATCTTTTAAAAATAATCATGAAATTCTTAAAAGAATTTTTGTATACATAATTTAAATAAACTAATTATTTTTTTGATGAAGTTTAATCAACAATTTTGAATATGATTTTTTTCTCCAAACTGTTAAAAATAATTCTAAAATGTTATTATTTTTTGTATGTATTTGAATTTCCGGAAATATTTAATTGAAGAATTTTAAAAAATTAGAAATTTATTTTCATAATTTTCATTTTTAAATTTACATCTAAAGATTTTTCATTATTTCATTAACATTATAAAAATCAAAATAAGTTGCACTTTTTTTGCTAAAAATTGTGGTATTTTGTTTCACTGTTTGGAAGAAAAGTCGAAGATTTTGAAAATAAGTCGAAAAAAGACTCAATTTTCTTAATTTCCCTGACAAAAATTTTTTTCCTGACATTTCTCTGACTTTGCTGACAAAAATTTTTTTCCCTGACTTCACTGACATGTGGCCACCCTGAATATTCTTTTGAAATAAAAATTGAGTTAAATGGAAAAATTCGATTAGAATATTTTTTTCCTGCAATAAAAACTAAATCGTTGATAATTATAAACGACATGAACTTCACCAAAATACTAAAGATTAAATAATCCAAACGGATTTATTAATTATTTTCTTTGAATATACTCACTGGACTAACTAGGAGTTTGGAGCAGAAAAAGCAAACGCATCTGAGAATTTTCATGCTTTTTGTGATGAAACCAATGTGAAATACTGGTTTTGCTAAATTTATATGACCAAAATGTCCAGGGCATTCTGTAAGATTTCCAGCGCACGTTTGACATCGTGAATTTCTGTCAATTACACCTTGTCTTGGATCCATGAGTCCGCCTTGTTTTGGCCGGCCTCCTTCCATAGTTTCGGAAAAACGAATTCCGCCATCAGTGACGGACATACGCCGCTAAAAACGCATTTTTCAATTTGTAAAATAGAAAAAAATAAAATAGAAAAATATCGCTACAAAGTCAAAAAAAAAGTTGTTTCTGAGAATTTTCTTTTTCACGGATACCTAACCTCATTATGCGTTAATTACAGTATTTTGGGTATTTTGCTATTTCACGAAAATTCGAAAGTAGATTCATAATTAAGACACAGTGTTTTTATTTTTTCAACTATATTTTATTGTTTGAATGGTAAAAATATTCAAAGTTTGGTAATTTTTTTTCAATAATTATGATTTTTTTCCTTCTCTTTTTTGAAACTGTCTTGTGGTGCTGCTAATAGTGACGATGTCAAGGAAAAATGGAGGCTAACTGCGATTGTACCATAGCGTTAAAAATTTCGTCAATTTTCGTTGTGATAAAAGTAAAAGACTTACAATTTCATCGGGCGAAAGTATGCCAAATTGCACTCGCTTCACCTGGCGAACAGGCATTTTTGATTCGAAAGTAGACATCGTGATTGATTTGATATAAACTTTTTAGACAAATAATCCGAGGCCTTATCGGCCTCTTCGCTAATGGCCACTGACTACTAGCTGCCTGGCTGTGAGTAGCATCATAAACTACTGAAAACATCTAGAAAGTTTTCCCGTCTTGCGTCCTTCACACCAGGGTGGGGTAGTTACCTTAACCCTTTTCGACCACACATTACGTCAGCAATTATCTCTAAATAATTATTTACTTACTTCTTTTTTATGGAAAATGAAAATATAAACAAGATTGATACAGTTTTTTTAATATTTCAGTAATTTCTTTCAAAATTATAGTTTGCTTTTTTTTGCCTGGCTACTAGTTTCTAACAAAAGTGTGAAAGCACCTTAACAAAGAACGCTCTCTGATTGGTTGCTTCTTCCTGCTGATGTAAGAGCAAGTACACACTCACACACACAGACAAATAATGCACAATTGACATGTCAGTGAAAGTCTTAGGAAATTAAAAATATACGAAATGGCGACTTCAAAAACATCAAATACATATAATCGACAAAATTGGGAAGATGCAGTAAGTATTTTACATTATTTCGACAATATTGATGTCTATTAATTTGAAAATTATTCACTGTGTTCATTTTTGTTTGTTTCATGAAGGAATTTCCAATTTTATGCCAAACATGCCTTGGTGACAACCCGTACATTCGAATGGTGAGTAATTTCCTTTATTTAACTGTTATAAATATTGTAAAAAAGTGGACTATTTTACTTTTCGTGCATTGTTTTTACTTTACTCTCTATTGTTTGATATGCGACTCAAATTAAACGTGCGATAACAATCAATGTTTGCTCAGTTTTGTTTACATAAATTGCTCTTTAAATTCTTTTGACATTCAGTGATTTTAGGATGTGTTCTCATCTACTAAAAACTACTATTTATTACTTTTTTACTACTTGATACTATTTAGAATAGTTTTTTGAGTATACCACTCATCACATTGTAAAAAAACATTAATATTAATTTTTTACATAATAATTTATTTTTTTAGAAATATTTATAATTATAATTGATTATTAATTACTATTATTTATTTATGCATCTAAATAATTAAATTCTCGTAGAACTTTCGGAAAATCATTAATTTAGAGAAGAATTTTGGTTAAAATCTCAGAAAATAATTGAATATTAGAAGAGTTATAGAAGAAATTTTTTTAAAATAAATTTAAATAATTTAGGATATCTTTAAAAATTCCAAATGCTGTAGAATTTTAATAATATTTAAATATTTCTTTTTAAAAAATATTAATTTATTATATTCCTAAAAAAATTAAGGTTTCTAAAAATTATTTTTATTACATTTTTATAAATTCAATTATCTTGAAAAGAATAAATAAAATTCTAATAAAAAACTACTTTTTTCAAATTTTCATTTATTACAAAATTTTATTAATTAAAAAATTCAATAATTCTCAAAAAATTTTATTAACTTTCAATTATTTTCAAATATTTTTATTAAATTTCAATTATTATTCAATTATTTTGAAAAAATTTAGTATTATTTTTTTCTAAACATTCTTTTAAAAAATTAAATTATATTCAAAAAATTTTACTGAAATTAAATTATTTAATTTTTGAAAAATCAAGTAATTATTTTTTTTAACAATTTAATTATGTTCAGTAAATTTTACTAAAATTCAAATTAGATTTTTAATTTCTTACTAAACGCTTTTAAAAAATTCAATTATTTTCAAAAAACTTTTACTAAAGTACAATCGTTTGAGAATTATTCATTATTTTAATTAATTTATTTTTATAAAAAATTAGATTTTTGAAAGATTGGAATTAACATTTTTTGATACCTATATATAATTGCTTTTTGCTACTTTTTAAAATTAATTAACGAAGCGAAGTCTTTGTTTTAGAATTTAATTATTTTCAATACAATTTTTATAACATTTTTCTAAAGAATTGAATTATTTTAAAAAATTTTAATAAAATTCTTCAAAAGAATTCCATTGCTTTCAAAAATTTTTTTTTCAATTCTTTATAAGAATTCAATTATTTTAATAAATAATAAAGTTCGTCGCAATATTTTCAATACAAATGCAAAAAAAATTTTGTTGGAATTAAAATATTTTTAAAAAGTTTAATAAAATTCCTCGAAAGTATTCAATTATTTTTATAAACAATCAAAGTCTTCGGACGATTTCAATTATTTTCAAAACAATTTCAATAATATTTCTTGATGGAATTAAATTACTTTTACAAATTTTCATAAAAGTTGCTAAAGAAATTCAATTATTTTAAATACAATTTTAATAAAATTTCTTAATAGAATTCAATTATTTGCAATATATATTTATAAAATTCTTCAGAAGAATTCAATTATGTATTTTCAAAAATTTTGATTCAATTCTTTATAAGTTAAGAATTGAATTATTTTCAATATAATTTTAACTAAATTCCTGGATAGAATTTTAATTTTCTTCGAAACGAGAGAATTATTTTCAAAATGTTTAATACAATTTTTTTGAAGAATTCAAAAATTACTTTCATAAATAAAATTCTTTGCAATATTTTCAAAAAGTTTTATATTTTATAAAATTCTTCAGATGAATTCAATTATTCTTAAAAAAACTAAAAAAAATTTTTTTAACTTATTTTCAATACAATTTTAAAATTTTTTTCGACGAGAATCAATTATTGTTAAAAATTTTAATGAAAGTCTTTGAAAAAATTCAAATTTATTTTCATAAATGTTGACAATAATTTTAATTAAATTTCTTTAAAGATTTTATTATTTTCAAGTAATTTAATATATTAAATTTGTTTGTCGAAATTCAATCATTTTCAAAGAGCTGAATAAAATTCCTTATAAGAATGCAATTATTTTCATAAATACATATTTTCAATACAAATTTTAAAAAAAATTTCTTACTGGAATTAAAATATTTTTAAAAAGTTTAAATAAAATTCCTGAAAATCAAAATCTAAAAAAAATGAAATACAAGAAATTGGGATTAAATTGAAGAAATCAAAATGTAATTGATGAATTATTAAAATGATTTTCTTTTCCACAGATGAAGGAGAAATACGGCAAGGAGTGCAAAATTTGCATGCGTCCATTCACAGTATTCCGCTGGTGTCCCGGCGCGAGGATGCGTTTCAAGAAGACCGAAGTTTGCCAAACTTGCAGTCGTTTGAAGAACGTTTGTCAAACGTGTCTCCTCGATTTGGAATACGGATTGCCAATTCAAGTGCGCGACGCGGCCTTAAAAATAAAAGACGATCTTCCCCGATCGAACGTCAATAAGGAATATTACGTGCAGAATATTGACAATGAAATCAGTAAACTGGATCACACATCGCCAGCGGGAGCTGTGGGAAAATCGGCAGCCGCAAGCGATTTATTAATGAAACTCGCCAGAACAAGTCCATATTACAAGCGGAATCGTCCTCACATTTGCTCTTTCTACGTGAAAGGCGAATGCAAAAGAGGCGAGGAATGTCCCTATCGTCACGAGAAGCCAACCGATCCCGACGATCCTCTCGCCGATCAGAATATCAAAGACCGCTACTACGGCGTGAACGATCCAGTCGCCGATAAACTGATGCGACGAGCGGCGGCAATGCCAAAATTGGACGCGCCCGAGGACAAATCGATAACAACTCTCTACATTGGCAATTTGGGCGAGGCAATAACCGAGAAGCAATTGCGAGATCATTTCTATCAGTACGGAGAGATTCGCTCGGTGACAATGGTCCCGCGACAACAGTGTGCCTTCATTCAATACACGCAGAGAAATGCCGCCGAAGCCGCCGCCGAGAGGACTTTCAATAAATTAATTCTGGGCGGACGACGACTCACAATCAAATGGGGACGATCTCAGGGTCGACAGGCAATATCGGCTGCTGAGGGAAGTCGAGAAATGCTGGAACCAGTTCCTGGATTACCGGGTGCCTTACCACCGCCGCCGGCACGCGCTATTGGCAGTGATTTCTTCAATTTGCAACCGACGGCCAGCATGATACCGCCGATGATGATTCCTCCGCCGCCAGTCGCTCCGCCTTTCATGTTCCCACCGCAAATTGCAGCAGCCGCCGCCGTTGCTGCCGCGGCAGCTCCAATATTCCCACCTGGAACGGCGCCGATTCACTATCCAAGTCAGGATCCTTCGAGAATGGGAGCTTCTCAGGGTATCGGTAAACCTTGGCCCGAGGAATAATTCTATCAATAATAATACATACCTTGTATATGTAAATATGCGCACTGCATACAATAAACTTAATTTAGGGGTAAGAATTAATCTTCTTTTTATTCATCCAGAGTTGGGACAAAAAATTTGATTTTACAGGGTTGCCACAAATATTTAATTTTATTTTTCCCTGACTTTTCCTTGCTTTCCAGAAAAAATTTTCACTTTTTCCCTGACCCTAAAGAATATTCTGATTCACTCTAAAAATTATTAGATACTCAAAAAAAATGTTCTATTACATTTATTTACAAATTTCTTTAATAGTAAAATTATTCAAAAGCGTCAATAACTTCTTTTTTAAATAAATATTTAATCATTATTATTTTTCTGTAGGAATTAAAATTCTTCAAAACATTCAAATTCAAACCTTTTCTTCGACTCGGAGTTATCGCCTTCTTCATGTTTTGGAATAATTTAAATTACCATAAAATTTTTCAAAAAAAAAGTTAATTATTTACAAAAATCCTAATAAAATCCTTCGCAAGAATTCAATTATTTTTACAAGTATAGGTAGTAAAATTTCTCAAAAAAATGCAATTATTTAAAAGAAATGTAATAAAATTCGTTGCAATAATGCAATTATTTTCATAAATAATAAATCGATTATATTCGGTAATTATTCATTTTTAAATCAATTTTTATTAGAAAATTCTAGAAGAATTCAATTATTTAAATTAAAAAATAAATTATTTATTGAATAACTGAATGTTGGTTAAAATTGAATTCTCATAAAGAATTTTATCAACAAATTTTTAAATAATTGAATTATTTTGATGAATTTTAATAAAATTTTTAAGAATCTACATTTTTCGAGGAATTAGATTATAAAATATTGTATCAAAAATAATTAAAATCCTGCGATGAGTTTTATTATTTATGAAAATAATTAAATTTGAAATTTTCCCAAGAATTTTATTAAAATTTTTCTAAAATAATTGAATTTCGGAGAAGAATTTTATTATTTATGAAGATAATTGAAATTTTGACGAGAATTTTTTTTTAATTTTTGGAATCGTTTGTAATTTTTCCAAAATTCAATTTTTTTTAGTATTTTTAACTAAAATTCTTCTATTAATCTAGTATTTATGAAAATTGTAAAAATTATTCATTAAATGATTTATAAGTCATAATTTTATGATAGTTCTTGAAAAATTAAGTTATTTAAAAAGAAATTATTGTCAGAAATTGAAGGTTTTGTATTAAATTTCGAGGTAATTTCATAGTTTACGAGACAAAAAGGAAAAAAAATTCAGAGTTTTCTCATGAATTTTAAAAATTCAATTTTTTCCAGTACTTTTAGTAATAATACCTGACTTTCCTGACCAATTTTACTTTTCCTGAAATCCCTGACTTCCCTGACCTTTGGCAATCCTGAACATTTTCTATTTCATTTCAACATTTTTCTGTGTATCTGTATTTTTCTGTTTTTGAATATCTTTAAACGTAAAATTATTCGCAAAATCAACAGTTTTTTTAATTAAATATTTAATTATTACAATTTTCACAGGAATTAAGATTTTTAAAAATTTACGAATTTTCAAATCCTTTGAAATTTTATAATTTATAAGAATTGCTAATTTTACTTCTCCAAAATTATTTTCAAGCTTTCAAATCAATTATTTTTTAGAATTTTAACAAAACTCTCCACAAGAATTTAATTATTTTCAATAAAATTTTAATAAAACTTTTTGACAAGAATAAATTACTTTTAAAAACGTTAATGAAATTCTTTTTGAAAGACTTGAATTAACTTTAAAAAAATTTTGGCAATTTTAATTAATTTTCTTGAGAGAATTAATTATTTTCAATGATTGTAATAAAATTATTTATATACCTAAGAATTCAATTATTTTCATAAATAATAACATTCTTCGTAATATTTTGAATAAAAATTCAAATTCTACACATGAATTTAATTATTTTTAATGAAATTTTGACAAAATTTCTCAAGATTCAATTATTTGTAAATATTTTAATGAAATTCTTCAAAAGAATTCAATTGCTTTCAAAATTTTTTTTTTCAATTCTTTATAAGAATTGAGTTATTTTCAATACAATTTTAATTGAATTCCTTGAAAAAATTTAATTAGTTTCAATAATTTGAATATAGTTCAGCGAAGAAATTCAAATCTTTTTAAAAAATTGCAATAAAATTCAATTTTCATAAATAATAAAATTCTTTGCACAGATTCAATTACTCTGAAAAAATGTAGTAAAATTCTTTAAAATTATTATTTTCAATGCAATTTTAATAAAATTTCTTGACAAGAGTCCATTATTTTTTTTAAATTTTAATGAAATTATTTGAAAAAAATTAAATTGTTTCAAAAATTGTAATAAAACTGAATTATTTTCGTAAATAATAAAATTTTTTGTACTGATTCAATTACTTTCAAAAATTGTAATAAAATTCTTTGAAACTATTGTTTACAATACAATTTTACAAAAATTTCTCTACAAGAATCAATTATTTTAAAAAATTTTAATGTAATTCTTTGAAAAAATTTAAATATTTAAAAAATTTTATCTAATAAAATTCAATTATTTTCATAAATAATCAAATTCTTTGCACAAATTCAATTACTTTTAAAAAGTGTAATAAAATTTCTTGATAGAATTCAGTTGTTTATAAAGATTTTAATAAAATTCCTTGAAAGAATTCAATTATTTTCAAAAAATTTTTCAAAAAAATCCAATTATTTTTAAATATATTTTATAAAATTGTGCAAAAGATTTAAAGTATTTTAAAAAATTTTGATTCAATTCTTTATAAGAATTCAATTATTTTCAATATAATTAAAACTAAAATCCTCGAATGAATTTGATTTTTCTTTGAAACAATAGAATTATTTTCAAAAATTTTGCTAAAATTTGTTTAATAGAATTTATTATTTTTAATACGTTAAAAATTACATTTTTATTAAAGAATTGATTTTTTTTCACAATGTTGAGTAAATTTTATTAAATTTTTTCTATTTTAAAAGATAAAATTTTTAATAACTTTTTATATTAATTTTTACATTACTTTTCGTAATTTCTCTAACTTCTTATAATTTTGAAACTGAAATAATTTAATTTTGGCAATAGAAAAAAAAGAAATTTCGAATTTTATGTAACAATATGTATATTATTATTTATAAAAAATGAAAGCTCAATTTTTATAAAATTCAGTTATTTTCTGAATTTTTAAATAAAATTATTTGCAAAGATAATTGTAATATTTTGACAGATTTTTAAGAATTAAATTATTTAAAATAAATTGAGGGCTCGGATCGAAAAACCGACGCTTGTAAACGCACAGAACATTGCGAAGCGTCGGTTCTTCGATCCGAGCCCTCAATTCTGTAAAGTTAATAAAAAACATTTTCTAATTAAATCCACAAATTTTTTTTATTACCCACAGAAACAGTTTTCAAAGAAAGTAAAAAGAGTATTTTTCCAATTTTGATAGCATTTACTAAAATAAGTTTCTTTTTTTTGTCAATATCATTAACTATAATGTAATAAAATAAAGTAAAGTATAAATTTGTATATAAAAATTACAAACTATTTTTGAAAAAGTTCAATATTTACTTACAATTATTCTTCTCTTTGACCATACAAGTGTTAAGTAAATACATTTGAAAAATTAAAGACAAAAAACAAAAAAAAGAATGTTCAAATTATAAAATAGATATTAAATGTGAGTGGGAAATGTTGTCAAATCTAGTGTCAATACTTTGCTTTCTAGACATTCTCCAACCTGTAAAAAAATTTTAATTAATATTGATCAATAAACTTTATACGTCATTTTTTTAACACTCCTACGGTTTTATCATTTTTCAATTTTGCAGGAAATAAATTTATAATTTTGTGAAAATTAATTTTGACTATTTCATTTTTACTTTTATATTAAATACAACTATTTAACTTCAAGTAATACTGGGAGTTTTATTTATATGACTCTCGAATTAAATTTTTTTAAATACTTAAATAAATGAAAGACATACCGTAGGGAGGTTAAACGATAAAAATTGTTATTGAATTGTGTTAATAATAAAACTTACGTCAGGACAGATACCAATAAGAGCATCGGCATGAGAGTAAAATTCTTCCTTTAGAGAAATAACGATGGTTTGAAGTGAACTTGTTTTATCTCTAATATAGCTGGCAACTTTTCCAATGTTTGTATTATCCAAAGCCGCATCTATTTCGTCTAATACGAAGAACGGCGCCGGTTGGAAACTGAAATTTCAAAGTAATAATTTTTAATTCGTACAACTAAATAAGATTAATAATTAATTAAATATAAATAAATAATAATAATAATAACAGGGCTCGGATCGTCTTTAAGATTCAAAAAAAGTCGCTTTAGTCGCATAAATTTACAACAGAAGTCACGAAAAGTCGCATAAAATTTCCAAAAAAGTCGCATGAAATCTTAGAAAAAAAACGACAAAAAGAAAACACAAAATTGTAAAAGAAATCACATTTCTCGACAACAGATACATTAATATTAAACAATACGGAATAAAATTTAATAAAATTCATAGCAAAATTTTAATTAGGTATTTTTAACATTTTTTTAAAAAAACTCTCTTTAAAATGTCAATTATTTTTATAAATAATAAAATTCTTCTTCGAAATGCAATTATTTAAAAAAAATTTTAATAAAATTCTTCTCTGAAATTCAATTATTTTCAAAAGTAATAAAATTCTTCTCTAAAATTCAATTATTTGCAAAGAATTTTAATAAAATTCTTGTCAAAATTTCAATTATCTTTATAAATAATAAAATTCATTTTAGAAATTCAATTATTTTCAAAAGTAATAAAATTCTTCGCAGAAATTCAATTATTTTCAAAATTTTCTTTAAATTTCTCGTCAAAATTATCATTATCTTTATAAATAATAAAATTCATCCTAGCAATTAAATTATTTTTAATTTTTTTTAAATTTCTCGTCAAAATTTTAATTATCTTCATAAATAATAAAATTCATCCTGGAAATTCAATTATTTTCATAAAAAATAATTAAAAATTTTTTTTTATAAAGTCTTATAATATAAAATAATGATTTTAACACTCAATCCTCTTTAATTATTATAAAACATGAAGACATCGATTGCTCCGAGTCGAAGACTCGGAGTGATCGATTTCTTCATGTTTTATAACAATTTTTTATAAGTTGTTTAATTTCAAAAAGGTTTGAATTTGAATCTTTTGAAAAATTTTAATTCCTATGGAAAAATAATAATTAAATATTTATTTAAAAAAGAAGTTATTGATGTTTTCGAAAAATTTGAAAGAAATTTGTAAATAAATGTAACAGAACATTTTTTTGACTCAAACTTTTTCCTTTAAATTTAAAAAAAAAAATTTTATTTCAGTCGCATTTTACTAAAAAAAATTTTGAAAAAGTCGATTAGTCGCATTTTTTCACAAAAAAGTCGAAAAAAGTCGAAAAAGTCGCACAATCCGAGCCTTGTAATAAATAAACAAATTTGGAATGGCTCCTAAATAAAAACACGTGATTTTGTATTAATTAAATTCCTTGGAAGAATTTAATTACATATTTTCAAAAATTGTCTAATAAAATTCTTCGAAACAATTAAATTGTTATTAAAAAATTTTTGCTAAAATTTTCTATGAAAGAATTAAATTATTTTAAATTGAAATTGAAAACTAAATTTACCTGTGAATTGCAAACAATAAAGCCAATGCAGCAACAGTTTTCTCTCCTCCCGAAAGATTAGACATTGGCTGGAATCGTTTACCAGGAGCAACACAATTATAATTAATTCCATCCAAATAAGGCTCTTCTGGATTTTCCGGACCCAAGAATGCTTGGGCAGATTGATTTTTTGCCAAACTCTGATAACATAAAATAATATATTTAAATAATTGTAACGTTAAATAAATATTGTTTTTAATTTTATAAAAATTTACTCTATTTCGAAATGACAATGTTTCATTTCAATATTTTTGTAAATATTCATAAAAAAAAACTTACCTTATAAATAGGATCAATTTCGTTAGCAACGTGTTCGAAACATGCCATAAATCTGTCGTGTCGTTCCTTCTTTACTTTTTCGAATTGTGTTTTTGCTTTTTTCGCCTTTTTACGCGATTGCTCGAACTCTTCATTTGTCTCGTGTAGTTTCTCTTTAGCCAAATATAATTTTTGAATCGCCTAAAACATTTTTTTTTATTTATTGAATTTATTTTTTCGGATTTATTGGATAAAAATGAAATCAAATGCAATTTCCCTTAATGTAAATAAACAAGTATTTTTATGCTTCATTATAATATAGTCACAATTTACCTTCATGTTCGGAGCTTGAATACGTTGGATTGTATTCTGAAGATCGTTGATAGATTTATTTAATTTATCGTAACTCTTTTTATAATCATCTTCATCGATATCTTTCCAATGATCCGAGAGTGAAGAATAATCAATTGTAATTCTACTCTCACGCTCGTATTGTTGTTGTGTACTAACATTCGCATCATTTGTTGTATCATTGTTTGTCTCGCCAGCAATATCCTCCATATTTCCGTAAAGCATCGGAATTGCAATATCCTCCATCTACGAAAAATAGAAATGAATTCAAAAAATTAGATTTCTAGCTGTAAAACAATTTGGAATCACGTAAGAACAGAATATCTCGATTATTATCATTATATGATTATAATTTAAAAAAATTACCTTGCAATTCATGAGAATATTATGTCTCTCGGCTTTTCTTTGTTCGATTTTATTTTCCACGGAATTCAGTTGCTTTTGTGCGGCTTGAATGTCTTTAGTTATTGAACCAACTTCCCGACGACATTTACCAATTTCTTCATCTTTAGAATCAACTTCCATTTTTTTCGCAGTTCGTTGTGATTTCAATTTTTCCATTTGCGTCTCGTCATTTTCTATTTCTGCCTTTTGATTTGATTCCGTTTGTCGTGCCGATTCTAATTTATCCTCAGCGTCTTGAACCGCACGTTCCCATCTTAATACATTACCTAAAAAAAATCGCGTTTAATTATAAATATAATTATTTAATTATAAACACAGAAATATAAATACAAATACAAAAAAAAATTTCAAATATAAAAATAAATTAAATTTCAATTTACTTTCTGTATCGCGTTGTTTCTCAAAATCCAACTGATTGTAAATTCGATTACACTGATTCTCAAATTCCATACGTTTTTTCGCACGTTCTTGCTGAGATCTAAAAAAACATTTTTTTTTTAATAAATAATTTTAGTTCTTCTGTTTAATTTTTTTTGTTTGAAATTTTAATTTCCAATCACCTCAATTCACGTTCCTCGTATTGACGAATATTTGAAACGCCAATTTGTTCACAGAAACTTGCAAATACGTCATCTTCGACGTTATTCATTTTCTCCTTAACGTTTTGTATTTTCTGATCTCTCTCGGACATTGTATTCTCAATTTCGGTAATTTTTGGCTAAGAAAATTAGAAAATAAACAATGTTAGTAAAAAAATGCCAACAACAGGACAGAAATTTAGAAAAAAGAATTTCTTACCCCGAATTTATCCATTTCACCTTGTAGTTTATTCAATTCAGTTTCCAATTCAGAAATTTGTTTTTTCTGAAAGAATGATACGAAAAATGAGAAAATGACAAAATTTAATTTCAATTTCAGTTTTTTTTTTAAATTTTAAAAAGGGAATAGAATAAAAATTTATTAACTTACGGTAGCAACTAAATCGCTTTTATTGTACTTCAAACGTGTTTCTAAACCTCGAATTTGTGACTCAACAGTGTTAAGTTCAGATTCCTTACGTGATTTTTTAAGCATTTCTCTCAATTCTTCTGTTAATCGTTCCTAAGAATGAAGATAATTTATTAATTAAAAAGCTAAAATTAGTAGAAATAAATAAATTAATAAATTAGTAGAAAATTTAATATTTTTAATTACCTTTTGTGATTTGAGTTGTGCCATTTGTTTTTCGTCCCATCTTTTGGCTTTTTTTGCCAAATCCAAACTACCACCGGAAATAATACCGGCTTTTTGATAAAATGTTCCATCGAGAGCGACACACTGGGGAAATTATTGAAAATATTAATTTCATTAATAAAAAATATTAATAAAACTATTCTATTAAAATAAAATATTAATACAGTATTTTATTAAAACAAAATATTAATAGAATATTTTAGTAAAACGAAATATTAGAATGTTTTAGTAAAACGAAATATTAGAATATTTTAGTAAAACAAAATATTAATAAATGATTTATTTTATTGAAAATAAATATAAGAATTTGTAAAAAAATGTTTAATATTCACAACTTACATCGTATCGGGCTTTTTTATCCATTTCGTAAGCGACTTTATTAGCGTCTTCGGGAGTTTCACAAACGAGAGCATTATTCGTCGCGAAAAGAACAGCTCTATCAATATCCTTTGGCGAAAAACGAAGTACGTCGTAAAGTAATTTGACATTTCTTGGCTCTTGAATGTTTCTAGCGGAAACAAAATGAGAAAACTTATTGTAAAATTATAATTTTCATTTTCATTGATTTTTGGATAAACACTTCGGCAAAATTATTTAAAAAATTGAGAAACAAAGAAGCAAACAAAAACTATCTTCGAACTGAGAAGACATTATCGGTATACAACGATTATTAATATTGATTAATAGTATTTACCGAAGACGTTCTTTGAGAGGTTTCGCCTGAATGTAATCTAAGGGTAAAAATGTTTCCGGCTCGAGATATTGCTCCTTCAAATATTGAATACATTGTCTAGCGGTCTTCTCTGTATCCACAACAATAGCTTCCATATATTTTCCAAGAACTTTCGTAATTGCGACATTGTACCGTTTGTGAATTGGTTCGCACATATTATACATTCGATCATACTGAAAAAGTACAATTAAAAGTTTAAAAATCGAAAGTAGATTCGATTAAGTATGAATTCTGATTCTTTCTCTTAAATTCTACTTAGTAAGGGAGTTCAATTGTAATAGAATTGAATTTTAATAGAGTTGGATTTAATTTTAATAGAGTAGAACTTAATTTGTAAAATTCAAATTTATAGAATTCAAATTTATAGAATTCAAATTTATAATAACTTAATTTTAATACAGTAGAATTTAATTATAATAGAACAGAGTTGCCACAAAAAATTATATTTTATTTTTCCCTGACTTTTACCTGAGTTCCAGACAAAATTTTGACTTTTCCAATATACAAATTTCTTTAATCGTAAAATTATTCGAAAACATCAATAACTTCATTTCTAAATAAATATTTAATTATTATTATTTTTCCATAGGAATTAGGATTTTAAAAAAATTTCAAATAGATTTCTTCATGTTTTATAATAAATAAAGATGACCGAGTCTTCTTCAAAATTATTTCCATCATTTCAATTTAAATATTATTTTCTACAATTTTTAGCTAAAATTCTTCTTTAAATCAATTATTTTCAATAATTTTTTAAAAAGTTCTTCTTTGAGAATTTTTAAAACCATTTGTTTAAATACAAAAACAAATAATTTATTAAATAATCGAATGTTTCTTAAAATTAAATGCCCATAAAGAATTTTATCAACAAATTTGTAAATAATTGAATTCTTTCGACGAAACATTTTTAAGAATACTAACATTTTTGGAGGAGTTCGATTAAAATTTTATTAAAATAATTGAATTCCTAACAAGAATGTTATCATTTATAAAAATCATTGAATCCTTGAAAAAATTTTAATATTTATCAAAATAATTGAATTATTGCGAAGAAATTTACAAAAAATGACAAAGAATGTTATCATTTATAAAAATCATTGAATCCATGAAAAAAATTTTAATATTTATCAAAATAATTGAATTATTGCGAAGAAATTTACAAAAAATTTGAAAATAATTGAATTCTTCTATAGTTTTATAAAAATAATTAAAATTTTGACGAGAATTTAAAGAAATTTTTTAACATAATTGAATTTCTTTGAAGAATTTTATTACTTATGAAAATAATTGAATTTCTGCAATCATTTGTAATTCTGGACGAGAATATTATTAAAAGTTTTGAAAATAATTAAATTCTTAAGAGGGAATTTATTATTTATGAAAATAATTGAATGTTTATCAAGATTTTACTCAAATTTTTGAAAATAAATGAATTCTTGACAAGAATTTTACTAAAATTTGTTGAAAACAATTGAATTATGTCGAGAAATGTTGTTTAAAAGGTATTGAAAACAAGTGAATTACTAATTGCGAAGAATTTCGTTATTTCTGAAAATAATTGAAATTTTGCTAAGAATTTTAGTAAAATTTCATTCTACATTAATTTTTTCGAGAAATTCAATTAAAAAATATAATTCTAAATAATTGAATTCGTATAAGCAATTTCATTAAAATTTTTGAAAATGAATTTTTTAAAAAAATTGTATTAAAAATTGTATTGTAAATAATTAAATTGTTTCCAAGGATTTCATTAAAATTTGTTTAAATAATTTAATTTTATCGTCAAATTTTATAAAAATAGTTGAAAGTAACTAAATATTTGCGTTGAATTTTATTAATCTTTTTTTAAAAATAATTGAATTTATTTAAAAAATTTTATTAAAGTAGTAAGTAATTAAAATAATTGAATTGAGGAAAATTTTTTGAAAGTAATTGAAATTTTGCCAAGAATTTTATTAAAATTTTTAAAAATAATTGAATTTCGGATTAGAATTTTATTATTTATAAAGATAATTGAAATTTTGTCTATAATTTTTAAAAATTTTGAAACATAATTGAATTTTTGCGAAAAATTTTATTACTTTTGAAAATAATTGAATTTCTGCAATCATTTGTAACTTCTCCAAAATTCAATTTTTTTAATGTATTTAACTAAAATTCTTCTATAAATCCAATATTTTTAATAATTAATTAAATATATATATATTAAAAAATTGAACTACTTTCAGAAGAATTTAAATTATTAAAATTTTTCAGAAATCCAAGTTCTTTAAAATTTCTAATTAAATTCATTTGAAATTGAAATTTTCTAAAATTTCAAATTGAAACCTTTTGAAGTTTTTTCTTTTTATGGAAATTGTAAACTCAACTCTTTTAAAATTCAATTAAATTTGAAATATTTAAGTAAAATTATTCATTAAATAATTAATAATTTTATGATTGTTGTTCAAGAATTAAGTTATATTTAAAAAGAAATTCTTGTCAGAAATAGAAGAAATGGAAGGTTTTGTTTTACAATTCGTGGTAATTTCATAGTTTTTGAGACAAACAAAAAGATACCAAAATTCAGAATTTTCTTATGAATTCTAAAAATTAAATTTTTTCAGTACTTTTAATAAAAATCCCTGACCAATTCTACTTTCCCTGATTTTTCCTTGACCTGTGGCAACCCTGTAGAATAATAGAATTAGTAATTAAAAGTAAAAGAAACTTACGACTCCAGGAAAGAGTTTCTTGAAATTCTCAACAATTTCCGTCTTCTTCTTAGTTCTTGACACTTCGTGCTTGTCAACTTTCGCATCTCCCAATTGCTCGGAAATATTTTCCAATTCACGTTGAAGATTTTGAATTTTATCCTTCGATGTTCCAACATCACTTTGCAAGTCGGTCCTCATTTTCTTTTGCTCCTCTAAAGCGGCTTCGGATGTTCTAATATGTTCCTCCAATTTCTCAACTCTCTTCACTGCCTCATCTCGCATATGTCTCTTTTGTTTTATTTTATTTTCAATATCAGTTTTCTTTCGCCCCTCATTATCAAGTTTATCTTGATCCGACTTTTGCTCACGATTAATGGAATCAAGTAATTGAAGATATCTCGCCGATTGTTTCCCTGCTTCTTCCTTCAGACGATTATATTCCCGAACTTGTTCGTCTTCAAGTTGAACGTCTCTGCCTTGCGATTGTGATTGACCGGCAATGCTTGCCTCATAAGTGGCCTTTGCTTCCTCAACTTGACGTAATTCCTCCTGTAATTCGTTTATATCTTTCTTGTGCGCCTCATCGGCGATTCTTGCCTGTGCCAATGATTTACGGGCAGATTCAACTTTTTTCTGCATATGCGCAACGCGTTCTTTTGCTTTAATGAATGTTGGTCTCTTCTTTGTTATTTCGACTTCCATTTCACGAATGTCCTGTTCAATTTTTGCGAGATCTCTTCCTAGCTTGCCAGACTCTTTCTTTTTATCTTTCAACACTTCCTCGGCTTTCTCGCGTCTTTTCTCGATTTTTTCCACCTCGTGTTGTTTCTTCTTTTGCGTCACTTCTAAATTCTCGATTTCTTTCTCATTGTGGAATAAACGAAAGAGTTGCAATTCGATTTGTTTTTCTCCCTGTAAAACATTGGGAAATAAAAGAAGGAAATTCTTTAAAAAGATATTTGAAAGTAAAATAAATGTTATATTACGTATTCTTCTTTTAAGCGCTGATATTTTTCGGCTTCCTCTTTCTCAAGTTTTGCTTCCTTCCTTTCAGCGGCGATACCTTTTTTCTTTTGGTAAGAAAATTGTGTTTCTTCCTCTGCCCGTAACATTTCTGTTCGTAATCTATTTTCACAAATTATTAATTATGAGGTATCGAAAAATTCCAACAAAAATAAATCAAATGAAAAGTAAAAAAATAATTAAAAACAAAAATCGAAAATATAAAAATAGTAAATAATATATTTACCGTTCGTATTCAGCTTTCAATAAACCGGAATTGCTAATTTCTTCAAATAATGCAGTTCTTTCTTTTGGATTTTTCATAGCTATTGATTCGACAGCACCTTGGAATACAAGGAAATTTTTTGCCTTTACGTTTATTCCTAATTGTTCCAATTCCGATAAATATGTCTGACTGGTTACAACCTAAAAGTTTCAACTCATTAATATATTTGTGTTCAATGCATTAAATAATTTTTATACAATTAGAGGGATCACAGTATATTTTTCCCTTAAACTATGTGAAAAATAGAAGACAAAAAAATTATATTATTATAATTATAAAAACAGCAATTAATTATTATTTTATTATATTATATTTTCAAAAATTTGAATAAAATTCGTCGCAAAAATTCAATTAAGTATCTTCGTAATTAACATCAATCTTTACAAAAATCCAATTATTTTCATAAAATAACAAAATTCTTGGCAAGAATTCAATTAATTTCCATAAATAACAAAACGATTTTCAGGAATCCAATTACTTTTAAAAACTTCAATAAAATTCTTGTCAAGAATTCAATTATTTTCATAGTTAACAAAATTCTTCGCAATTAGATATTCAATTATTTTCAAAAAATTAAATAAAATTCTTGTTAATTCAATTATTTTTTAAATAATAAATCCCTTCACAAGAATTCAATTATTTAAAAAAAAATTTGAATACAATTTTAATTAAATTTCTTGAAACAAAGATTTCAATTATTTTCAACTATTTTTATAAAATTAGACGCTAAAATTAAATTATTTAGAAAAAAAATTTAATAAAAACCTTCAAAACAATTCAATTACTTTAAAAAAATTTAATAAAAACCTAAGAAACAATACAATTATTTACAATACAATTTTAATAAAACTTCTTTATATAAATCTCTACATAAATAAATTAGTTTCAAAAATTTTAATTATTTTGCAAATTTCTAATAACATTTATGTCAGGCATTCAAATATTTTAATAAATAAAAAATTCCTTCGCAAGAATTCAATTATCTTCAAAAGTAACACATTTTTTTGCAGGAATTTAATTATTTTCAAAAAATTTAATAACTCTCGACAAGATTCAATTATTTTTAAAAAAATTACCGAAATTCTTCGCAAGATTTAAATTATTTTCAGAAATAACAAAATTCAACGCAAAAAATCAATTATTTTCAAATATTTTAATAAAATTTCTCAACAAGAATTAAATTATTTTCATAAATTGCAAAATTATTCACATAATTTAAATTATTTTTTAAATAACAAAATTTTCCCAGGAATTCAATACAATTTTAATTAAATGTTTATACAAGATTCTAGGTAAATATTGTAATTTGTAATAAATTATAATAAATCAAATTCATCCAAAAAATTCAATTATTTTCAAAAAATTGAATATGACTTTTTGAAACAACTCAAATCGTTTCAAAAATTTTGACAATTTTAATTAATTTTCTTAAAAGAATTAATTAATGTCAATTATTTAAATATAGTTGTTTATTGAAATTTAATTATTTTCAAAGGTTTGAATAAAATTTATTATATTAAAATTCAATTATTATTTCGAATGCGTTTTTAATTTAATTGCTCTAGAGAATTTAATTATTATCTGATCAACTGAATTTGAGCTGAATTATAAATAAGATAAATTACAGAATTTAAAACATGATTAATTTTGACGATTCAAATTCAGATTTTAATCGTTGAAAGTTTCAACAATTTAAAATTTTAATTTATTGAAATAATAAATGCATTCAAAATTTTTAAAACTGGTTTTGATTGAAAAAACTATTAAAATTTTCTGATTTCGTACTCCATTTAATTAATTTTAAAGAAGTATCAAAAAGTTGCTTAAAGACAGAAAAAAGTAGTACAAAAGTAGCTATCGAAAAGTTAAACTTGACGACTCAATTTTTTAAAAAATTTTTTAATTACATTCAGAAATAGAATAATTTTTCAAAATAAATATTTTCTATTTTATCTTTTTTATTTTATTTAATTTTAAATCAATATTTTTCTTAGAAAGTTCTATGATAATTCAATTATTCAAATACAAAAATAAATAATTTATTGAATAATTGAATATTTCTTAAATTTTAATTTTTTTAAATAATTGCATTTTTACGAAGAATTGCATTAAAATTTTTGATAATTAAATTCATTTTTTAAAATGATTGAATTTTTTTGACGAATTTTATTCAAAATTTTAAGAATAATTGCGTTTTTAGAGGAATTAATTTAAAATTATATCGAAAGTAATTGAAATCTTACGAAGAGTTTTATTATATTTATGAAAATAATTGAATTTTTATCAATGAAATTTCATAAAGTTTTTTAAATAATTGCATTCTTGAGAAGAATTTAAAAAAAATCTTTTTAAAGAAATGATTTTTTTTTAAAAAATTGTATGAAAATTGTATTTTAAATAATTGAATTTCTTTGAAAATTGTATATTATTTATAAGAATAATTGAATTGTTTCAAAAAATTTTATTAAAATTATATTGAAAACAATTCAATTATTAGAGAGAATTTGATTAATTTTTTTTTAAATAATTGAATTCTTTTAAAGAATTTTATTAAAATTTTTTGCATTTTTCGCGGAATTCATTTAAAATTGTATTAAAAATAATTGAATTCTTGCAACGATTATTATTAAAATTTTAAAAAATAATTGAATTACTGAGAAATAATTTAGTTTTTTCGAAAAATATTAGGAAAATTCTGTTTTAAATAATTGAATTCCTGTGAAAATTTTTTTATTTCTGAAAATAATTGAATGTTTGAGAAGAATTTTATAAATATTTTTTTTAAAACTAAGTATTTAATGCTTTTGGGAAATTTTTTATTATACAATAGTAGATATTAAAAATCATTGAATTAGGAAAAATTTGTGAAAATAATTGAATCGTTTTAAAGAATTTTATGAAAATTTTTTGAATTTTTTCCAAGAACTTTATTAAAATTTTTTTAAATAATTTTTTTATTTTAACTGTTGACCAATTTAAAGTAGTGTAAATTCTCAAACATGGAAAAAAGTAGCTTTTAGTGTAACAAATAAAAAAAAGTATCCAAATAGTAGCAAATCGTTAAAAAAGTAGTAAATAGTATGTTTTAGTAGATGGATTTGAAGTTTACAAAAAAGTGAAATAGGTGAAAATTAACGGGAAAATTAAATAGGTAGCCAAATTTAAAAAGGGTTTTTTTTTGTTAGGTTTCTTTTCATCTTTTGAAATAGGTGAAAGTTAACGGGAAAATTAAATAGGTAGCAAAAGTTAAAAAATGTTTTTTTTTTGTTAAAAAAAGAAAAAAATTTGCGAAAAGGTGACAATATGTGATCCCTGTAATTAGTAAAATAAAAGTAACAATTTTTTAAATATCTTTAATCAATGTATTAACTTACACTTCCATTTATACGATGTTCGGAGGAAGAGCCTTGCACTGAACGCATAAAACTCTTTTCATTACCGTCCTCAAGTAAAAATACAGCTGTTACTGAAGCACTAAAATAAATAAAGATCTTCAATTACAAACGACAGTCATCTAGTAAATTTTTCATTATAAAAACAGTTAAAAAAACATAAAACACGAGTTCATAAATATTACTCTATATAATAATCAGTACTGATAATAATTATCACGAAGGTATTTTAATAACAAACAAAAGCATTACCTTCGAGCAACTGGCATTCCAATAGATGCTCCATGAATAAGTTCACTAAATCTTTTTACTCGTAAACTGCTTGTTTTTTCACCCATAACAAAACTGATAGCGTCCATGAAATTCGATTTTCCTTAAAATTACCATCAAATAGAGACAATTAATAACTAAATAAACCATAATTCAGGTGAGAAAAACAACTGAAATTGGATGATAACCTACCGGATCCATTTGGTCCCACTACCGCTGTAAACGGTTTCAATGGACCAATTATAAGTTTTCCTTTATAAGATTTAAAGTTATCAACTTCAATATGCTTTAAAACTGCAGGCATGATGAAAAGTGCACCCGCAAAATCACTAAATTCAGAAAAATAATTTGATTCGCGCCATAAACTGATACACAAAATCTACCAAACACCATAAAATAAATATTAACAAACAGTGACGACGTGAAGAGAAGAAGAGCATACAACAAATGTACAGGGATGGGAATTTGTTAATATATTTTTTGAATAATTCGTTACTTTCACCGCTAGGAGTCTGGACATAATTATCGCCGTGGGAACGCACCTTTATGGACCCAAAAAAATAAAATTGGTAACCAAATAAAATAAACCCAAAAAAACTAAAACTAAATAAAAACCTAAACGAAACCTGAAAGACGTAAATAGTAAATTCGTAAAATTCACACTTTTTAAAAAAGGATAAATAATACTTCTATCCTTTTCTTTCCCATGTAAATTTTCCAATTTTCAGGACTGTTTTTTTTTCTTCTTTCTGCCGGACCTACTGAACCCTGGACGGAGTGATTGTTGTCAAGTATCTAGTGAATAGTAACTATATCTAGTAACTGAAAAAAGTAATATGTAAAAATACATACTATTTTGCTTTTATTGCCAAGCGAAAAAGTAATATTGGTGGAATAATTGCTGTTTAATTATACAAATTATTATTTTAATAATTCATTACACAATTCATTAATAATGTACGAAATAGATATTGAGAATGAATATTTGTTTTTGCTTGAAAATGTGGGTCAAATTTGTCGAGTGTGCCTCGATTTAAATCAGAATAACCAATGCATTTTTCCTGCAAGCGACAATGACCCCGAAAATACAAACGCTTTAGGTTTGGTTAAGAAATTAATCGTTCAAGGTGGCATTGAGGTATGTATTTCTTTTATTATTTATCCTCTTCTTTCAAGGAGAATAAAATTCCATAAAAAGGCCAGATGAAAATATTACCCTTAAAACTGAACTTTGCAAATTTTATAAACATAAGTTGCTTAGTCACAAATGATGCAAAACATTTTTTGTTTCACGTTGTTTTCATTCTTTATTAAATAATTCACAGTTGCCATAGGTCAGGGAATTCAGCAAAAAAGTCAGGGAAAGTAGAATTGGGCAGGGAAAAGTTAGGAAAAGTAGAATTGGTTTGGGAAAAGTAAGGGATTTTTATTAAAAGTATTTTGGAAAAAATTAAATGTAGAATTCATAAGAAAATTCTTAATTTTTGTGTTTTTTTGTTTGATTTGTAAACTATGAAATTACCACGAATTCTAATACAAAACCCTCAATTTTTTCTATCTCTGGCAAAAATTTATTTTTAAATAACTTAATTCTTGAAGAACTATCATAAAATTATTTAATGAAAAATTTTACTTTAATATTTCCAAAACGAATTGAATTCAAATTTCAATTATTTTTATAAACAATAAAATTCTTTAAAAAAATACAATTATTTTCAAAAAAATTTCCTCAATTAAAATATTTTCAATATCTATTATTTTCATAAAATTTCCCAAAAGTATTCAATTATTTAAAAAAAATTTTGACAAAGTTCTACACGAATACTTATTTAATTATCTTCATAAATAATAAAATACCTAGACAGAATTCAATTATTTTCAACTGTTTTTTTTTATAAAATTTTAATGAAATCCTTCGAAACAATTTAATTATTTACAATACAAATTTTAATAAAATTTCTTTAGAAAATTTCTTTTTAAATATTTTAATAAAATTCTTTAAACGAATTCAATTATTTAGAATAAAATTTTAATTGAATTTGTCGAAAGAATTTATTCATTAAAAATTTTACTAAAAGTCTTCGCAAAATTTTAATTACTTTTCAGAAATAAAAAAATTCTTTGTAAGTAGTAATTCACTTATTTTCAAAACCTTTTTTAATAAAATTTTTCAACATAATTCAATTATTTTCAAATATTTTAATAAAATTCTTGTGAAGAATTCAATTATTTTTATAAATAAAAAATTCCTTCGCAAGAATTCAATTATTTTAAAAACTTTTAATAACATTTTTGCCCAGAATTCGATTAGCTTTGTAAATAATAAAATTCTTCTCGGAAATTCAATTATAAGCAAAAATTTTACTAAATTCAATGATTTTCAATATTTACTATTTTAATAAAATTTTCCAAAAGAATTCAATTTCTTAGAATGAAATTTCGATTAAATTTCTTGGAAGAATTTATTTATCCAAAATTTCACTTAAATTCTTCGGGAAAATTCAATTATTTTCAGAAATAACAAAATTTTTCGCAATTCGTAATTCACTTGTTTTCAATACATTTTTAACAGCATTTCTCGACATAATTCAATTATTTTCAACAAATTTTAGTAAAATTCTTGTTAAGAATTCAATTACTTTTATAATTAATAAATTCCTTTGCAAGAATTAAATAATTTTCAAAAATTGGAGTAAAATTTTGATAAGCATTCAATTACATTCATAAATAACAAAATTCTACGTAGAAATTTTAATATTTTCAAAAATTATAATGAAATTCTTCAAAGGAATTCAATTAATAAAATTCTTCGAAATTATCCAATTATTTTTTAAACAATTTTCATAAAAATGCTCAAAAAAATTTTAATAAAATTCTTCACAAACAATCAATTATTTTAATTAATAATAAAATTCATTTCGCAGGAATTAAATTATTTTCAAAAATTTTAGAAACTTGTTTGGGAAATTTTAATTTTCTTCATAAATATAAAAATTTCTCGCAAGAATTCAATTATCTTCATAAATATTGAAATTCTTTGCAGAAATTTAATGATTTAAAAAAATTTTTTTTAAATTCTTCCAAAGAATTGAATTATTTTTATAAACAATAAAATTCTTCAAAAGATTTGAATTTTTTCCATACATGTTTCTCGATGAATTTCATTTTTAAAAGTTTATATTAAATTTTTCGCAAAATTCAATTATTTTTGATAGTTTTTAAAAAATTCTTCCAAAGGATTGAATTATTTTTACAACCATCAAATGTTTTGCAACAATTCAATTATTTTTATAAATAACAAACAACATCGCAGAAATTCAATTATTTTCAAAAAATTTAATATCATTCGAGGCAACCATTCAATGATCTTCATAAATAATAAAAAATTTACAGGAATATAATTATTACAAATTTTTTTATAAATTTCTTCGCAATAATTCAATTATTTTCATAATTAATAAAATTGTTTACAGGGATTTAATTATTTTTAGAAATAATAAAATTCTTTTTAGGAATTCAATTATTTTCATAAAGAATAAAACTCATTGCAGAATTTAAATTTTTTTTAATACAATTTTAATCAAATTCCTCGAAAAATGTAATTATTCTTAACAATTTTATTAAAATTCGTGAAAAGATTTCAATTATTTAAAAATTTGTTATTAAAATTCTTTATGAGAATTCCATTTTAAGAAACTTTCAATTATTCAATAAATTATTTATTTTAATTTAGATAATAATTGAATTTTAAAAGCATTATAACGTGAAATTTTAGAAATAATAAAATTTTGAAAAGGTTTCAAATTAAAATCTTTGAAAATATGTATGAATTTTTCATACTTTTGTCTAATAATTCTGTAGAATTGAGGCCTTGGATCCAATAACTCGCCCGACGCTCGGAGGAACGCGCAACTGCCAGTCAGTGAGCAGTGAGCGCCTCTGGGCCACTCACTGCTACCCGGCTGGTATTAGCGCGTGCCTTCGAGCGTCGGGCGAGTTATTGGATCCAAGGCCTCAATTAATGTTTTTGAGAAAGTTTAATTAATTTTTTTGAAATTATTTGAAGTTTTTATTTTCTAATTTATTATTAATTGAAGAATTTCCAAATAATCGAAATTTGGTAAAATTGAATTGTAATCAAATGGATTTGAAAATTCTCAAAGAACTTTTTCAAAAATTATTAAAAATAATTGATTTATAGAAGAATTTTAGTTAAAAATCTTAGAAAATAATAATTGAATAATTGAAATGATGAAAATAATTTTGAACTTAGTAGTAACAATATTATTATAATATAAAAATTATTCTATCACTCGGTCGTCTTTAATTATTATAAAACATGAAGAAATCGATCGATATCTTCTTGTTTTATAATAATACTCTTATAAGTTGTTGAATTTCAAGAAGGATTGAATTTAAAATTTTTGAAAATCTTAATTCCTTTGGAAAAATAGTAATGATTAAATATTTTTTTAAAAAATATGTTATTATTGTTTTCGAATTATTTTACAATTAAAGAAAGTCGTAAATAAATGAAATTAAACATTTTTTTGAGTATCTAATAATTTTTAGAGTGAAGCAGAATATTCTTTAGGGTCAGGGGAAAAGTTAAAATTTTGTCTGGAAATCAGGGAAAAATAAAATAAAATTTGATTAAAAATGTTTTTAATCTGAAATTCAAGAAAATGGTTCTAATATTCACAATTCACAGGTTCAAGAAAATGACGGCCTTCCATCAAATATCTGTTTAACATGCACTTTAAAATTAAATGCCGCTCACGAATTTAGAGAGCAGTGTCAATTATCAGACAAGAAATTGAGAAAAGCTTTCGAAAAGTTCCAAACTTACAACACTTGTTCAACATTACAAAAAGTAAACTTTGTTCAATAAATATTCGAATAAACATTTTACGTATTTACTTCTTTATTAATTCTTTCTTTAATGTCAATTTACAGAATTTACGTTCACAACAGGAGGACAATTTACTTCCCAAAACGGAAGAGCTTCAGATTGAAAAATCAAATTCCGTGAATGATGATTACTCTGAAGGTAATTCGAAAGCAGTCAGTGAAATTGAAATTGAAAAATTTGATTACTCCTGTGACAATGAAATTAATATTAATGAAGCGTCTGTTGCGAATGAAAAGGAGGAAATTTCACAGATTGAAAAAGAAAATGCTCCCTATAAAAAAGAAGGTTGTAAGACGAGAAAAATGTCTGTCTTCAAACGAGTGACATCGATGGAAAATTTAAAGAATTTTAAAGAAAGACAGAGGCAGTATATTAAGAAAAATGTGAAATCCGATCAAAATGAAATTGAATCTCCAGTGAAGAAAAGAGTACGAGGTACTAATCAAAGACTGACTAATGAAGAGTCTGAAATAAATTTTGAATGCACTGTGTGTAATTCCACATTTCCCAGTAAGAGATCATTAGATAAACACTCATTGACACACGATGAGAAAAAGTATAATTGTGACAAATGTGACAAAGAGTTTTCCACTCACGATAAACTTTTGGAACATTCCAAATTACATCAACCAAAAGAGAAATCCAAGCCCGTAAGTTTCGATAATAAAATATTAATTTAATTAATAACAAGGATCACAGAGTGGCACCTACACCTTTCACCTTTTTTTTTTAAATTTTTGCACCTATTCAGGGCAAAAAATCCTGTAAAGGTTCATAAATTTGCTTAAAGTCCGTAAAAGTCAGTTTTTTTGAAAAAAGGTCCGTAAAGTCCTTAATTTGATTGAGAAAAGACGAAAAGTTTGTAAATTGTACGATTTAATTTGGAAAATTTTAGAGAAATTACAAATGATTGGAGAAATTCAATTATTTTCAAAAGTAATAAAATTCTTCGCAGAAATTCAATTACGTTCAAAATTTTTTTTAAATTCTCGTCAAAATTTCAATTCTCTTTAGAAATAATTAAATTATTCACCGAAATCCAATTATTTTCAAAAAATTTAATAAAATTCTTGGCAAAATTTCAATTATTTTCAAAAAAATTTCCTCAATTTAATGATTTTAAATATCTTAATAAAATTTACCAAAAGAATTCAATTATTTAAAGAAAATTTAGTAAAATTCTACGCAAACCTTTAATTACTTTCATAAAAATAATAAAAACTTTACAGGAATTCAATTATTTAGAAATTTTTTATAAATTTCTTCGTAATCATTCAATTATTTTCATAAATAATAAAATTTTTACAGGAATTCAATTATTTTCATAAATAATAAAATTTTTACAGGAATTCAATTATTTTCGTAAATAATAAAACTCATTGAAGAATTTCAATTATTTTTAATACATTTTTTAATGTATTTTTTGAAAAATGCAATTATTCATTAAAATTTTATTAAAATTCGCCAAAAAAATTCAATTTGAAGAAGCATTCAATTATTCAATAATAAATAATTCTGAAAGAACTTCTTCAAAAATTATAATTATAATTCTTCGCAAAAATTAAATATTGTTAAAAAATAATAAAATTCTTATTATGGATTCAATTATTTTCACAATTAATAAAACTCATCGCAGAATTTCAATTATTTTTAATATAATTTTAATCAAATTTCTCGAAAAATGTAATTAAAAATTTTATTAAAATTCTTCGAAAGAATTCAATTATTTAAAAAAATTTTAATAAAATTCTACGAAAACCTTTAACTGTTTTTATAAAACAAATAAAAATTTTACAGGAATTCAATTATTTACAAATTTTTCTATAAATTTCTTCGCATCATTCAATTATTTTCATAAATAATAAAATTTTTACAGGAATTGAATTATTTTCGTAAATAATTTAATTCTTTTTAGGAATTGAATTATTTTCGTAAATAATTCAATTCTTTTTAGGAATTCAATTATTTTTGTAAATAATTCAATTCTTTTTAGGAATTCAATTATTTTCATAAATAATAAAACTCGTTGAAGAATTTCAATTATTTTCAATACATTTTTAATGTATTCATTGAAAAATGCAATTATTCATTAAAATTTTATTAAAATTCGTCAAAAGAATTCAATTTAAAGAAACATTTAATTATTCAATAAATTATTTATTTTTGTGTTTAAATAATTAAATTCTAGTAGAATTTTCTAATAAAAATTTTGTAAAATTGAATTGTAAACAAATGAATTTAAAAATTCTCAATGAACTTATTCAAAAATTATTAAAAATAATGCATTTATAGAAGAATTTTAGTTAAAAGCACAAAAATAAATTTAATGTTGGAATTATTTTTATTTTATTAAAATTCGTCGAAAGAATTTAATTATTTAAAAATTTGTTGATAAAATTTTTATGGGAATTGAATTTTAAGAAGAATTCAATAATTTATTTTTGTATTTAAATAATTGAATTCTAGTAGAATTTTCTAATTACAATTCATTTAGAAATCAATTTCAGTTAAAATTTTAGATAACAATTCAATATTAAAAGAAATATAGCGTGAATTTGTAGAAAATAGAAATAATTGAATTTAGAAATTATTTTTTTTGAAAAAATTTAATTGATTTTTTTTTGTATTATTTTAAGTTTTTATATTCTAATATATATTTAATTGAAGAATTTACGAATTATTGAAATTTCGTAAAATTGAATATTGTAAGCAAATGGATTTGAAAATTGTCAAAGAATTTTTTCGAGAATTATTAAAAATAATCTATTTAAAGAAGAATTTTAGTTAAAAATTCTCAAAAATAATAATTGAATTGATAATGATTTTATCACTCAGTCATCTTTAATTATTATGAAACTTGAAAGAAATCGATAACTCTGAGTCGAAGACTCGGAGTTATCGATTTTTTTATTTTTTATAGTTACGGAAAATTTAATTTATATAGTTTTTTAAGTAAAATGTTCTCTTTTTTGACTCGGACTGGTTATATTTTTGTCAGTAATTGGTCCGTAAAGTCCGTATTTTTAAATACTTTCACTGGTTCTTCGAGCCCTGCCTATTTCACCTATTCCATTAATTTTCATCTATTTTTTAAACTTGTTAATAATATTTTCAACAATCAAAAACAGTTTTTAAAAATTTTTAATTTATTCATATTTCAATAAATAAAAATTCTAAATTGTTGACACTTTTATTGATTAAAATCTCAATTGACTGTGAATTTCGTTGTATTTTAGAAAATAATTCACCTTTTCACATATTTTATTGAAAAAATATACTTTGATCCCTGTAAGAATTAAATTTAATAAAAACATTAAGTTTAGAAAAAAATTAAACATTTCTTTGTATTCTTAGGTTCGTTGCAAGATTTGTGAGAAGAGTTTTAAGAAAACTGACACAATGGTAAGACACTTGAACATTCACAAGAGGGCAAATCCAAAGGAAGTATTTTCAATTCTCAAGGAAATCAGAGATAAGAGAAAAATGGAGAATTCCGTGGAAAATAATGAACAAGTGAATCTTTCGATAAGCAGTGAATTTATTAATCAGGCGATTGAAGAAGAAACACAAAGGGATAATTTCTGTACTAAGGAATTAAGAAAACGTGTTCCAAATTCTTTGTCCAAACAAGAAACACGATCAGATATTTTCCATTCCGATTCAAATAGTGAAAGTGATCAATCTGTAAGTGATGTGTCAAGTTTTCGTTGTAAACATTGTACAAAATGTTACACCACCGAGAAATCATTGCAACGACACATGCTTATTCACGATGAGAAAAAATTCGTCTGCAATGTTTGTAATATGAAGTTTTTCCGTCCCGATAGACTCAAAAGTCACAGAGACAGGTATTTATATATTTATTTTTCATTTTCAATTTTTTCTTCTTCCATTTCTCAATTATGGGCCAATTAATTATATTTTGACTAAAGTCAGTTGCTAATTTTAAAAGAAGCGAAGCAAAATTTTTGTGTAATGACTGAGCTGACAAAAATTTTATTTCGTTTTTCTCTGATTTCGACTTTCCTTCTGATGTTAAAAAATAATCTAAATTACTCTAAAAATGATTAGATACACGAGAGAATATTTTTAGCACATTTATTTGTCATTATCTTCAGTTGTAAAATTAATCGCACAATCAATTTTAATGTTTTTAAAAATAAATATTTAGGTAACTAATATTTTTTCACAGGTATTAAGATTTAAAATCAAACTTAAAATTTTTAATTTTCTGGAAATTCATCTGCAAAAATTGAAAACACAATTCTTTTAAAATTCAACACTTTCAAAATTTAAAAAGCAAAGTTAAAATTCAAATATTTTTCAAAATTAAAATCGCAAATCTTCCAAAACTCAATTATTTTTTAAAAATTAAAAACACAAATTTTCCAATTATTCTCTAAAATTATAATTAATTTATAAATTTGACAGAAATTTAATTAGTTTTAAGAAACGTTTTTGACATAAGAATTAAATTATTTTCTAAATAATAAAATTCCTTGCGGGAATTCTATTAACTTCAAAAATTTTAAAAACTTTTTTGGAAAGAATTCAATTATTTTCATAAATAATAAAATTTTTAGCAGAAATTCAATTATTTTCGAAAATTTTTAAAAAGGTTCCTTGTAAGAATTCAATTATTCTCTAAATAATATTAATTCTTGGGAGGAATTCAAATATTATCAAACATTTTAATCAAATTCTTATCCAGAATTCAATTATTTTCAAGAATTTTCATTTTTTTTCATAAATAATAATATTTTTAGCAGAAATTCAATTATTCTCAAAAGTTTTAATAAAATTCTTTCAAAGAATTGAATGATTTTAATAAAATTCTTTCAAAGAATTGAATGATTTTAATAAAATTCTTTCAAAGAATTGAATGATTTTAATAAATAACGATTTATAACGTTTTTCATTTTTTGAATATGAAACAATTTAATTCATGCATGTATTTTTATTAAAATTTTTGAAACGTTTTTGGAAAGAATTCAATTATTTTCATAAATATAATATAATTCTTGTCAGGAATTCAAATAATATGAAACATTTTAATCATATTCTTGTCCAGAATTCAATTATTTTCAAAAACTTTCATTTTTTCAAGAATAATAAAATTTTTAGCTGAAATTCAATTATTTTCGAAAATTTTAGAAACCTTCCTTGAAAGAATTCAATTATTTTCAAGAAATAATAAAATTTTTGTATCCTGACAAAAAACTATCAAAAATTTTAATCAAAATCTTGTCCAGAATTGAATTATTTTCAAAAATTAAAGTAATAGTAATTAAAGAACCTGTGAAGAATTTTGATGAAAATGAATAATAATAATTAATTACGGATTGTTTCTTAAATTTTGAATTTGAAATTACTCAATGATTGAAGTTGATATTTATGAATAAAAATAAATTTTATAATTAGTTTATTTAATTTTTGGAAAGTTTGCATTAAAAATTGAATTTTTTAAAATTGGAAAATAACATTTTATTGAAATAAGTATTCTGATTCTTGCAACTTTTATAATTTTAAGTCTGGAATAATTTAATTCTTACAATGATTTTTAAATAAATTTGAATTTTATTTATTAAAAAAATTCAAATCTTTGTTGAAAAATTCTATTGTACATAAAAATAATTTAATTCTTTGGAAGAATTTTTTTAAGAAACTTTTGAAAATAATTGAAATTTGTGAAAAATTTTATATAGACTTTTAAAAATGAATTTCATCAAGAAAGATTTATGAAAAATTTTATTGTTTATAAAAATAATTCAATTCTTTGGAATTGAAAATGAAAATAACTAAATTGTTGCAAATATTTATATTATTCATGAAGATAATTGAATTTTTGCCTCAAATGATATTAAAAATTTTCAAAATAATTGAATTTCTGTGATGGATTTTTTTATTTATAAAAATAATTCAATTCTTGTAAAGAATTTTGTTGTTTATAAAAATAATTCAATTCTTTTTTTAAAATTTTAATGTTTATAAAATTAATTGAATTTTTTGCAAGAATTTCTAAAAAGATTTGAAAATAATTGAATTTCTACAAAGATTTTTATTATTTATGATGATAATTGAATTTTTGCCTCGAATGATATTAAAATTTTAGAAAATAATTGAATTTCTGCAATGAAGTTTGTTGTCTATAAAAATAATTGAATTCTTGCGAAGAATTTTGTTGCTTATAAAAATAATTCAATTCTTTGAAAAAATTTTAATAACATTTTTGAGAATTAGAATTAGAATTAGAATATATTTTATTATGTCCTAGGTAAATACCACGAGGACAACCATTAAAAATACAGTAATTAATAACATATATATCGTATAAAGTTAAATAAAGCTATATACAGATGTAAAAATAAAATACTTTGATTTACAAATTATCACAGCAACTCACACACAGATGACATACCAATCAAGATACACTATATACTCTATACATCCAACGAAAATAAATATTTATATAATTGTAGTTTAAATGTTTTTGGACTTTCAATATTTGTCATAGAACGAGGGAGAGAGTTCCATAAATTTATGGCAGTAACCATGAACGAGTTTTTATATTTTTCTGTTTTACGAAGAATTTTATTAAATTTATGAAAATAATTTAATTTCTATGAAGAGTTTTATTAAATTTTTTTAAAAATAATGAAATCCTTTTGAAGAATTTGATTAAAATGTGTTGAAAATAATAAATACTAATAGATTAGTAATTTAGTTAGTATTTGTATTTTTTTTATTTATTGAGTCTAAAATGATTAAAAAATTAAAATTGATATTTCAACTTAGTTCGCAACAACTTTAATCAAAATATAATGGATTGATCTAAAAATAAATAAATAATTCTTAATTTTTGTTTTCATAATTTCAAATATAATTTCTCAAAAATCTTTAGATACGGACACAATGAGGGAAATGTTTCGGAACCAGAGAAACCGGCTGATGACAAAACGGCGATAAAATTAATCAACAGTTGGATACGAGAGGAATTAGATTCAGACAATGAGGGTAAAGGTTTTCCCTGCGATCTCTGTGGAAAATCTTACGTAACAAAGAAATCACTAGCAAAACATCGTTCAAATGTTCATGAGTCACAGCAAAATTTCTGCAGGAATTGCGGTCCAGAATGCGTCTGCGAGGAAAAGGCGAAAATTTACATTAAACCGGAGAAAACAAAGATTTACACCTGCGACGAATGTGGTAAATCATTCGAAAAAGAGAACAAATTACAGAAACATTTGAGAATTCACGAGAGAGCTAAAGAACAACAGGACTCGAATTTCAAGCGTTTCCTCTGTCACATTTGCAGTAAAACATTCCGTCAAAATACCGGCCTAATGTTTCACATGAGAACACACACCGGCTATAAACCTCATGTTTGTAAATATTGCGGACGAGGTTTCACATCAAATTCAAATTGCATCAATCACGAGAGAACTCATACCGGCGATCGACCATTTGTCTGTCATTTTTGTAGTGCCGCTTTCGCAAAATCGTGCACATTGAAGGCACACATTACCACACATACAGGCGAGGCGAATTATCATTGTAAAACATGTGGGAAATCATTTAGACGATTGAAATACTTGAAGGAACATAAATTCACGCACACCGGTGAGAAGCCGTACGCGTGTAAAATTTGCGGCACTGCCTACAGTCATTCGGGAAGTTTATTTGTTCATGAGAAAAAATGTAAGGCACAATTTAATAATTTTCAACCAGCAACGTCGCAGGGCGCTCAGAATTTTTGTCAGCAAGCAAATATTGTCACGACGCCGACGGTTCCGCCTTTAATTACAACTCTACCGTCGACAACACATCATCATCATCAACATAATCATCATCATCATGTTGGCAATATCAACACATCATTGGGATTGCAAGGTAATAAAAATTATATTGAAAGTGTACAGAGAATGAACGCTGCCGCCGCTGTAGCTGGGAATACGGGACTGCACGTTCATGCGAATAATGACGTCTCCGATATGGCCTCGGCTGTCAGAAATTTTGCCATTATCGGACAAATGTTTCACTGAGATTTATATAAAAATCGGTAGACTTTTAAAATCAGCCGCTATTAAAAATCAGTGGGCGGACTTTTGGATTTAAGACTCTAAGCAGGAATCAAAGTATTTTTTTTCTCTTATATTACAATAAGAGAAATAGAATTATTTTCTAAAAATAGGTGAAAAGAAACGTGACAAAAAAATTATATAGTTATTATTACTATAACTATAAATACAATTAACTAATTAATTACTGATTTTTTATTTTTAAATGTTTTAAAAACATTCTTTGCGAGAATTCAAATATTTACTTATGTAAATACAAAATTAATCGCAGGAATTCAATTATTTTAAAATATTTTAATATAATTCTGGCAAGAATTCAATTATCTACATAAATAATAAAATTCTTTGCAGAAATTCAATTATTTCCAAAAATTTTAATAAAATTCTTTCAAATAATGAAATTATTTTTGTAAACAATAAAATTCTTCAAAAGAATTGAATTATTTTCATAAATTTTTCTCGATGGAATTCATTTTTTAAAAGTTTATATAAAATTTTTGTCAAAATTCAATTATTTTCGAAAGTTTTTTAAAAAATTCCTCCATAGAATTGAATTATTTTTATAAACATTTAAATTCTTCGAAAAGAAATAAATTATTTTAATAAATAAAATTCTTCAAAGAAATTCAACTATTTTTCCATTTTCAAAAATGTTAATCAAATTCTTCAAAAATATTTAAAATAATTAAATTCTTTCAAGGAACGTTTCTAAAATTTTCAAAAATAATTGAATTTCTGCTAAAAATTTTATTATTCTTGAGAAAATTAAAATTTTTGAAAATAATTGAATTCTAGACAGTAATTTGATTAAAATATTTTAAAATATTTGAATTCCTGCCAAGAATTATATAAATTTATGAAAATAATTGAATTCTTTCCAAAAACGTTTCTAAAATTTTTGAAGTTAATAGAATTGCTGTGAAGAATTTTATTATTTAGAAAATAATTTAATTCTTGTCAAAAATGTTTCTTCAAGCTAATTAAATTTCTGCTAAATTCAAATATTTTCATAAATACAAAATTCTTCGCAGAAATTCAATTATTTTCCATAAATAATAAAATTCTTGACAGGAATTAAAATGTTTTCAAACATTTCAATCAAATTCTTCGCAAAAATTAAATTATTTTCAATACAACTCTAATTAAATTAATCGAAAGAATTTAATTATTTCTAAATATTTGAATCAAACTTTTCGCAGAAATTTAATTATTTTGATGAATATTTAGATAAAATTCTTTATAAGAATTTAATTAATTTCAACAAAATTTAAATTAAATTCCTCGAAAGAATTCAATTATTTTCAATAAAATTTTTATTAAATTCCTCGAAAGAATTTAATTTTTTTCAATAAAATTTATATTGAAAATATTATTTTCAAAAATTTTAGAAACATTCTTAACATGAATTCAATTATTTTCATAAATTAAAAAATTTTTCGCAGAAATAAAATTAGTTCCAAAAAATTTGGAAACATTCTTGACAAGAATTCAATTATTTTTTAAATAATAAAATTCTATTATCTTCAAAAGTTTTAGAATCGTTTTTGGAAAGAATTCAATTATTTTCGAAAAATAATAAAATTCTTGTCTGGAATTCAATTACTTTTATATATTTTCATTTTTTTCATAAATAATAAAATTTTTAGAAGAAATTCAATTATATTCGAAAATTTTAGAAACGTTCTCAGAAAGAATTCAATTATTTTCAAAAATTTTAGATACGTTCTTGACATGAATTTAATATTTGAAAATATTTAAATTTTTGCGACGAATTATGTTAAACTTCTTAAAAGTAAATGCTTATAAAGAATTTATCAAAAATTTTGAAAACAATTTAATTGTTTGGATAAATTTTATTGGAATATTTAAAAATAATTGAATTTTGTTAAGAAATTTTATTAAAGCTGTATTTGTCATTTATTTTACAGAAAGTTTGCGTTAAAAATTGAATTTTTTTTTATATGAAAAATAACATTTTGATTTAAAGAAATGTTATAATTTTTGTAACATTTATAATTTTTATTCTAAAATAATTTAATTTTCGCATTGATTTTTGAATGAATTTGAATTTTATTTATTTAAAATTAAATGTGAAGTAAATTAATTATTTGTTTTATTGAATTTAATTAAAATGGAAAAAAAATGAAATTGAAAAATAATTCAATTCCTAAAAAGAATTTTATCAAAATTTTTGAAAATAATTTAATTCTTTCGAATAATTTGATAAAAATGTTTACATGTTTACAAAATAGGTGAAATAGGTGCCAAAATTTAAAAAAGCCGAAAGTCTATGATTCCTGCACTAGAGATTTTAAATTCAAACATCCGCCTATTCTTTTTATTAGACAATGTAGAATTTATTTTTCTTTATATCAAAAAACTGATGAAAATTGATCTCAAGAAGATGTGAATTAGTCCCATTTTTTATCGCAATAAAATTTTTTTCTTACTGAAAATTCAATTGCTAAACATCAGTAAATATTCCTTTACTGAAATTTTTACTTTTTCCTTGAATTTCCAGTCAGAGAAAAATTATTTTTTCAATTTTGTAAATGGCAAACAATTCACTCTCTCGTGTTATATTTGGTTTATTATTACGACTTACATATAAAATATTATTATTAAAAAAAAAAAAAATTGTTGAGAATAGTTGAAATTTATTTAACAAGAAAATATTTTTTAAACTATTTGTAAGTGCTTCTAGATTTTAAAGAAAAAGCTTAAAAATGAGAAAACTTCTCTTCCAAAAATAGAACTAATTCTTTTTAAGAAAATGTTAAAAAACTAATATTTCCTCTTTTCGTTCTCATTTACAAATATTTTTTTAACAAAAAAAATATATTTAAGATTGCAATATCTACAAAAATAGGATATTCTTTATAACTAAATAAATAAAATATCTAGATATTTATATATCTAAATAAATAAAGCATCTAAATAGAAATTATTTATATTCTAAATAAATAAAACAATATAAATAGAGATATATTATTATAATAATGAGAAATAGATTCAGAATCAAAATACTTACACAAATTTACAAAAAAATATTTTCCCAAAAAGAGTGATTTTTTTTAATTATCTTGAATAATTAAATTTAATTAATTACTCTTAAATAATTATTTACCATTTTTGAATGTAAATTGTATAAAATGAATTACGCAATTTTTGCCTTTGTAAATAGAACGAGAAGATCATTTTTAATATAAATATTAACTGCATTGTAAGCCTATTAAGATCTTTCGAATATTCGATATGACCTCAAGGTAAAATTTTATTTTATATAAATAGAAACATTTTAAAGAAATTTCTGTCGAAAATTTTTATAAAGATAGAATTTTTATTTTTAAAAAATTATCTACTTCTCTTCTTACATTCTCGCATCGAAAAATAACAAATGTATTTAGATTTCTTTTTTCAATTTTTACCTTTTGACAATAATTCATTGTATCGAATATTTTAGTTATCGGAATAATTACTATTTTTAATGACACTATATTAATAAAAATGCAAAAGATCATAAATATGCGTAAAATCTAATTTATATGACTCATCGGATAAATAAAAATTATGCGCAATAGAAAAAAGAGATAAAAATTATTATTAGATCTAAAGTAAAAGAAAAAGTATTTGATTCTACTTTATACAATTAAAAAAAAATTCGTAGAAATATTACATGATATTATATTTACACTAAAAATGTCAAGAAGCAAAAAATTTTAGCAAAAAAATTCGTTTGCTTCTATAATTTTGTTGTAAGCAAAAAAATTAAAAATTTACTACTTTGGATCTAGAGTAAAAGTTAAAGCAGCAGGATAATTATATTTTCTTATATAATGTCAAAAGTGATAATTTGTTATACTTAATTATATCAATTATATTGACAGATTATTATAAATCATTTTCATAAAAGACAATGAAATTTATTGTACGGTCCGTTTTTGTGTGACTGATGATTTTACAATTAGTTTTCTATAGACTATTTTTCTTTTTCTAGAAAAAAAAAAAAAATATTTAACTATCGTAAGTGTAAATAGACTACATAAAAAAATGTAACCTATTAACGACTGCATCTATACAATAAAAATAATTGTAACAACATTTTCTTTGTTTAGAAATAATTCACTTATTCCTAAATAGTAATAAATGTCACGCGCAAAAGGTTTGAATTTGAAATTTTATCAAACTTAAACTTTTAATTAATTTAATTAGAAATCTTAAAGAACTTCGATTTTTGAAAAATTTTAATAATTCAAATTCTTCTGAAATTAGTTCATTTTTTAATATGTATGTATTTAATTAATTATTATAAAAAAATGGATTTATAGAAGAATTTTAGTTAAAAACACTAAAAGTTACAAATGATTGCAGAAATTCAATTATTTTCATAAATAATCAAATTTTTTACAGGGATTCAATTATTTTCATAAATAATCCAATTTTTTATAGGTTTTCGATTATTTTCATAAATAATAAAACTCATCGGAGGATTTCAATTATTTTCAAAAAAAAAAATTCTTCTCAGAAATTCAATTATTTTCAAAAATTTTACAAAATTCTCCTCAAAATTACAATTATTTTTATAAATAATAAAATTCTTCTCAAAAATTAAATTATTTTCAAAAATTTGAATAAAAGTCGACCAGCCAAAAATTAGAATTATTTTAAAAAATTTTTAAAAGTATAATAAAATTCTTCGCAAAAATTCAATTCTGCACAAAAATTTCGTCAAATTTTCAATTATCTTTATCAATAATAAAATTCTTCTCCAAAATTCAATGTTTTTGAAAAATTTTAATATCTTTCAAGGCAAGAATTCAATTATTTTCCAAAATTTTCCTAAATTTAATTACTTTTAATATCTACTATTTCAATTAAATTTCCCAAAAGAATTCAATTATTTAAAAAAAAATTAATATTCTACTTAAATATTTAATTATTTTCATAAAAAATAGAAATTTCATAGGAATTCCATTATTTACAAATTTTTTATACATTTTTCACAATAATTCCATTATTTTCATAAATAATAAAATTTTTTACAGAGATTCAATTATGTTTAATGCAATTTCAATCTAATTTCTCGAAAAATGAAATTGTTCTTAAAAATTTTTATTGAAATTCGTCAAAAGAATTTTAATTATTTCAAAATTTTGTTGACAAAATTCTTTATGAAAAGGTCAATTTTAAAAAACATTCAATTATTTAATAAATTATTTATTCTTGTATTTAAATAATTGAATTCTCGTAGAGTTTTCTAATAAAAATTTATTTAAATATGAATTTCAGTTAAAATTTCAGATTATTTTCTTAAAAAAGAAAATTCTTCGCAAGATTAGAATATTTTCATAAATAATAAAATTCTTCAAAGTAATTCAATTATTTTCATAAATAATAAAATATTTCGGATGAATTCAATTATTTTCAATACAATTTTAATAAAATTTCTCGAAAGAATACAATTATTTTTAAAAATATTATTTAAATTCAATTATTTGCAAGAGTTTTAATAGAAGTTGAATTATTTTTTTAAATTGTAAAATTCTTGTCAAGAATTCAATTTATGAGCAAGAGTAAATCGAAGGTCATGATTAATTAATTTAAAAGGAATTAAACTGGAAAAACGTATTTATTAGAACGAGTTAATTAAAAGTTATACACGATTTGTGTGCTGCTTATAAAAAACAGAAAAGATCTGATTTAGAAATAAAAGACGATAGCATATATTCACACGAATATATAAACAGATCAGAACAAAAGTTTAGAAAGTGAACCCGCGTATTGTAAAACATTTTTGATTTCCAACACAATTAATTTTGTAAATAATAAAATTCTTTTGAGAAATTCAATTATTTTTAATACAATTTTAATAAAATTAGGAAAATTAATTACAATTAAAAATAATTAAAATTAGGAAAAAATTCAATTATATTCATGATAATTTTAATAACATTTTTTTAACAGGTTCAATTATTTTTAAAAATTGTAATAAAATTTTTCTAAACAATTCAATTGAGTTCTCAAAAGTTTTTAATAAAATTCTTTGTAAATTGCATTTATTTTCAAAATTTTCAATTAAAATAATTATTTACAAAAATTACATTATTTTTACGAAATTTAATGAAATTTTTCAAAAAAAAATGTAATTATTTACAAAAAGTCTAATAAAATTGTTAAAAAGAATTTAATTTTCTTTGAATAATTTAAATATAATTTAATATGAAAATTATTAATTACAATTAATAATAAAAACGATTATTTTAAAAACTTGAAAAAAAATCTGAATAAAATTTTAAAATTCAATTACTTTCAAAATTTTCATTAAAAATCATAAAAAAACTCCATTATTTTCAAGAAATTTGAAATAAATATTTCAAAACAATTTAATTATTTTAAAGAATTTTAATAAAAGACTTGCCAAGAATTAAATTATTTTCAGTCCAATTTTAATTACATTTTCTCGACAGAATTTAATTATTGATAAAAATGATAAAATTCTTGAAATTCTTGGAATTCCGCTTTTTAACCTGGATTTCTGAATTTTTGCTCCGAAAATTATAAACATAACCTAAAATTTTTTGCTTCTTTCTTTAGAAGTGCGTCACACTATTCTATTGTTAATTTATTTTTTTTATGACCATTCTTATGTAACAATTGTCCCACCTTCGAGTGTTTGAATTTTTCCGCCGAGAAAAAAACAGTGTAATGAACATGCGCGTAATTAACTGTGTTTGCTCACCAAAACATTCGATTTTTATTCTTGTCATTTTTGTTCAAATACAACTCTCCCTTTTATGATATGTAATAATAATAAAAAATAATCAAACAAAACTATAGAAAAATATAAAAATTTACCAATATTTGAATTAATAGTTAAAACAAAATTCCATTTAATATTTTGTTTACATACAAGAAATAATTACTTTTTTTATCAAATTTTGATAAAACTCGGTGAGTTAAAATGCTTTGAGATAAAATTCAAATTAACAATTACACTCTAAACGACAACGACCTCGAATACTTTTTTTCAATTGAAACATTAATGTAATGTAATTGCTGGCCTAACAATGTATTATACAAAGTCTAACAAGATTAAATTTTCAAGATTCAATAAGCCACGTAATTGATTCAGTTCATCAAGTCCATGGCCAGAGCGGTGAGAGCTTGAACATGGTGTGAGTTTCATTTCATCTATATACAATATAAATGATTCCGGTAGTGCATAGGTCAAAAACTTATAACTATATGACTAATATCTCGTGTCGGTTCTTTGAGAATAAAATAGTGATTCTATTCGTATGATTCGTATTGAGTTTGAGAATATTTTCGCGCAGGTATGAAAAATTCTCTCTAAAAAAAAGAAATTGACCACGTGATTTAACAATGATCCTGAGATCAAAGTTTTTACCTGTGAAACTGGATATTCGGCAAATTTGGGATTAGATACAACAGGTATTTATGAATCTCAAATTTTATTACTCGATACATTCGAATTTGAATATTAAAGAAAGATTTTAGAAAAGAATTATTTAACGTGCTTCACAATTATCTACTAAAATAAACTATATCTACTACTTTTTTTACGATTCGCTACTATTTGGATAATTTTTTTTTCGATTTGTAACACTAAAAGCAATTTTTTTTTTCTTTTGTTCTCGAGAATTTGCTTCGGATTTTACGACTTTTTCAACTTTTTGGACTTTTTTCGACTATTTTCAAAAGCAACTTCTTTGGATTTATTTTCCAAAAATGTGACTTTCCAGTATTTTCTTTCAAATATTGCAACAAAATACCACTATTTTCATATATAAATAAAACTGACAACACTATTTAGAATTTTTTAGTGTGAAAAATTATAGTCAAATCAATCAAAAATTATGGAAATTATTTTTGAATATTTTTTTTATCATAATTAATTGAAATTTTGATGAGAATTTTTTCAAATTTTTAAACATAATTGAATTTCTGCGATAAAATTTATTACTTTTGAAAATAATTGAATTTCTATACCATTTAAAACTACTCCAAAATTTAATTTTTTTGGATTTTTAACTAAAATTCTTCTTTAAATAAATTATTTTTTATAATTATTTTCAATACAATTCTAATTAAATTTTATTCGCAGAAATTTAATTAATTTGAAAAAATTCTTTATAAGAATTCAATTAATTTCAACAAAATTGTAATTGTTAAATTTCTCGAAATTGAATTATTACCTATCAACAATTTTTTATTAAATTCTTAACAAAATTTTAATTAATTTCAAACATTTTCCGAAATTCAATGATTTTCAAAAATTTTTTAAATTCTTGTCAAAATCAGAATATTTTAAAAAACTAAATTTTTATAATTTTTTAGTATTATTATTAAAATTTTCTAGAAATAAATTTTTTTAAAAGTTTTAATTTAAGTTCTTCAAAAAAAAAAAATAAAAAAAAAATTGAAGTAGGTAGTTTTTTAAATTATCCAAAAATATTTTTAAGGACATTTGAAACATTATGACGTTACAGATTGTGCAAAGTATATAATTCTAAAACTGTGACGTTATAATGGTTCAAATGCCCTTAAGAAAGTCAATTACTTTTGAAAAATACATAAAAATATTTTTAAACAACTAATTCTTAGAACTTTTTTTATCAAAATTTTTTTAAAATTCAATGGTCTTAAAAAAATGTGAGTTAAAACAAATTTAAATGTTTTTAAAATTCAAGGGTCTTAAAAAAATGTGAGTTAAAACAAATTGAATTGTTTTCAAAAAATTTTACTAAATTTCAATTATTTCTAAATTTTTCAATTAAATATGTATAATTAAAAAAAATTATTTAAAAATGAATAATTTTTCATTTTATATTTAAAAATGTTTTTAAGAATTTTTTTATTATTATAATGCATTTAAAATCAATTATTTTGAATTTTTGAATAATTGACCTTAATTAAATTCTAGAAAATAATTAAATTTTAAAAAAGAACAGTTACAATTTTTACAAATAATTGAATTTTAGAAGATTTGAAATTTAACTCTTTAAAAATTTCAATTACTGTAGAAGTTTAATAATAAGTATAAATATTTATTAAACAAATAATAATTTTGTTATTTTTCTAAAAATCCAAACTTTTGAATTATTTTATTTAAAAATTTACGTCCCTGAAGTTAGTGGAAGTTAGCGTCGACGCTCAGCTTCGAAAACTGATTTTTTGTGATTTATAGAAATGAAAATGTCACTAATTTCACTTCTTTCATTCACCTTGATACTTAAAAATAAATTTAAGACATTTTTTGAACCTGCAACTTTAAAAAAAATGTTTTTAAATTAATTACTGTCCAAGTTTAAGAAATAATTAACTTTCAAAAAGTTTCACTTGAAATTATATGGAATTTTAGTTTTTTTTTTTTTTTTTGAAAAATAAATAACATTAAATATTTAAATACTTATTAAGGGCATTTGAACCATTATGACGTCACAATTTGTGCAAAGCACGTGTTCTAAAATTGTGACGTCATAATGGTTCAAATACCCTTAAACAAAATTATTGAATTTTTGAATAATTAAAATGAAAAATTCTGCGAAAAATTAGATTTTACAAAAATTTTAATAACAATATTTTGTAGATAATTGAAATCCCGAAAATAATTTTAAAAAAATCGTATCAAGTGGAAATTCTGTTAAATTCCATTGAAATGAATTTCATTTTTTTGAGAAAATTTTTTTTACATTTAAAAATTATTATTTCTTTGAAATAGTTAATTAATTATTCATATCAGTCTATTTCAGTCTATAAAAGCTATTTTTTGTACTTTTCTTCATTAATTAATGAGTCTATTTATTTATTTATAAAAATAAATATATAAATAATTACATTTATATCTAATTTCAGATTTTATGATGACACAAAAAGATTGAAATTACCAAGAGAAAAAATATATGCGTAAAAAAATGTTTGAAGACTACTTGGAATATTTGAAAGATCCACATTTAGTTGCGAAGATACAAAATTTTTTTGGTGTTGAAATTCATGAGGAATGCCAAGTGAATGAGGATAATCCGGAAGGGAAAATCTTTACACGAAATGAGAAAAAAGTGGAGAAAATTTACAATGGTATTAATAATATAAAAGCGGAATCAAATGGTTATTTTAAGGAAGAAACGAATGATGATGATAATGATGATGATGTTGCAGAAGAATTTTTAGCTACAGAAAAGGAGAATATTGACGAAAAGAAAGCAACAATTACAACGAATTCTCCGCCCAAGTTTGCCATTAAAAATTCATTTTGGTATTATTTGTTTCTATTTGGAACTGAATTGGGAGATGAGATTTTCTATATTTCCTTTATACCTTTTTGGTTTTGGAATGTCGATGGACCAGTTGGAAGGAGAGTTTTTCTCGTTTGGTGTATTATTATGGTGATCGGTGAGAATTTCGAGTCATATTTTCTTTTTTTTTTGTTCTTTCTTTTTTTTGAACAGAGGAAATTAGGATTAATTGGATAATTTCTGTTTAATAGGACAAGCGCTGAAAGATATAATCTGCTGGCCAAGACCAGCCTGTCCGCCTGTTGCGAGACTACAAAATAAATGGTCCCAGGAATATGGAATGCCATCGACTCATGCAATGGTTGGAATGTCAATACCATTTAGCGTCTTAATTTATACAATGAATCGATATATTTATTCATTTCCAGTGGCGTCTTTCATTGCGACAACCTGGTAAATTTTTCCTTATTTAAACATAAACAGGAATTGTCTTATTCACATTTTTTCATCTATTATTTTCATAATTCCTTATTTTTCACTTTTTTTATGATTCGATTCATTCTTTAAATATTTAATAATTCAATTAATTTTTTTCAAATTTTTTTACTTTATTTTTTTTATTGAAAACATAAAAAAATGGTTATTCACTGCAATTTTAAAGAAAACGGTGTTTAAAGTTTAAAGTACGGTGATCCATGTCATAGAAATTATTATTAACAATGTAAAATAAAAAAAAAATATGATTGTGTTACGTTCGAAATTGAAAATATTTTAATTTTATTAGGTGTGCAGTGGTGTGCATGAGTCGATTATACCTCGGAATGCATACAGTACTAGACTTAATTGGAGGGCTTGCATTGGCAATTGGTTTGATGATTCCCTTAGTGCCATTAATAGACATAACTGACCATTATTTTCTGACGAACGGCTGGATATTGTCAATTTTAATCATTCTCACTATTGTCACTATCATTTATTATCCAAAAAGTGATAGATGGACACCGACCAGGTAAATTTTCAATTCTACAAAAATTCTAACAGGGTTGCCACGAAAATTTAATTTTCTTTTTCCCTGATTTTCAAACCAAATTTTAACTTTTTCCCTGACCCTGAAGAATATTCTGATTCACTTTAATTGGCAAATTCTTCGAAAACATCAATAACTTCATTTTTAAATAAATATTCAATCGATATTAGTTTTCCATAGAAATTAAAATTTTTTTTATAATAATAAAATGCGACCGAATGATAAAATCATTATTTTATATTATAGGAATATTGTTACTGTAACTTTTTCAAAATCATTTTCATCATTACAATTCAATTATTATTTTCTAGAATTTTTAACTAAAATTCTTCTTAAAATCAATTATTTTTAATAATTATTTAAAAAGTTCTTTGAAAATTTTCAAATCTAATTGTTTACTATTCAATTTTACGAAATTTCGATTATTCAAAAACTCTTTAATTAAATATATTTTAGAAAATAAAAATTCAAATAATTTCATAGAAAATTCAATTAAACTTTTTCAAAAAAAATAAAATCTACAGAATTGTTAGCTAAAAGTATGAAAAATTCAGATTTTCAAAAATTTGAATTTGAAATCTTTTCAAAATTCAATTATTTCTAAAAATTCACGCCATAATGCTTCTGATACTCAATTATCTAAAATTTTAACTAAAAGTCATTTTTAAATCAATTTTTATTAGAAAATTCTACGAGAATTCAATTATTTAAATACCAAAATAAATAATTTATTGAATAATTGAATGTTTCTTAAAATTGAAGTCTCATAATGAATTTTATCAACAAATTTTTAAATAATTGAATTCTTTCGACGAATTTTTATAAAATTTTTCAGAATAATTACTTTTTTCGAGGAATTCTATTAAAATTGTATTAAAAAAATTAAAATTCTGCAATGAGTTTTCTTATTTATAAATATACTTGAATTCCTAAAAAGAGTTTCATTATTTATGAAAATAATTATATCTTTGCGTAGAATTTTATTAAAAATTTTTTTAAATAATTGAATTCTTTTGGAAAATTTTATTTAAAAAGTAGATATTGAAAATCATTGAATTGAGGAAAACTTTTTAAAATACTTGAAATTTTGCCAAGAATTTTATTAGAATTTTTGAAAATTAATTAATTGAGTAAAATTTTTTAAAATAATTGAAATTTTGCTAAGAATTGAATAAAAAATGTTTTAAATAATTGAATTTCGATGAAGAATTTTATTATTTAGAAACTAATTGAATTCTTTCTAAGAACGTTTCTAAATTTTTTGAAGATAATCGAATTCTTGTCAAAAATTATATTAAAATTATTGAAAATACTTTCGAGAAATTTAACAATTAAAATTTTTTTGAAATTAATTGAATTCTTATAAAGAATGTTATCGAATTTTTTCAAAATAATTAAATTTAATTAGAATTGTATTGAAAATAATTGATTTAAAGAAGAATTTTAGTTAAAAACCCTTAAAAAAATTGAATTTTGGAGAAGTTACAAAGGATTGCAGAAATTCAATTATCTTCATAAATAATAAAAATCTTTGCAGACATTCAATTATTTACAAATTCTTTTTTAAATTCTTTAAAAGAATTGAATTATTTTTATGAACAACAAAATTCTTCGCAAGACTTCAATTATTTTTATAAATAACAAAATTCATCACAGAAATTCAATTAATTTTGAAAAATTTTAATATCATTCGAGGCAAGAATTCAATTATCTTCATAAATAATAATATTCTTCTCTAAAATTCAATTATTTTTAAAAATTTTAATAAAATTCGTGTCAAAATTTCAATTATTTTTAACAATTTTCCTCAATTCAATGATATAAAATATCTACTATTTCAATAAAATTTTCCAAAAGAATTTAATTATTAACAAAAATGTTAATAAAATTCAACGCAAACATTTAATTTATTATCTTCATAAATAATAAAAATCTTTGCAGATATTCAATTATTTACAAATTTTTTATAAATTTCTTTGCAATAATTCAATTATTTTTATAAATAATAAAACTCATCACAGAATTTCAATTATTTTTAATACAATAATTTTAATTAAATTCCTCGAGAAATGGAATTATTCTTAAAAATTTTATTAAAAATCGTCAAAAAAAATCCAATTATTTAAAATTTTGTTCATAACATTCTTTATAAGAATTCAATTTTAAGAAACATTCAATTATTCAATAAATTATTACTTTTTGAAAATAATTGAAATTTTAGTAAGAATTTAATTAAAATTTTTTGAAAATAATTGAATTTTGGAGGAGAATTATTATTATTTATAAGATAATTGAAATTTTGACAAGTATTTTTTTAAAAATTTTTTAACATAATTGATATTTGCGAAGAATTTTATTACTTTTGAAAATAATTGAATTTCTGCAATCATTAGTAACTTCTCAAAAATTCAATTTTTCTAGTGTTTTTAATAAACGCAACTGTTTTAAAATTCAATTATTTTTGAAACATTTAAGTAAAATTATTCATTAAATAATTGATAAGTAATAATTTTATGAAAGTCCTTCAAGAATTAATTTTTTTAAAGAGAAATTATTGCCAGAAATAGAAAAAATTGAAGGTTTTGTATCAGAATTCGTGGTAATTTCATAGTTTATGAGGCAAACAAAAAAGACTCCAAAATTCAGAATTTTCTTATGAATTCTAAAAATTAATAATATTTTCCAATATTTTTAATAAAAATTCCTTAATTTTCCCTGATTTTCCTGACCAATTCTATTTTCCTTGACTTTCTCCAGAATTTCCTGACCAATTCTACTTTCCCTGACTTTTCCCTGAATTTCATAATTTCTCTGACCTATGGCAACCCTGAAAAAGAATATTAATTTTAATCAAAAAAATATTAATTTTATATTTTTGATTATTATTATATAATTCATTTGTTTTTCTTTTAATTAGAGGAGACACAACAATGGTAGTTTCCGTAACCTGTGGCGTCCACTTTGGTTCATGGTTAAATTTCACAACAGGTGCTTTATCCGAATCACTATTATCACCACCGTATGAAGTAAATTGGCCAACATATCAAACATTAGCTTTAATTATTTTTCGTACAATTTTTGGCTTTTGTTGCATAATATTCTTGAGGGGAGTGTGTAAATCTCTCAGTTATTCGGCAATGTGTGCGATATTGCGAGTCAATTCAAAGGAACTAATTAAAAGTGAAAATTCATTGAAAAATAAAAATAAAGTAATTGTCGATCTTTTTTATAAGTACGTAACTTATTTTATAGTTGGTTTCAATATTGCTTATTTAATGCCAAAAATTTTTTCAATTATCGGTATTGGAAGAAATACATTTTACACTGAAATGTAAGGAAAAAAAAGTTTCGATTTAATTAAAATTTGTAAAAAAAAGGACGATAATGAAATTTGCACGCACTTTTGAAATTTTTGTAAATTTGCACAATTTTTAAAGAGAATTTTCTTTTTAATGATTTTTATTTTACAGTACTAGTCATCACTTTGGTTTGATTATTTTGACTAGATAGTGTAAATATGTAAGTATAGAAAAAACACTATTGCGTTTTTCATTTATGTAAATATATTTTAAGAAATGTTTCTCTTTGCATTTTTTTATATGACTTTTTAGTATTTAAGCAGTTTTAATGAGAAAATAAAATACACATTATGCACGTTAAATTGAATTTAACGAAAACGTAACGAAAATAAATCTAATACTGAAGTAAATGGAATATTGTATTTCAAACCTCTCAACACTTCACTGGCAAATTCAATCGTAAAATCTGTAAAATTAGAAATTAAAAATTATTTTGAGTTATTTTTTAACATAAATTTAGGCTTCGCACTTGTTGATTAATAAAAAAAACAGCAAAAAGTAGCTTCAAGACTGAAAAAAGTGGTAAAAAGCAGCTATCGAAAAATTAAATATAATTTTTTAATTTATTTTTTCTAAGATAATAGAATTTATAAAATTATAATAAAAACATTCTAGAAATTATTGTTTTAAAAATATTATAAGGTAAATTTTCAAAAACTAGCAAAACCACACGCGCGTGAAATTTTCGTTGCCATTGTTACTTTAAAATATTTGCTTTTTGAAATTTAATGAAAATTCTTCATTTCTTAAAAAACATAATTTTTCTAACAGTTTTTCTTTAAATTTAATTATTTGAACAACTCGTATAGAAATCGACAAGAAATTTCTAACAACTTGAATGTAAAATATTTTTTTTTAAATAATTGAACCAGGTAATAAATTTTTTTTAAAATTCAATTATTTTCCAAATTTTCAATTAGAATTCTTCAAAAATACGATTATATTTCAAAATAATTTTTAAAAGTGAACAAATAAAATTCATTAAAATATTAAATATATTTCAATGAAATTTTTTTGTAAATTCATGAAATAATGTATTTTCAAAAATACAATTATATTTATAGAAAATTTTTGAAGATGAAAAAATAAAATTCTTTGAAATATAAAATTTTACAACATTTACATTTGTTTCAAGTTTTCAAAATTATTTTCGAGAATTCAAGTATATCTTCAAAAAATTGTAATCACTATTTTTCAAAAACCTAATTTTTTCAAAATTTCCAAATTTCAAATTTCCTTTCAAATTTCAATAATTTTTGTAAAATAAATATTTAAATACTTATTATTCTTTATTTTCTTAAAATTTCGAAAGTAGTGCAAATTTCCAAAAGAAAAGGAATAAAAAGAGTAGTAAATATTATGTCTTAGTAGATGAGTGCGAAGCCTGCATAAATTTAATTTACATTTTAGAAAAGATTTAATTTCTCACCCCTAAATCTGGATCTAATTCAGCATAAGCTTCTTCTTTATTCACTGCATAAGGAGTGAAAACGTCAACTAAATAATTTGAATCCTTCGACTCGACAATTATTCGATCTTCACCAATTTCTACCGTTATATTTTCAAACACCTAAAAATGTATATGAATGATTAATTTTATTAAATGCATGCAATTAATTCGCACACATTATTCAGTTTTAAAAGGAATTTAATATTTTTTCAACATTAGATTTTTACCAATACGGGAATTCTAAATAGAGCAATTAATTTTTTTGCTTTTCCATTCGCCGGGGTTTGAAGAATAACATAGTCAGAGTTTCTTCTTTTATCATTTACTTCCTTTGCTGCGTTTTTAGTTAAAGATTTTTTCTCATTGTTTATTTTAGTTGTTGATTTCATTTTCGTCTCATATTTTGAATTACTTGTCACATCTTCTATCAATGTTTTTGGATATTGAGGTTTTCTTACTTCGCGTTTTTCAATTCGATGTTGTTGTAATTTGCCTAAAACCTTTTTTTTTGGGAAGAAAGTTGTATTTAAAAATAGTGTTAAAATTTTTTAATTAAAAATAGAAAAATATATTAAAAATAGAAGAATTTATTTTAAAAATTTAAAATAGAAAATTATTTTGTATATTTTTTTATTTATTTTATATATTTACCTTTCGGTTTTTAAGTATTACACAGTTGTCGTATTCATAAGTTTTGGCAAATTTCTTATTTATTGCGTCCACCATTACTTGAGTTGTAAAGATCATAAAAATCTTATTATCTTGACACTTGAGAAAAAATTGTGTATTTATTGCTATGTCATATGCGGGACATAATGAACCACCTGGAAAATTTTTTCAAAAAACATCAATTAAATGAAAGGAAATAAAATAATAATTTTAAATTACCTTTATCAGACTCGAGTCTTTCTTGGCCGATTGACATTGGAATTACAAAAGTTGGATTATCGCTTGTTGCAACACTAACTAATTTTTCATCGGAAATATCTTCAGGAGCTGGTATATTTTCAGTGTGACAAATGTTTATAAATCCTTTTTCGCCTGTTTCTGTTCGCATTTTTGCACAAACACCTTTGAAACATATATAATATATTAATAATAATAAAATAATTATTAATAAATAAAATGATGAATCATATAATAATGATAATGATAATAGTTTCAATATAATAATACTGATAATAATAATATTAAAAATAATATTATTAATATACAGGCCTCGGATCGACTTTAAGGCAAAAAAAAGTCGCTTTAGTCGATTCAAAATATAAAAAAGGAGAAAACGTCGTTTATGTAATTCAGTGTTGTCAGAAAAATTTTTATTTTGTATTTCACTAATTTTCCCTTTTCATTGATTTCTAAATTCAATTATTCAAAAATGTTTTGATAAATAAATCTTTAAATTTTTCCACAAATAAAAATCAAAAAAGTTTCAATTTAAAACCTTCTGCAGGGTTCCTACAGAAATCCGAACTTAAAATTCCATACCTTTTTCATGATTTCCAGGTCAAATTTTTAGGAAATTCCCGTGGAATTTTAAATTTAATTTCCACGTCGTATAACATATATTATATCTTGAAATTTCTAATTGAATTTCTATTGAAGAGAAAAAATGGAAAACAGGAAAAATTTAGAAACTTTTAAAAATTCCAGGGCTTTTCCATGATTTTCCTGATTTCCAGAAGCCTTCTAAAAATCCCATACCATTTCCATGATTTCAAGATTCTGTAGGAACCCTGAACATTTTTTCTTCTGCTTTATGGCATTTAGCTTCATTATTTTTGGGCTCTTGAAAAACACTTTACTTATTTAATAGTCTCCACCCTTTGGTAAAAAATTTAAAATTATCAAAAATTCCAGTGTAATTTTAAATTTAAATATAATATATGTATCTTGAAATTTCTAATTGAATTTCTATTGAAGAGAAAAAATGGAAAACAGGAAAAATTTAGAAACTTATAAAAATTCCAGGCCTTTTCCATGATTTTCCTGATTTCCAGAAGCCTTTTAAAATTCCCATACCATTTCCATGATTTCCATAAATTCCAAGTACTGTTGGAACCCTGCTTCTGGAATTTAATAATCTTTAAAAATTACAACTATAACCCTTCTAAAAAGGTTTTTTGTTTCTTAACTTTTTAAAATAATTTTTCTCTAAAATTTTTCAATTTTAAAATTATTTTATTGAAAACCATTGAATTCTTGCATCAAAAAATTTGAAAATAGTAATTGAATTGTTTCGAAGAATAAATACAATTAAAAAATTTTGTCAATAATTGAAATTATTAAAAAAAAATTATTTAATTTTTTGAATATAATAAATTTTGTTAATAATTGTAATTAATAAATTTACTTTAAAATTTTATTAAAATTATTTATAGAAAATTTAAATTCTTTTAAATAATTTTATTAGAGTTTTTGTAAATAATTCAATTCTTATGAAGAATTGCTTTAAGTTTTTTGAAAATAATTGAATTATGTAATATAGAAATTTTATTAGAAATTTTTGAAGTAATTCAATTTTTGCTAAGAATTTTGTTAATTAAGAAGATATTTGAATTCTTGTCAAGAATTTACTTAAATGTTTAAAAATAATTGAATTTCTGCAAAGAATTTTATTATTTACGGAAGTAAGTGAATTCTTGCCAAGAAAATTTCTAAAGTTTTTGAAAATAATTGAATTCTATCCCGAACGTTTCTAAAATTTATGAAAATAATTAAATACCTGCGAAAAGAATTTTAATATTAATGAAAACAATTGAATTCTTAAAAAGAATTTTACTAAAATTTTCGAAATCCTAATTAAATTCTTTTCAAGAATTCCATTGAATTTTAATTTAAAATTTTGAAAGTAGTTGAATTTTAAAAAGAATTTCTTTGAACCTTTAAAAATGATCAAATCTCTTAATAATTATAATTAAAAATTTGATTATTGAATTTTATTAAAAGTTTTAAAAATAATTGAATTCTTGAGAAGAATTTTAATATTTATAAAAATAATTGAATTTTTGCGAAGAATGTTATCATTTTATATATTTATATAATTAATTGAATCGTTTCGAAGCATTTAAAAATTGTATTAATTTTTATAAATAAATGAATTTTTGCTAATAATTTTGTTAAATAAGATAATTGAATTCTTGACGAGAATTTACTTAAATTTTTAAAAAAAATTGAATTTTTGCAAAGAATTTTATTATTTACTGAAGTAATTGAATTCTTGACAAGAAAATTTCTAAAATTTTTAAACCTAATTTTTATTAATTTTTCATTTTTAAATTTTATTTTTGAAGATTTTTCATTAAAATTTGTTGGGAATTGAACTATTTTCAAAATTTGTAACTAAATTTCTTCAAAAGTTGATTTTCAAAAAATTGTATAATAAAATACTTATAAAGAAAATAAATTATTTTCAATTAAATTTTACAAAATTTTAATTATTCAATTTTTTTTAGTTTTATATTTCGAAAATTTAATTAGAAAAATTATTTAAAAACAATTTTTGAAAGATTGGTCAATAGTTATTTTTTACTCTATATAAAAATCGAAATAAGTTGCATTTTATACTAAAAAAATGTGGTATTTTGTTACAATATTGTGAAGAAAAGTTGAAAAGGTCGTAATTTTTAAAAATAAGTCGAAAAGAAGTTGCATTTTTTGAAAACAGTAGAAAAAAGTAAAAAAAAGTCATAATCCGAGGCCTGATTAATAATAAATAATTATATTATAACAAATAGTTTCCGTTAATACAAAATATAAATTTCTATTTACCTGGCATAGGTTTCACAAGCACAAAAGGAACATTTGGTCTGTCCAAAGTTTTAAGTAACTCCGAGAATTCATCTTTTTCATTTACCTTTTAACAATTCGTATTTTTATGTTAAAAATATTATTTAATGTATTATATACAATTGTAAATATATACAATTACTTACGATCTGAAGATTGTTATATAAAAGTGAATCGTCAACAAGTAATTTATTCGGCATGGTTTATTTTTTTTCTTTTAAAAACTTCTATAAAATATAAACCGCAGATTAACTAACGAAGGGAAAAGCGTGTTAATTTAGAGGTTATAAAATGATTTAAAAGATTTTTTGTTAGAGAAGCAAATTGTTCATTGCTGACATCTAATTTACTTCTAATAGAAATTTAAATTTAATTCCCAGATTAAAATATTCTCAATTTTTATATGAGAGGACAATAATTAATTATAATTATTAACGAATATCTAAATCGTAAGTAGCAAAACTGCAAAACACTGTCAAATAATCAACAAAAACAAACCAAATTTTTTCTTTTTGCAGTTTAAAGGCAATTCTTCAATACCAATTTTCAGTCAACTTTAAGGTGCGTTCAGAATAACACAGTCAATTGGACTAAAGGAGAGACATTCTCCTTCCTTTTCTATCTTATTCCAAAGACAATTAACTATTATTAATTGAATTTAAATTAATCATTATGAATTTAATTATCACAAATTTACAATTGGTGTGGAATTAAGACAAATTCGACGTGAAAATACTGAAAAATGCTTTTGGCCTTTAAATATTAAGCACCTACCCAACACTGCTTTGTATAATTTGACCTTGGAAGGATATTTTAAGGTTAGAATATTTTCTCCTGGAAAAAAAGAATAATACGATTTAAACTCCCAAAATATATAGTTAAAAATTGCCAATTAACAACATGTAAGCAATTACTTAATTTTCGTCTCTCAGAAGGAGACTATTTCTCATTTAAATCAAGGTAAATAAAAATCTGTCGTTGTGGCAGAAAATTAAAAAATAGGTTAGTTTCTCCGTTCAAGTGGTTCAAGTGCGCGAAAAATGGCTATACAATTTTTAATAAACCGGCTAAAGGCCCTATTTCTTCTTATACTTGGTGCATTTAGACGTGCCATGTGTTGTTTTCGACGAAGAAGAAGGTCTTCTTGTGATTCAATTCCACTGTCCGCTGTCGGAGTTGTTCCTGACCGACCCAATAATAGGGAAGTGAGTTACATTTTTCGTTTGTTTTCTCTAAAAGTTTATTTATTTCTTTATTTACATCTTTTATTAATTTTACCATAAATTCTCTTTCAAGGAATTAGTGCAATGGGAACAGTGGGAAGAAAATCCAGTTGTGGTTATTTCAAATAAACCGATAAATCCCATTCAGGAAAAAATTGACCAATACCGACAGCAAGCTTTTAAACCTCCATCTCCAGAAGAAGAGCTACATGCAAATTTTTTCGAAGTAAGATTATTTTTAAATTAATAACTGGGTTGTCATATTTCAGGAAAAAGTCAGGGAATTTTATAAGATGTAGTGGAAAAATATTCCATTTCTAGAATTCATAATGAAATCACTGAGTTTTGTTGTCGACAGTCTTTGAGAAAAAAGAAAATAATTTAAATTCTATCTATTTCTAACAATAATAGAACTTTAAAGATTTGAAATTGAATTTCTTTTAAATAATTTAATTCTCGAAAAACTGTCGAAAAATTATTATTTATATTAATTATTTTGCCAATAATTTTATTCTAAAATTCAAAAAAATAATTGGAGTTTCAAAAATTTTAATAAATAATAAATAATAATAAATATATAATAATAAAATTCTTCTCAGAAATTCAATTATTTTTAAAAATTTAAGTAAATTCTCAACAAGAATTCAATTATTTTTTAATTAACTTAAATTTTGAGAATTTAATTATTTTCTAAAAATGTAATAAAAATCTTCGCATGAGATTCAATTACTTATTCAGTAGAATTTACAAAAATTGCAAAAAATAATATGAAAAGTTATAAAAAGATAGAATAAAATAGAAAAAAATTTCACATCAAAATTATGAAAAATAAATTAATTTAAAAATTTTTTTGCAATAATATTATCACACAACTTATTCTTTAAATCTGAATTAATAAAGATTTGAATTGATTTGGACAAAAGCGGTATGAATTTTCTAAAAATTAATTTTTTAATTCTACATAAAACAAGACGTGGACATAAATAAAATTCTGTTTTTTAAGAAAATAAATTTTAAACAAACGTATTTTGTATCAATATTAATTAGTTTTTCAACAATAATTTATGAGTAACGATTTATATATTTTAGAGTGTTAAATTAATATTTTAAATGTTAACTAATAATATAGATAAAATTTCAGAAAAGTTTCAAAAATTCTAAAGTTTTTGTTTTAGAAAAGTTGAATTTTCAAAAATTTTATTTACAAATTCTGAAAAAGTTAGCTTTTTTTAAAACATTTTTATTCCATTTTTTTTCTAAATTAGTTGTATTTTTGAATGTATATTTAATTAAAAAATTTTTAAATTATTGAAATTTGATGAAATTAAATATTGTAAACTAGTGGATTTCAAAAATATTTTTGATAAAATAATTGAATTCTTAAGGAACTTTTTCAAAAATTATTAAAAATAATTGAATTGGAGAAGAATTTTAGATACAAAATCTAGAAGATAATAATTGAATTGAAATGTTGAAAATAATTTTTGAGAAGTTACAGTAGTAATTTTCATAAATTTATTGAATTTCAAAGGATTTGGAATTTTTTTAAACCTTAATTCCTGTGTGAAAAAATAATAATAATGATTAAATATTTATTTACAACAAAAAACTGTTGATCTTCCGAAGAACTTTACAATTAAAATTTTTAGCTACTTTTAATGAACAATTCTGTTAAACAAATTTTTTTAGAATTATTTGAAGTTTTTATTTTAAATATATTTTAAAATTCTCAAAGAACTTTGTCCAAAAAGGAGATAAAAATTTAATAAAAAAATTTTAATTAAAAATTCTAGAAAATGATAATTGAATTGAAATCAGGAATAATATTTAAATTAAAGAAATTCGCAAATAAATGTATCAGAATATTCTAATAATTCAAATAACAATCAGAAGAATCTAATAATTTTTAGAGTGAATTAAAAATATTCTTTGGGGTAAGGAAAAAAATCAAAGTTCTGTCTGTAAATCAGGAAAAAGTCGGTGAAAAATAAAAAATCAAATTTTTGTGGCAACCCTGAATAATTAATCATTCTTATATATAATATAATATAAAAAATACATATAAAAAAAGAAAAAAAATCTCAAGAGTTGATTCAAATTTAGTAAAATAATTCGAACATAATTTATTCCAGGATATGACACCAAAAATTACAAAACAAACAAAAGTTTTAATTAGAGATAAAAAGACTGAGAATGTCAATAAAAATTCGTCAAAGTTCGAAATAATGACAGATCCCCTGCCAACGGTATGTTGATTTATTATTATATTTTTCTATTTAAAACTTTTATTACATTTTTTATATTTTTCCTTCTTTTGAAATTTTATTTTTTTTCTTATTTTGAAATTTTAAAATGATCTTTTTTCATTTTTCCTAATGCATCTAGAGCGAACTTAAAGAATGGGAAGAAAATGCAACTGGTTGGGAGGAAGAAACTGCAGGAGAATTTAGCGATCCAACGGAAGTTTTACGAGAGCAGAGAAAGAGAGAGCGTGAACAACGATTATTCGAGCAACAAAAGAAAAGATTGGAAAAACATTTGAGACCACAATTACTTGGAGCAAAAATAACATCTTGATCGTACGTTCAACACGATTATTATCGAGGCTTTAATGAATTATCAAATTTCCTATCAATGGAACAGAAATATAAACATAAATGCAAAAAGAAACACGATAATCGCATAAATAATAAAATGTAAAAATGAAATTCACGGGGAGTGGGAATTCGATAGAAATTAATTAATTCCAGAAATTAATTAATTTTATAATTAATCAAATATAGTTCGCAAAAATTTAAATCGCTCCTTACGAAGAAAAAGACTGCAGATAATAAACTCCAGTGATGATGTATTTTTTACTACCATCAATAATAATCAAATTTCTACTGTATAAACAAAAAAAAGAAATCGCCTTGAAAATATTTCAACATTTTTGCGTAATTCATGTTTCATTCATAAATGCCAAATAAAAAAAAAATTTCTAAATTTTATCTTGAGCACGAATAGAATATTTAGGGCACAAATAATATATTTTTTAGCACAAAATTGTTTTCTTTCACAGAAAGTTTGAAGAAGATTGTAAAGTTTTTTTTAAGGAGAATTTATAAAGATTTGAGAAAAAAAAACTTTAAATAGAAGGAAATTCAATGTTCTAATCAAGTTTTCTTCTCTTTTTGTTAAACTTGTTTTTTCCCTTCGTTTTTTATGGACTGATAAATAAGTTCAATGTATAAATAATTTTATATTCTAGCATTACAGTTTACCAATTATTTAACTCTTTAAATTCTTTCAAATTTTATATTCAATATTATTTAAATTATATGAACAGTATTTCCTTTAATTATATTCTAGTCTTTCTTTATTCGATATTTGATGATTTTTTGCATTTGGAATGCTATTTCTAATTTTCTAATTTACGAAAAAACTTTTGACTTAAATATAATTATGAACAGGACACATTTTATTGCTTCCATTTTTAATGTCACATTTATAAAGAAAACAACAGTTTTTGTAAAAGAAGATCAAGAAAAAGAGTTTATATTCAAAACCTTTTTAGAAATACTGTAAAAATATCATCGTAGTTTGTATAAAAAATATCGTTCACATTCCTGAAGAATGTCAATTTGTTCATTTTTTTTTACAAATGACATTATTGTTTTAATTAATTTTTTAAGCGTTATTGTATAAAATATTCTTAATAGTTTAATATTCTTATGAGTTTGTATTGTAATAAAAGAAGTTAATCTTGTCTAAAATATTTTTATTGAATCCTAATTAACCAATTTCTTTTTTGAATTATTAATTTTTCAGATCAATTTAAAGTTTAAAATTATTTTTCTTTTAATAATTAAACTCTCGCCGGGTGTATAAAATGTTACCAACATTCTTGTACCTTTTAAAATTTTAAATTTGGAATAATTTAATAATTGCTTGGGGTTTTATTAAAATTTTTAAATTAGTTAAATTGCTGAGAAGAATTATGTTATTTATGAAAATAATTTAAATCTTGGAAAGAATTTTATTAAAATCTTTGATAATAAAATTTCGTGTTGGAAAAAGATTTTTTTATAAAAAATTTAATTTCAATTTTTAAAAATTTTAATGCAATTTTATTCAATTTTATTCTTTGAAAGAATTCATTTATTTTCAAAAATTTTGATAAAATTCCTTCTTTATAAGAATTAAATTATTTCCAATAAAATTTTAATATAATTTATCGAAAAGATTCAATTATTTTTAAAAATTCTAATGATATTTTTAGATAGAATTCATTTATTGTCAAAAATTTTGATAAACTTCTTCATAAGAATTAAATTACTTTCAATATTTTCAAAAATTTTAATAAGATTCTTATCAATAATTTCAATTGACATTTTCTTAATACAGTTTTAATTAATTTTCATAAAAGAATTTAATTATCAACAAATTTTAATAAAATTCGACGCTGAATTTCAATTCTTTTCAAGAAATTTAATAAAATTCTTTATAAGAATTCAATTAGTTTTGAAACAATTTTAATAAAATTTCTCGATAAGAATTCAATTATCTTCATAACTAATTCAAATTATTCCAAAAAATTCAATTTTTTTCAATAAAATTTTAATACAATTTCTCGACAAGATGCAATTATTTTTAAAAATTTCAATGAAATTCTTTTAAAGAATTCGTTTCTTTTCAAAAAGTTTGATTTAGAAACAATAAATTAAATTTAGAAATAAACTTTAGAATTCTTCTCAAACTTAATAATATTTCCAGTGTTTCCAGTTATATGATAATTAGAATCGAAATATTGATTTTAAAATAGTATAAAACACTTTTATTGAAATTCTCAAGAAATTAACTGTACAATTGTTATATTCACACGATACTTAAGGACGAAGAATCAAAAAATGATTATTTTTAAACGAAAATTTCAATTTCTAAATTATAGTCAATTTTGATCACAATATTTACGTGAATAATTATTATAAAAAATTTATTTACAAAAAAAATATAAATTAGATAATAGGAAATAATATACCAGCTAGAATTGAAGTCTTTTTGCTAATGACGCACCTCCCTCCATTGATTCTAACAATTTTCTCTTAAGACTAGGCTTCTCCTCTGGTTGTTGTCTGATGGACATTGGCAGAGGTAATTTTGCTCCGGGCGTTGGTGCCGGTTTATTGCTGAAAAAGGGCATTTGCAGTGCCTGATCACATGAACATCGTTCATTTGGATTGACATTCAGAAGACATGCCAAAAGATCCAAAAGATCATCACCGGCAGCAGTGAATATATGTCTAAGTGGCGTACCCGGAAACGGTTTAAATTGAATGAAATCGGGCAGTTCGGTCATTCCAGCCCAAGTTTCTTCGGTTGGCGTTCCTAAAGTCTGAAAATTAAATTATTCATTTTTATAAATTATTACAATTCTAAAAGAATTTGATTTTAGAAATTAAACTTTTTTGATTAAGAAAAGAAATCCGAAAAGTACTTCAGCAGGGTTGCCACGCAAACTGAAAATATCAGGGAAATTTATAAACCTTGAAAAAAGCTAGAAAAATCAGGGAATTTTAATCGGAATTCTGAAAAATTATTGTGCTTATTCTTGAAATCTAATTTTACTTAAATATTTCAAAATTAATTCAATTTTAAAAGAGTAGCGTTTACAATTTTCATAAATAGATGAACTTCGAAAGGTTTTAATTTGAAATTTTAGAAAATTTCAATTTTTAATAAATTAATTAAATAATAAAAATTTCACAGAAATTCTATTATTTACAAATTTTTTTATAAACTTCGCAATAATTCAATTATTTTCATGAAGAATAACATTTATACCAGGAATTCAATTATTTTTATAAATAATAAATTTCTATATTATAGGTTTTTAATTATTTTCATAAATAATCAAGAATTCTTCGCAAAAATTTAATTATTTCCAAAAATTTTAATAAAATGCTTCCAAAGAATTCAATTATTATCATAAATAATAATAACAATATATAATATAAAATTTATAAATATAAAAATTCTTTGAAAGTGAATTTAAATAATTAATAATTAAATTTAAAACACAATTCTTCCGAAGAATTCAATTATTTTCATAGATAACAAAATTTTTCCGATGAATTTAATTATTTTCATAAATAATAAAATTCTTCCGAGTAATTCAATTATTCTCATATAAATAAAAATAATAAAATTCTTCCAAGGAATTCAATATTATTGTCAACACTTTTTATAAAAATTTAATTATTTTTAATACAATTCTGCTGCAGAATTAAATTATTTTTACAAATATTAAAAATTTTCACAGGAATTAAATTATTTAAAAATAATTAGTAAATTAGTTGTAAGAATTCAAATATTTTCATAAACAATAAAATTCTTAGCAAAAGTTCAATTATTTTTAAAAATTTCGAAAGAAAACAATTATGAATTTTTAGACATTTTAATAAAATTCTTCGCAAAAATTCAATTATTTTCATAAATAATAGAATTCTCTGCAGGTTTTCAATTTATTTTATTCCAATTTTATTCGCATTCTTAAAAAAATGTGATTATTCTTAAAAATATAACAATTCTTTAAAAGAATTCAATTATTTAAAATTTTGTTGATAAAATTCTTTATGAAAATTCGATTTTAAATAATATTTAAATAATTGAATAAGTGAATTTAAATAATTCAAGTTCCGTATATAATTTTCTAATAAAAATTGATTAAAAAATGAATTTTAGTTAAAATTTTAGATAATAATTGAATTTTGAAGGAGTTACTACTATTTGCTATTTTTAGAAATAATTGAATTTTGAAAAGATTTGAAATTAAAATCTTTATAATTTGAATTTTTCATAATTTTTTTGAAAAAGTTCGCAGTAATTCAATTATTTTCATTAGGGGCCGTCCATAAACCACGTGGACAATTTTTCACCAATTTTTGACCCCCCCGCCCCCCGTTGTGGACAGTCGTGGACATTTGTTAAACCCCCTCCCCCCTATACAATTGTCCACGTGGATATTGCAAAATAAACAAATAAGTTTTTTTGTACTCCTGTACGTTAAAAAATAAAAAAGATTATTTTTGAACATATTTCAAAGCAAGAATGTCTGTAAAGTCAGGGAAATGTCAGGAAAAAATTGTTTGTCAGGGAAATTAAGAAAATTGTGACTTTTTTCGACTCATTGAAAATAATTATTTTATTTCAAGTCTTTTGTTACAATTTTTGAAGAATAAAAAATATTTAAAGGTAAATTTAAAAATGAAAATTAATGAAAATTAGCTTCTAATTTTTAAAAATTCAATATTTTCAATTACATATTTTCAAAAATTCAAATATATACAAAAAAATAACATTTTAAAATTATTTTTAACATTTTAGAGGAAACAATCATGTTTAAAATTTTTAAATAAAATTTATCAATCAAATTCAAAAATAATTTTGAAATATAACAGAATTTTAGAAGAACTTTCAGAAAATTATTTAAATTAATTGATTCAGAGACGAAGGTTTAGTTTGACATTGTAGAAAATAATTGAATTCAGGAAGGGTTATAAGTAGCATTTTAAAAAATAATTAAAATCATAAATTTTACTCATTTTCCGTGAACATTCATATTTTCCTGTAAAAAGAATTTTGTCAGGGAAATTAATTTTAATGTCAGTAAATTGTCAGGGAAATTGATTAACTGAAACTTATGATCATCCTGATTAAGCTTAAGATATCTTTTTTGGAAATATTTTTGATTATATGTCCACGTTGACATTTGCTTTAACACCCCCCCTCCCCTTCGTGGACAAACGTGGAATTTTGATTCACCCCCCCCCCCCCTCCCCGCCCCCCAAATGTGTCCACGTGGTTTATGGACGGCCCCTTAACCCTTTGAGGACCAAATTTTTTCTTAAAAAATCGCGATTTTTGATTTTTAAGCAAACTTTTAAGGGAAAGTTATTAAAGTTTTTTATGTGAAGACTAGTGTTTGTCATACGAAATTTTTCTATGTTCATGTTGCCTAAATGCAACACAGGTCCTCAAAGGGTTAGTAATAAAATTCTTCTGAGGAATTTTTAATAATTTTCTAACAACTTTTATATATAATTCTTTATAAGAATTCAATTACTTTCAATACAATTGGAATTGAATTCCTCGAAAGAATTTAATTATTTTCTATAGTTACAAAAATTACAAAAAGTAATTATAAAAATTCAAAAGGTTTAAAATTGAAGTTCTAGCAAATTTGAATTTTAATAAATTTTAATTAAAAATTCCGAACAAGTTAGTTGTTTGAAAAATTATTATGAACATTTTTTTGAAATTAGTTTAATCTGAGAATACATATTTCATTGAATAATTTTCAAATTCTTAAAATTTCATGAAATTGAATTGCAAATAAGTGGATTTCAGAAATAGTTTTGGCGAACTTTTTTTTCATTGAATAAATAATTGAATTATGCTCAAGAAAATTTCTCAAAGAAGAATTTTAGTTAATGATTTTAGTAAATAATTGAAAACCTGGAAAAGTCAGGGAATTTGAAATGAACAAAATCGTGGCAACCCTGTTCAGGCTTCGGATCTACTTTAAAAAAAAAGTCGCTTTAGTCGATTAAAAATAATACAAAAATCATTTTTTAATGATTTGTCTATATTTATACTTTTCACACTGTAAAAATCGAAATAAGTTGCATTTTTTATACTGAAAATGTGTCATTTTGTTGCAATATTTAGAAAAAAAGTTGAAAAAGTATCATTTTTTTAAAATAAGTCGAAAAAGTGTCATTTTTTTTAAAGTAGTCGAGAAAGTCACAGGCTTGGTAGTTGGAAAAGTACCAGAAAAATAAAAAAGAAAATTACCTGAAATATTCTAGTTAATTGATCTAAATCCGATTCTCCTGGTAAAAATGGTACACGTAGTAATAGTTCCGCTAAAATACAACCAACGGCCCACATATCAATACCAGTTCCATAGAGTCTAGCACCAAATAATAATTCCGGTGCTCTGTACCATCTTGTCACTACTTGATGAGTATTTATTCGATTTGGCGATCCAAAGAATTTAGCCAAACCAAAATCGCCGATCTTCAAAATCCCCTCATTGTTCACAAGAAGATTGTTCGGTTTCAAATCTCTGTGAAGAATCCAATTGAAATGGAGATAATTGAGACCCTTTAGAGTTTGAATCACGTAGGACTTGATATTCCCCGCCGTTAACACAATATTTGTGTCTTTAATTATCACTTCTAAATCGGTGTGCATAAAATCAAAAACAAGTGACACATTTGACTTGTAACCAAAAACATCTGAAATTGAAAATTATTATTCATTATTTCTTTCTATAATAAAAATAATAAGAATATATAAAATAACATAATGTAATAATAATAATAATGATAATAATCTTCTATATTAATCCGGTAATCTGTTCGCAATTTGATGTTCATTGCTTTTTTGTTTCCTAACTTTTTTAAAATTTTTTCTTTTTAAATATTTTCAATTTTAAAATTAATGTATTGAAAACCATTGAATTCTTGCAAAGAATCTTATCAAAAAATTTGAAGACAATAATTGAATTCCTTCGAAGAATTTTTTAATTTATGAAAATAATTGAATTCACGCGAAGAATTTTATTACAATTTTTAAAAATCCTAATTAAATTCTTTTGAAAAATTTCTTCGAATTTTTATAAAATAAATGGAGTTTCTTTAGTATTTTTAATTCAAAATTTTGAAAGCAATTGAATTTTATTAAAATTGAATTGAAAATAAGCTAAGTTTGAAGTTCACAACGTTGATCAACGAAAAAAAATTGTTCATTTTTTAGTAAATTAATTAAAGATATTTGATTGCATTAAACAAATTTGTTTTGTTGATCAACGTTGTGAACTTCAACTTCGTGAAAATAATAAATTAAATTCCTGAGAAGAATTTTCTTGTATATATATAAAAATAATTTAATTGTTCCCAAGAATTTATTAAAATTTTAGGAAATAATAAATTGAATTGTTTTGAAGAATTTTATAGAAATATTTGAAAATAATTAAATTCTTTTAATTTTTTTGACGAATATATTAAAAATTGCATTGAAAGTAATTTAATTTTCCTATAGAATTTTTAAAAATATTTTGAGAATAATTGAATTATTTTTAGAGAATTTTAAATTCTTGTTGAAATTGAATTTTATGTGAATTTTCGGGAAAATGTTATCTACATTCTTTCGTGAACTGTAATTTTATTTAAATTAGAATAAAAATAATTTAATTCAAGCAAAGAATTTTAGTATTTATATAAATAGTTGAATTGTTTCGAAGAGTTTATTAAAATTTTAGAAAATAATTGAATTTTATGGAAATATTAAAAAATATTTGAATTCTTCCGAGGAATTCAATTAAAATTGTTTTGAAAATAATTGAATTCTTGCCAAGAATTTTACAAATTATAAAAATGATTGAATTGTTTCGAAGAATTTTATTAGAATTGTTGAAAATAATTGAATTTTTATTAAAATTCTTGAAAATAATCGAATTTAATTAAAATTTTTTAAAATAATTGTATTCTTTCGAGAAATTTTATTAAATTTGTATTGAAAATAATTGAATTGCTATAAAAATATTATTATTTATGAGAATTATGAAATTCTTGCGAAAAATGTTTTTTTTTTCTTCTTTTCTTGCGTATTATTTGTTAGTGTAAAAATAATAATATTTGAGTTAAAAACAAATCATAATAAAGTAAAAAGAAAATTCTAAATATATTTATACCTAATAAACCGATAATATTATCGTGTTTTAATTCTTGTAGAAGCTTAATTTCTCTCAGTGCTGTTCGATTTATGCCATCTCTGGCTTCTGCCCGACTTCCCACTTTTATCTATGAGAAATTAAATTAATTACAGTTATAAATTTTTAACCAACTTTTAATATTTTCTTTAAAGGTGTTAATTTTTGATTTTTTTTACCTTTTTCACTGCAACGATATTACTCGTTTCGGTGTCTTTTGCCTTGTAAACAGTGGCAAACTGAAAAATAAATTGCCAACTGTCATAGTACAAAATTAATTTATTTAAAAAAGCAGTTAACAATAAAAAATTGTTGTAACTAAATTATTAGTTTAAATTCTAAATTTCCTTTAAAAGCAGAATTATAAAGATATAATTCAAATTTACTCTCGGTTTTTTCTATAAAATAACCTAGTTTTGATTTGACGCACGCAAAGGCAATAAAGATGAAATAACATTTTATAATAGTTGCAATACTAATTAGTTAAGTTCTTGTTACTAAATAATAAGATAATGAATGGTAAATAAGTAATTATTTTGGAAAAATTATAAAAACATTTATATTTTATAATTCGATTTTACTAACCTGTCCTTCTCCCAAAAAGTCGATTTTCTCATATCTTCGTAATTTTTCTGCCATCACTTACTTTCTGAGTACATAGATTTTAAATTCTACAATTAGTATAATTCCTTCTTAATTAATCGAGACACTTAAAAAGCACTTAAATAGTAAAATATTAAATAAAATTATTAAAAGTATATCCCTAGTAATTCACACATGTCATTTAACATGTGTCAACTGTATCAGGGCTGGGAAGTTGCGGACGCATGTTTGAAACATAAAGGCAGATCCACGCAGCGTAGTGATGTGAACGCAGCCTTAGTTACTATGAATTGGTCAATTGGAACATGTGATCGTACCCTTATATAATATTGTAAAAGCACCTTAAAGAAGACACTGACATTTTACGCCACCTTCGGGAATTTTCCACAACAACAACTATTTTTCTTTTTACATGCACTAGTGATAACTGTCATTTTAAAAAGCATTGTTATCAAAAAATGATAAACACTTCGGTTATGGGGACAACAGTGGACAACAGCAGATATTGTTTCCTATCTTATTCACTATGTTCACTATAGACGATACTGCAGACGCTGCAGACAATTTACATTTTTCACCGTTACAAATGGAAAATGATGGAACTGGATGGAACTTTACGACCGATACAAGAACAAGGTAGGTGTTTATATTTTTAACTATTTAAATTGCAGAAAAGGATAACTTTAAATCATAATCGCTGTTTAATAGTAAAGAGTTTACTTTAATAGTAAAGTAAATTGTCTGTTTTAACTATTTAACTGATAGCTGTTCGCGATTTCTTTATTTTATGAGCCAGGAGCCAGCGATGCAAATACCTAGTCTTTTGTTCTATATACGAAGTTCTAGAAACGGTAAATAATAATACAAAGGAGAAATGTTTAATATACAAAAAGGAGATAAATGTTAAAGGTATATTCATTTAAATTGAAAAGCATCGTCTCCTTCATCTTTGAATCTTGACATTCTTGACACGCTTGACACACAAAGTGTGTATATTTTTAGGTTATGTACTCTTCACATTTTTTGATTAACTAAATTTGAAAAGTGCAAATAATTTGTTCAATTGGTTCGAAGGTTCGAATACTTATTTGTTCGAGTGTTCATTTGCTCGAATTGTCGTAAAAGTTCAAAGAATGTTTATTTTCTTCGAATACAGAAAGTAAACTCATATCATTAACAAAAGTAATCGTTGTTTTGAATATAAACTATAAAATACAATTTTTCTTTTTTGAAATTACACATATTTTTAAAATTTATAATTTTTTTTTTACGTATATAATTTTTGAAATTTGTATAATTTGTAAATAAAAGAGGACGGTAATCAAACATTTTTTTCTTTTTATCGCTGAAATATGCTGAAATGGTAAAAGAATAAAATTTGAAAACGTATGAAAAGACAAGCGAGTTATTGACATATTAAAATTTTTTTTGTTTGTGTTTTTCTGTGACAAATGAAATTATAATGAAAGTTTGGGTTTAAGTGGAAAATTCCAGGAAGATCAGACGAGAAATGATCGTCAGAAGTAGAAAAAGACCGTGTGATGATGGTCCAGAGAGACGGGACGTGATGATAGGATCATTATATATTAACGGGAAGAATCCGACAAAGAATCGGAACAAAAATTAGTCATCATTTTGTATTTTATATATGAAAAAGATAAATTTTAAATTCGATTATAGAGAAAGCATAAAGATTTTAATTTTCAGCATTTTAAATAATTATTAAAAATTGCATTTGAATAAAAATAAATTATTTAGGTATAACATAAATTAAAATTTAACAAATATATTTCTTATTGACAAAAGAAATTGTAATTTTTATTCAAATACAACTTTTAATTATTTAAATTGTTGAAAATATAAAAGATTTTCAATGTTTTTTGTCTCAAGAAATTAGTTTCAATATTTTCAAAATTTTCAATTAAATATTTTGAGTATAACAATTGTTTTCTTTATTTTTACTTACGTATTTTCAAAAATCACATTTTTTCAATACCTTCAATTATTAATTTATTATTAATTATTAATTTATTATTATTTATTATTTAATTAGTAAATTCAATTATTTTCATTATCTTCTTTCAAAAATTCAATTATTGTCAATATTTTCAATTACAAATTTTTGAAAAATTCAATTATTTTCAATATCTTCATTTGAATGTTTACAAAAATTCAATTATTTTCTTTATTTTTAATTACATGTTTTAAAAAGTTCCACTTTTTCAATATCTTCAATTACATATACTTTCTAAGTTCAATTATTTTCAATATTTTCAATTACAAAATTTTAAAAATTCAATTATTTTTAATATTTTCATTCACATGCTTCCAAAAATTAAATTATTTTTAATATTTTCAATTATACTTTCAAAAATTTATTATCATTATTTTTAATATCATATTTTAAAAATTCAATTATTTTTAATATTTTAATTTAAATGTTTTCAAAAATTTAATCATTTTCTTTTTTTTTTATCTATATATTTTAAAAAATTAAATTATTTTTTATATTTTTAATTAAATATATTTATAATTCAATTATTTTCAATTACAAAATTTAAAAAATTCAATTATTTTTAATATTTTTATTCACATACTTCCAAAAATTTAATTATTTCTAATTGCATACTTTCAAAAATTTAATTATAAATATTTTTAATAACAGATTTTGAAAATTCAATTATATTTAATATTTTAATTTAAATGTTTTCAAAAATCCAATTATTTTCTTTATTTTTAATTACATATTATCAAAAATTAAATTATTTTCTATATTTTTCATTAAATATATTTAAAAATTCATTTATTTTCAATATCTTCATTACAATATTCCAAAAATTCAATTATTTTAAATATTTTCGATTACAAACTTCCAAAAATTTGATTATTTCCAATATTTTGAAGTGTGTAATTATAAAAATTCATTTATTTTCAATTACAAAATTACAAAAATTTAATTATTTTCAGTAATTTAATTTACATAGTTTCAAAAATTCAATTATTTTCAAATATTATTTCATAAATTCAATTATTTTCAATATTTTCAATTACAAGTTTACAAAAAATCAATTATTTTTAATAATTTCATTGACATTCTTTCAAAAATGCAATTATTTTCAATAGTTTCAATTTCAAAATTATACAAAAATTCAATTTTTTTCAATATTTTCAATTACAAAAATTTAATTATTTCCAATTGTATACTTTCAAAAATTCAATAATTTTTTTGTCTAAAGAAATGTTAAAGTAACTAACGAGTAACTAATTATATAGTAAAAAATTAGTCATTGATGTAAAAATTAATAAGAATTGAAAAAATTACAAAATATTAATGTTTTTAATGAGTTAATATTTTATTAATAAGTAATTATTATTCATTCTTTTAGGCTATGTCCAAATAACTAAAAAAAATTTATTAAATAATTCAATTAGTGAAATTTGACTATTTTCGTAGTTATTTACTAATTTTTTATTTATACAGTGGAACCTCGATGCAACGAATTCAAGTTTTTAAATTATTTTGCACTATTAAATAGCATTTATGTCTTTTTTTTATAGGTATTTACATACATTAAAAATCAGTGGTTGGTCAATAAAAATAAATTGTTTATTTTTATAAGATTTTTGTACCAATAAATGCAAAAATTTAAAGTTTGTGTTTAATATAAGAAAAAAGTTCGGATAAAATGATTTTCAGTTTGGATAACAGAATTCGGATAATCGAGGTTCCACTGTAATTATTTATTTTCTACTTATAATCAGTTTTTTTTTTACTGATTGTGGATGGAAATAATCAAGATTTTACCAAAATTTAGTTTCTTTTAACTAGAGTTAGTTAACAGAGTTAGTGAGAAGAATTTAAGATTAAAAAACAAAAAGAAATTATCTTCGTTATTCTAATTAAATTTACATCTTTTTTTCGCAGGTGATGGAAAACAAAGAAAGCAAGACAAAAAAAGAAGAAAAACTTGACAAGTTTTCGTCATTATAAAGAATATTACGAATACGCCCTTCGTTAAAATACAGCGACGTCGCGCTCAATCACGTTGCCAAGCGTCGCGACGCTTTTTTAATGACAACAACAGCAGCAACACTTTGGTTGCTACGTATACTTGGCGTCCCGGTGTTCGATGACCCTCAACCTAAAAAAGAATTTTTATCAGCAAAAAAAGATCTCAGAAGAAATTGGAGCGAAGAAGATGACGAAAATTAAAAGGTAAATATTAAAAGAGTGTCACAGTTGAAAACAGTAGCGCACATGACGTTTACTACGTTACGTGTGTGAGTGTTTTTTTTCTTCTCATAAAAGAATTATCGTTTATAGTATATAGAAGGCGAGAGGGAGACGACTCACCTGTTTCACAACCTGCGTGACGTCGTTGGTCACATGATCCGCGTTACTTTTCGAAAGCAGGCCTAGGCAGCGCGAGCGAGCCTTCGAACTGCAATGTGGAGGCTCAGGCAAAGACACTTCGTCCAGGAGTCGCCAGTCAAACCGCGCCCAATGAAACGCTAGCTACTCCGTGTCACCCCAAGGAAATCATCATCATCCTCGTGCTACCATCAATATTCTCAAAATCACTTTTTCTTCCAGTTATTCTTTCTTCAAAAAAAGGAAACCAAAGGAATACATTTTTCTACCCCTAAAACAGTGTTTTGTTGTGTCAAATCTGTTTAAAATTTACAATCGAAAAATGTCTTTTTAAAGATGAAATTTGAAGATCGATGGAAGTGTAGAAAAAAAACTCGTGAAGGAAGAAAATCGGTTTATTGTGAAAATAAGCATCGTGAGGAGAATTTTTCCTTTCTTCCCATAATTTTCTATTAATTAATCCTGGGAAATAGGAAATTGGAATAAATTGGACATGCAGTCGGTCGAAAAACCGCGAAAATCAACCGGACGAGAGCGAAAGTTGATTAAAAAAAAGAGACGAACGCCATTTTGACGCTTTTGAAAAAAATAACCGTTTTCTACCATCAAACTAGAAATGAAAGGATTAAAATCGAAAGAATGAAAAATAAATTAGTGATAATTTAACATTTTTTTTTCTCTCTAAAAAAGTGAATATCGAAACTTGAAATTGAATATCAAAAAGGTGAAAGTGATGTGTGTTATGTGAACAAGTGTTACTTGAGTGTTGTTGTTGTTGTTTTTCCCCCCGTATTTAAAATGTGTGCAATATGGAGGATTTTGGGATTTTTGGCAATTGTTCAAGTGGAATTAACGAGAGGTCAATTGGATTTGAACTCGACGGAATTGCCAACGATTTATTATACGGAGCCAAATTATGGAAGTTCAAGTTCAGACGAGGGGAATATTTACAAAACTTATACGGAATTCCCGGGTGGACAAATCACGAGAGGTCAAAGGATATTGGAGAGAAGCAAGAGTCCTTACTTGTTGAGAGAGGATCTTTATGTCGAACGTGGTGGAGAACTAGTTATAGAACCGGGAGTTGAAATCCGGTTCGCCCCCATGATCGGGATCACTGTTCGCGGCATCCTGACTGCCAAGGTACGCAAATTCATTTTTTTTCAAGGTTCAAGCAAATCTTTTTTGCTTTTTTCTCGGCAGAATTTTTCGAATTTGTGGGTTTTTTTTTACCACTTTTCTTTATTAATATGGGGATATTAATGAAAAAAAAGGAAAAATTGTGTATTTTCTCTCTTGAAGACAATGAAGAAAAATAAATTTCGAAAAGAAATTTCTTTATACTTTGTCGCTAACAAAAAAACGTCTCGTATCGTATTTTTGTATTTTCTTCACTATTTTCAAAAATAGGCACTAATTTCAAAAAAATTAGATTTTTTTTGTCTTTCTTTCAAATAGTAGGTATTGCAACAAAATAACACTTTTTTGGGTATAAAATAAAACTTATTTCAAATTTTATACAGTGTGAAAAATAACTAGTAATATTTTCCAGAATATTTTTTTTTATTTTCGAAATATATCATTTAAAAATTTTTTAAACAATAACTAAAATTTATGCAAAATTTTATTGAAAATAATTGATTTTTTAAAAATTTTATTTAAATTTTTCAAAAATGAAATTTTCAAGAATTTTAATTGCTAAATTTGAAAATAACTGAATTCTCAAAAATTGTAATAAAAAATCGGCAAAAATGAAAATTTTAAGATTTTGAAAATAATTGAATTCTTAAACATATTTAAATGAAAAGATAGAAAATAATTGAAAGCATGTAATTGAAAATATTGAAAATAATATTGAATTTATGAAAATATTAAATTGAAGATATTGAAATTAATTGAATTTTAAAAGATAAATGAAAATTGAAAGATTTGCTTTTCTAAAAAATATTTTGTTACCAATTTTTGAAGCTAATTTTCAATATTTTTGATTTTTAATTAAATATTTACAAAAATTCCATTTTTTCAATAATTTCTATTATAATCTTTTAAAATTTCAATTATTTTTATTATTTTCAATTACATTACTTCAAAAATTCAATTATATTTTCAATATCTGCCTAATCGATTCATTTAAATCTTTTCAAAAATTCAATTAATTTTAATATTTTCGAATACATATTTTTAAAATTGAATTGTTTTTAATATTTTTATTAACATACTTCCAAAAATTCAATTATTTTTAATATTTCCAATTTATTATATTACTTAAAAAATTCAATTATTTTTAATATCTTCATTTATATGTTTTCAAAAATTCAATTATTTTCAATTTTCTCAATAACAGATGTTAAAAATTCAATTATTTTTAATATTTTCATTTTATTAAATGCGTATACAAAAATCCAAGTATTTTCAATATTTTCAATTGCATATTTTTAAAAATCCAATTATTTCTATATTTTCAGTTACAAAATATCAAAAATTCAATTGTCTTTAATATTTTTAAATACAGATAAAAAAAAAAAAAAAAAAAAAAAAAAAAAAATATTAAAAATACATTGAATTTTAAAAATTCAATGTATTTTTAATATTTTCAATTACAAAATTTCAAAAATTCAATTATTTTTAATACTTCTTTCACTAACTTCCAAAAATTCAATTATTTTCAATTACAAACTTTAAAAAATTCAATTATTTTCAATATTTTCAATTATATATTTTCCAAAATTTAATTATTTTCAATATTTTTAATTGCATTCTTTTCAAAATTCTATTATTTTCAATACTTTCAAATAAATATTTTTAATAATCCAAATATTTTCAAATAAATAATTTTGAAAATTAATATATTTTCCGTATTTTCAAATTAATATTTGTAAATATTAAGAAAGAAATAAAAGTAATTGAAACAATTTTTTACTCTAATTTTTTAAAATTCGATTTAAAAAAAAGAGTAAATTAAAAATGTTAAAAATAATTTTTTTTATAGATTTTTTATGAAAATTCTGGAGTAATCATGAATTTTTTCATTTGTAGGTATAGTTGAAATTTTTCTGAAATTTGATTATTTTTTAATATTGTCCAAAATTTCTTTGGGAAAATTCAATTATTTTTTTATTAATTTCAGTTATAACAGAATAAAACTTTCTTTAGTATAAAATGCGCAACTTATTTCGATTTTCATAGTGTGAAAAAATGATCAAAAAATTTTGAACTTTCAAGTGAATGAAATATTTTTTATTGAAAATATTTTTTTCTAAATAATTGATTGCAATAAAAATTGAAAATTGAAATTTTACATGCGTAGAAATATTAAAAATAATTTTTTTTCGATACAGTGATACAAAATTATTGTATTAAAAATTTAATTTCGTTTCGTTAGTCACATTTTTTAATTATATATATATTAGAAAGTTTTTTTAAATAATCGAAGTTTTGTAAAATTTTATACATTGAAAATAATTGATTTATTTTTCAAATATGTATTTCATACAAATTTTTCAAATACTGTTTGTAAATTATGGCCTTAGGTACAAACAGTATTTGACAAAAATTAAGGTCCTTGAAAAAATACCGAAATAAAAATTTTTCAAAATCTAATACCTATTTGATATATTTTAATTACAAATTTTGAAAACAATTAAATTCTCCAAAATTCAAATGATAATTTGAAAATTAATAAAAATTAGCTGCAGAATAAAAAAATTTGTTAAAAATTTTTGTAAAAGTCGTACTTAAAATTTTGTCAGGCTAATTTTTTTTTAATTTTATTGAATGAGTAGAGAGTCAAAATAGAATTTAAGGGAAATAATTTTTTTTTCTCAATGTTTTCTTCTTATTGGGTTGAGAAAATTTTTTTCTTTAAAGATATTTCATAAATATATTAAAATTATTTCTAATAAGCCGTGCACATTGTCAATCCGTTGAAACAATTTTCTGAACATTTCTGCACATTTCTGAATAACGATAAAATTTAATGTTATGAAGTATACTCATGACGACTAAACAGTGAAACACTTTTTGTGCTCTTTTTTACTGGGTCATGAGAGAAGAAAAAAGAAGAAAAAATACTATAACAAAAGAATCGCATGAGAAAAATTCTCTAAATATAATAATATCTTTGCCATAAAAATTCGAAATTTCGGAGAAATATTTTTCAGTATTTATTTACTTTTATTTAAATCTATTTAAATCGTTGCATATCTTTATAATTGACAAGTTTAACATAATTATTATACAGTGTATAAAACCTGTTGGAATGCAATTCAATATTTAAAGTTTTATTACAGTAAAACAATGTTTCAAAAATTATTATATTTTTTAATGTATTATTTATCATTTGTTTAGTATAAATTTCATTTTCCTAAAGTTTCGAGCGATCAAAATTTTTTTTTTATTTTTACTTTGAAATTTTTATAATCCACAAGTTTCGAACTTTTAAATGAACGAAATTTTTTAACAATATAAATATTTTCAAAAATTATTGACTTTTATTAAATACAAAAAGAAAATTAAACATTTAGAATATATAATTTATTTTTTTAATTATTGAGCATTTGACGCAATATTTTTGCAATTAACTTTGAATTTAAAGAAGAAATAAATAATTTCGTTTATTTGAACGTCGTTCAAAAATGATTTTTATAAAAAAGATATTTTGAATGAATATTAAAAAAATGAATTCTGAACAATGTTCATGTTTAATTTTAATTATTTTTGCCATTTGTATACTAATTTTGAAAAAAATATTTAAATAGAAAAAAAATTTTGTCCAGTTGATTAAGAGAGAAATCTTTTTTGGGAGAAATTTTCGAAAATAAAAATTGTTTATCGAGTATTTTTTTTTTAATTGAAAGAGAAAAGCTAATAGAGTATTTATTTATAAACGATGAAAAGTGCACATGGGTTTTGTTTCTTCAATGTCTTTGTGGGAAGAATACAAGGGGACCTTGACCGCATTGCATTTTTTACAGATCTACTTGCATATTATATATACGCAAACTCTGTAGATCAAAAAAATTGATCAAATCTATTAATTTTCTCGTTTACAATGAAGTCTTTATAAAAAGAACTAAACCGGTTTTTTAGTCCTTTTCCATTTACACTTGAAAATTATTTATTCATTTTAGTATTAATATTTATTACGTTTATTTATTTTTAATAGTTTATAGGTACAGTAAAAGTTTACTGATTTAAAAACGAATTTTGTTTTAATATTTAAACGATTTAAACAAAATTATTCCTGTTCCTAAAGTTTTTAACGTAAATGAACGTTGCGGTTTTTTTTTACTCCTTTTACTTTTTGTAAAAGGAGTTTTTAATTTTGAAACCTTTTCAAAATCCAATTATTTCCAAAAATTCATACTATAATGCTTTTAATATTAAATTATTATCTCAAATTTTAACTAAAATTCATTTTTAAATGATTTTTTATTAGAACATTCTACGAGACTTCAATTATTTAAATACAAAAATAAAATATTTATTTCGAATATTTGAATATTTCTTATAATTGAATTCTTTTGAAGAATTTTATTATTTATGAAAATAATTAAATTCATCGGAAGAATTTTGTTATTTATGAAAATAATTGAATTCTTACAATGAATCTTATTATAATTTTTGGAAATAATTGAATTTTTGCGAAGAATTTTATAAAAATTTTTTGAAAATTCATAAATGATTTCTTTGGAAGAACTTTAATAAAATTTTTTTAAATAATTAGGTACATTTTTCAAGAAATTTACTTAAAATTGTATTAAAAATAAATTAAATCTGCTAAGAATTTTATTATTTATGAAAATAATTAAATTCTTGAATTGTATAAAAAATTATTGAATTTTTATAAAAATTTTGGAAAATAATTAAATTTCTTTGGAGAAGTTTATTATTTATGAAAAGAATTCTTGAATTCTTTGGAAGAATTTTATTATTTAGGAAAATAATTAAATTCTTCGGAAAAATTTTGTTATTTATGAAAATAATTGAATTTTTGCAATTAATCTTATTATAATTTTTGGAAATAATTGTATTTTTGCAAAGAATTTTATAAAAATTTTTGAAAATTCAAAATTGATTTCTTTGGAAAAATTTTAATAAATTTTTTTAAATAATTACATTTTTCAAGAAATTTACTTAAAATT